GATGAAGCAAAGCAGGTATACTTCGTGGCCATGCTATGTGTCCAGGAGCAAAGTGTGGAGAGACCAACCATGAGGGAAGTGGTTGAAATGCTTGCACAAGCAAAGCAACCAAACACATTCCAAAAGCACTGATTTACTGCCAAAGAACCAAAAGAAAAGCTAAAGAACAAATAAAGAAAAAGTTGAGTCTATACATGTGCCTTGCATGTGTTCATGTTGTCGGTTGGTTCATTTGAGTTTTAAAGGGTTTTTTCTTCTCTTTATTAACACTTAGGTGCGGGAACAAGGGACTTGCATATGTTGTAGGAATTCTGGAAAATTTACTATAGTTGGAAACTGATGCTAAAGGGGAAAGGGAACTAATGTTGATAGTGTTGCAGGAATATGTACAATACATGGGGATTGGAGTTAGCTTCCTTGGCTTTCTTTTGCTAATTACTTGCTTCTAGTATCCCAGGCATTATCTATCTCCTGCATAATGAAATCTAGGAAATGTCAAATCATAGTACACTTTTCTTTCTCCTCTGTTTTGCCATAATTCAAGTGTCTCTGGTGGGGTATGCTGAGGGTGCTACAACAAGGGTTTATAAAATTGATTTTGGTATTGGTTAGATGATTTTGAACTCACATTATGATTTTTTTTTTGTCTAACACAAAAGCTACTTAAACAGAATCAATTATGGACTAGAATTCAATTCTTCAAATGAAACTAAATATGTGAAAATCTGTAAGATGGACTAGCAGTTAAACGTATTAGATTTAACACGTTAAAAAGAGTATAATCGTTTTTAGTGATTTTAAAATGAATTACTTTGATAATCATCATTATCCGAACCTCTCTCACTCCTAAAATTTAATAACCAAATAACTTTAATTCACAAAATAATTAAGAAAAATGGAACAACATCCATTAGCTTATATAATTCTTTTGCAACCTACTGTTTGTTTATTTCGTGTGTAAGATGATAACCAAGTTTATAATATCCTGCATAGTTCTAAGTCACGTTACATGATAAATTATATTAAAATTTGATTATGATTGATTATAATCATATAATCATGTATATTTAGTTATAATTTAAATCTTTATTTATAATTAAATAATTTCACTTCTCTCTTTAAAGTAATATATATATATATATATATATATATATATATATATATATATATAATATTAATGGATAAATTTAGTTTAAAAAAAAAACTATTTTACTAGTAGTAACTTGACGGTGTTCAAGCCCAAAAGGTGTTTATTGGGCTCATTTAGTAATATAACTTAAGTAGCCTCTTCAAAGGCCTTTTTTTCTGCACCAATAAGATTTTGTTCTGCACCCTTAAAGTATAAATGACCAAATTAATCTTTAAAGTTTTTCAATTTAGACTGACAAAAACGTTATCTTTTATCGAAAATAATTTAATACTCAAACATTAATAAAAACTTATAACAGTATCTATCACAGAGGAACGAGTATTTTATAACAGTATAAAATTTATTTCGACTTGATTTTCTGACAACAGTTTATAAAAACGTTCTGAATTGTTATTTTAAAAATAATTCACTTAAAATAATTTTTGTTGTTAATAACATTCAATACGTTTTCTGATTTAAAAAAAAAGTATGAAAATAGATTAATAATAATTTTTAAAAAATTTTAACTTTAATTCAATTTTTTTTTTCGTTATAATATTATCAACAATTAATAAATAAATATTTGTAAGTTTTAAAAAATTGGTGTAAGGCTGTTTTATTCTCCTAAACTTAATATTGATTTTTTTTATTCTCCTAAAATATAACTTATATATTAAAATAATATTTATAATTGTTTCAGATTATAATATGAATTATATATTAAAAATAATTTCCTATATTTTATATTAAATAAAAACAAAAAACTATTTATACATTGCATAACTAGAATACTAGTTATATAAAAATAATATTTTGTTTTATACCTTGGACATGTGAAAAAACCGAATATTATATTAATATTAAGAGAAGACATGGATATATTGAAGGTGAAACCGAGTAAACAATAAACTTAAATATTCATTGAACAAGTTTTATTATATAACGACTTTTTCATTATAATCACAAATTTTAGTAAAATAAGTTTAAACTATGTTAAAACTACTGATACAAATTAAAATATAAATATAAAAATCACTGCAAATAATAGCATATAATTGCGAGTTATTGGACATAAATCTGAGTTATAATTAATATTTTTCAAAACTAGATTTCGTTAGCTAGAAGTTGTTTAATTATAAATATTTTATAGAATTATTCGTAATTAAAAATGTAAAATAATAAATATTTATATATTTTTGTGTTATAGTAATTTTTCATTTTACACTTGTTCATATTTTATTTTCATTTTTATTTATATAAATTTTATTTTTATTTATATGATTTCAGTTATCAATAAAATAAAATATTTTTGTTAAACTCTTAATTGGATATTTACCAATAATATTTTATTATAATTAATATATATATATATATATATATATATATAATCTCTAAAACAACGTTATCTTATTATATATTTATTAAATAATCATATTTATTAATTATAATAAATTGTATATTTATGAAGCACCACATTAATTAATAGTCAAATTTAAGAATAATTTAAATACATTTTTTTTATTTTAATAAGACTGAGTTTTAAAATTAAATTTGTGATTAGCAAAAAATTTAAAATGAATAATACATTAAATATAAATTAAATATACAAATTAACAAAGCATCCTTTCTCTTTATAAAAGAAATCATAATCATTTATGATTCATATTTTTTATCTCACTCATTTTGTTTGAATACAAATTTTTTTAATTATTTGTTTGTTTTAGAGTGACATCACTTAGTAAAACGTCACTTTACTTTATTAATCTATATTTCACTTGAATTAAATTACTATAATTAAGTCTTATCTCATAAAGATTTGTTTAATCAATTGATAAATTTTCAATTGAAATAAATGGTAAACTAGATCATAGGAATCACCTTACTCACTGGCTAGAGAGAAATACTCGAGAAAAAGATTTAATGTTTGACATTCCACCACAAAATTGTCATTTAATTGAAAACCATAAATATAAAAAGTCTATAAAAATTGAATAAGTGTAAAAAAATAAAGAAAACACTCATAATATATTTCTACCAATAAATTATAAATGGATACTAGCTATTTTTCCTTTAATAAATAATACATCTATAGTATGTTAATACAACATTCATATTTCTTTAAAATAATAATATTTTAATGAAAAAACAAATCAAACTTGTTTAAAAATAATAGCCCACATTTTTTAATATTTTTTAATCAATGTTTTAAGATGAAAATATTAATTATTAATATATATTAAAATATAAAATTAATATAATATAATAGAATAATTAGATTTGTTATTTTTTTATAGTTCATTATAATTTTTTAATTATAACATTAATATTTTATTGTTTTTTTTTTAATTTCAATTTTTTTTATATGAAATAGAATAAAGGTAAACAAAATTAAATCATGAAATAAAATACTAATTAAATTATGTAAAAAAGTAATCCGTTCTATTCAATAAAAATCAACAATATTTGTAGTAAGATATATTTTTAATCTCCAAATCCTTTATTTGTTTAGATGAATTTACAATGTAATAGATTATATGTGTTTTCAACAATGTAAAAATTATGTTTATTAAAATATATATAATTTTTTTTAGGAGATGTAATTAAGAAAAGGTTAAATAATACATTCGGGTTTAAATACAAATTTTAAGTATTATATGGATTATAGAAACAAAATATTATTTATTTGTGTGTGATAAAAAAAAGAGTTTATACTTTGTTGCTAAAAACCACATTTTTTTTATTAAAATTAAACTTTAAGAAAAAAGTAATGACATATCTTTATATAATTTTATTGATATTTTATAAATAAATTATAAATTTGTTGTTGTTGTTTATTTATAAAGTTAGTAACTACTAGCATTTAACTTTATTATATATATATATATATATATATATATATATATATATATATATATATATATATAGAAATGTATGAACAATTTTGAATTTGTAAATTATATTATTATTGATTTTAAAAAAGTATAATTAATTTTCTTATATGTATATAAGAATATATTTATTATCCTATAATGTGTATTTTATCTATTGATATTTTATTTTTAAAAGTCTTAGAATTCTATTAAAATTAAAGATGACAAAGATAAATAAATAAAATATTTTTTTACAATTTTAAAAGTAGACTATTAAGAAAAATTTACATGTAAATAAAGTAAAATAGTTATTTAAAATTATTACAAAACAAAATTTGTAGATTAACTAATTTATTTGTTACATGAAAGATTATGGAAGGATAGATTATAATTTACATTATTAGACTTATTGATTTGTGTTATTATAGTATGTTTTCAATTGATTAATATATTTAGTGATATTTTGAGTTTGTTATTATTAGCCAAAACAAAATAAAAAATTAATTTTAAATAATATAAAATAGTTTACATGAGATCATGATAAGGCTTATCATTTCTTAAAAAGATAATAATTCTTAAAAACATTTTAATTTTAACTTAAATATTATTTTAATTTTTTAAAATATATTATTGTCAAAAGTAAAATCATGAATATTTAATTATTTTATAAATAAAATAAATAAGAAATAATTACAATTAAAAAAAAATTATTAGAGTAAAAATGCTGATTTACCTCAACCGTTCCATTTTATCACTAAGCAATGTAATTGCCACATGGACTAATCTGGTTGGTCAAGTGCCACGAGGTCAAATTAAAAATAAAAATGTGATAACAAATAAAAAACATTTTACAATTTTTTTCCTCATGTTATTATTAATATATCCTTTTCTTTTCTCCGTGTGTCTCTCTCTTAGAGGAAAAAAAAGGGCTAACCAAAAGACTCTCTCTCTCTCCTTTCATCTGCACACCATCGTCGTTTAATCCCAATTGCTTTGTCGTTTTACTCTCTAAATCGGAAGTTACCACCCGCCGCCGACGCCGCCCTCGGCGAATCTCTCCGCCGCCGCTCCATCATTCGAATCCCGCTCTGCCGCGATTCTTCCAACACCAACCGATTATTGTGTCCTTCTTCTTTTGTTTCTTTTCCTTTGATATTCGAAGCCAGTGATTTCGTTCCCGGCGATACCTTGTCGGAGGAGGAGTGCACTCGATTATTAACCTGCACACCGTGGCTCATCGCGGTTCCTTCCGCTCGAACCAAATTGCGGGAACTCTCTTCCGCCCTACCACTTTGATAGGTGAGAGTCGCTCGCTCTTGCTTGCATCATCGACGCATGGATTCGCTCATTGTGTAGTGATTGAGTTTCGGAATAAGGGTTCCGATTTCGGATTTAGGTTGTTTTTTTATTTGCAAGGTCGGGTTATCCAAGCCTTAAGGGTTTTAGCGACGAGCTTCCTCGAGTTTGCTTCTCGATCCGTTGCTTTCCCATTTTCGATTCAGTTTTGCTGTTGCTTTTTGGAGATTGACTTGTTTTTGATTTCGTGATGATCAATTTGTGCATTGCACGGTGTTGAAATTCGATTTGGCGATACACGAGTCTAACGGTATTCAGTTTTGACCGTTACACTTGACACTCATTTTGAAGCAGTGCTTTCACTCCTTGATCAATGTGGTTCGTCCATGAACTTAGTACAATGCATATATGACTGTTTTTAACCTAGAATTTGATGTTTAAGTCAAATTTACCTCACCTGGGTCAAGTTCCGCTTGAATTCTACCTAAAACAAGGTTTTCTTGTTTCATTTTAACTTGCCCATTACTTGATTGCTAGAAAATGTGTGGAAACTAATAGCATGAAAATTTTAACTTATTTATTAATCACTGGTTTGTAAAGAATTGCAACTTTATGGCATCACTACTTGTTGAATGCCTGAACCTACTAATTTAACTACTAAGAGCTAAGCATGTTTGATGGTTTTATCATTACATATTTGTAAAAGTATTGCAGAAGATTTAGACTGGTCCTATTATTTTATGTCCCTTTTAGCTTGTTGGATGGTCGTGATACGGGTTTTCTATTTTGTTATTTAATTTAACTTGCATTCTTCTTTAGTATATTTACATTATCAATGTGTGGTAGGTGGCATGGCACCGAGCATCATTTAGTATATTTGTATTTAATTTAACTTGCATTATTCTGTAGTATATTTGCTGAGAATCATTTAGGATACTTCTGACCATATATCGCTCTGTGTTGTTCAGGTTTTGTGGAGTCAGAAGATAACTGAACGAGCACATGATATTTGCCACATTTTTTTGTTATGATTAATCACACCTGCAGTAAGGAGACTGAAGTAAAATCCTAGGTTAGTCATATGTTAAAGAATGGCTTTCTTCAGGAACTTTTCAAATGATACCGTCTCACATGGTGTCATGGAAGATAAAAGCCAAGGACAGAATGCTAATAGAACTCATAGATCAGTAGGTAATGAATGTACTGATGCAATTTCTAGCGAGAAAGAATTTGATATGAACATGGAAGCACAGTATGAGAGTGATGGCGAACCAGATGGTTCCAGTAGACTACAAACTGAGGCAACAGTTGATGATGGAGATGCTGTGAAAGAATCAAACTTGCAGACTGCTGGTAGTAAAACAGCTATGATGGGAAGGTGGGGTACAACTTTTTGGAAGGACTGCGGGCAAATGGGCCCTCAAAATGGTTCCGAATCTGGGCAGGAATCAAAAAGTGGATCAGATTATAGAAATGCGGATGGGTCTGAAGATAATTCATTGGATGGAAGAGCAGGAAGATTAGACTCAGATGATGATGATGGTCAAAAGGAGGCAGGAAAAGGTCCAAGAGGTCACTCTGATGTACCTGCTGAAGAGATGTTGTCTGATGAGTATTATGAGCAGGATGGGGAAGAGCAAAGTGATTCACTGCATTACGGTGGGATCAAAAGGCCTACTGAATCAAATTCATGGCCGCAACGGATTTCAACCACTGCAAATAGAACCTTGCACAGGAATTCAAGGTTTTCTGATGATGCTGAAGAAGATGATGACGGAGATAACGATAATGATGGTGATGATGCTGATTATGAAGAAGAGGATGAAGCAGATGGTATGTTAAACATTCAGTTTACACAAAAATTGTTTCTTCAGTGTGAAATAGTGCTTTTAATTAGCCAATTCTGGCCCTTGTTACCTAGGTCTAATTAGTGATGAACTTCTATGATTTTTTAAATTTTAATATCTTGCAGAAGATGATCCTGATGATGCAGACTTTGAGCCCACCACAAGTGGTCATACTGGAAATAAGGTAATTTATTTTTGCCTGTTGTTGCTAAATTCTATTTCGTTTTTGACGGTTTTTTATCTTGTAAGGGGTTGCATACGTTCATTAGAAGCTAAATTTTTCTTTACTGTTACTTTTGAAGGTAATATGTCTGGTGGGTGTTTCTGAATATCAAATGTTTTAACTGTTGTTACAGGATAAAGATTGGGAAGGTGAAGGCTCAGATGAAGATGATGACAGTGATGAAAATATAGTTATCTCAGATGATGATGAATCTTTCTATGCTAAACGGCCTAAAGGAAGGCAAAGAGCTAAGATTGGACAAAACATAAAATCTACTAGAGATCGCAAAGTGTATGCTGCATCTGGTAGACACAGAAGAGTTAAATCATCTTTTGAGGACAATGAGTCAACAACAGAGGACTCTGACAGTGATAGTGATGAGGATTTCAAAAGCTCAAAAAAGCGGAGTGTTCATGTTCGCAAGAATAATGGTCGCTCTTCAGCTACAGGTTTTTCTATGCGCAACAGTGAGGTTCGCACTTCTAGTAGGACTGTTAGGAAGGTATCATATGTGGAAAGTGAAGAAAGTGAAGAAGTTGATGAAGGGAAAAAGAAAAAGTCCCAAAAGGTACAACATTCTATACACATCAGAGCATGATTTCTACCTCCTCTTGCGGTGTTTGTAGTTTGGTGTTAATGTGTTGGAGTTTATTTATGTCCCAAAATTTTGCAAATATTAAATGTTGATTCTCACATAGGTAAGACTGAAGTTATCATGTCACTTTGGATAATGGGGATTTCAAAGGCTGTTTTAGTTGCGTAGTAAATAACTTTGGCAGCATATTATGAGGAAGTTGTGGGTTTATTTATCAAGGATAAGTTTGCGTATATTTGATGACAAAAGAAGATTATTTAGAAAGAGGAGATGGAGGTTTTGCATGTATTTGATGACCAGATAAAACTGTTCCAAATCGGGATACATAAAAAAAGGCCTTATTCACTAGCTGATGGTTGCTACAAAAGGATACGGAAGCGACTACAAAAAAGTTGTTCCAATAATTTTTATATCTGTAACTAGTATCTTCTGTCCGCCTATACAGCATTTATAAGATGTTTGTTTTATTATTTTAGGGGCTGGGTCGATGTGGCACTGCATGTTCTTAGTTCAGATAAATATGATTTGTAGGAAGTTGAAGATCTGATTGAATTCTGTTAAAATCTGAAAATAAGGGTATTGTCTATTCCTCTGTTTCAGTTTCAATGTGATGGAAAAAAGTTAGAAAATGGAATTATATGCTGTGATGAACTGATGATTATGAATTTATCTATACTTTTTCTGTTTTTTAATTTTCATTTATTTTATCGGAAAATATTGTACATGATAGGTAGGATTATTAAATGTATAGGGGCACTAAGGAGAATCGGTGCAAATCCAAGACTTGTTTTAATTTGGCATTCAGAAAAAATGAGAATTCTTTAAGGATATAGGTAAGGAAGTGATATTTCTGAGTGGGGGATCAGAGAATGAATACTGGCTTGAAGAAAGATTACGAATTTGGGTATTTTGTTTAAACTGAGTGGTATAGGGCCACTTACTTGGTGGAAGACCATTGGTGTATTTTGTAATTTGTGTCAGCTGTTTTATTCTAAACTTTTGGTGTGGTGGTGATGGAGAGCTCTCAGGTATGAGGTTTGCTGATTGCTTGACAGAGTTTATTTTAAATTGGCAAGATGGTAATTTCAGTAGCATGTGTTTTGATGTTTGAGATTTCTCCAATCTATCCCCTGTGAGAATAATAGTTTTGTTTGAGTGTAGAGTGGAAATTTGTCCGATCAGTGTAATTTAATATAGAGTATAAGCCATTAAATTTTTTATTTATATGGTAAAGGCTTGCTAGTGGGGAATGTGTGTTTGATGATATTTGGTTATGTTGTTATGATACCTCCTACTGACTTAACATATGCATAAATTAATTTTACTGATGTGATTCTTTTGTGTGCTTTAGGAAGAAATTGATGAGGATGATGGTGACTCCATTGAAAAGGTGCTATGGCATCAACCAAAGGGCACAGCTGAAGATGCTGAAAGGAATAATAGATCAACAGATCCTGTGTTAATGAGTCACTTGTTTGACTCTGAAATTGATTGGAATGAGATGGAATTTTTGATAAAATGGAAAGGGCAGTCACATTTGCATTGTCAGTGGAAGTCTTTTGCCGAGCTGCAAAATGTATGGTATTTAATCTTATTGTTTATTATGAATTATCTGCTATTATCACTCTCTCTCTCTTTTATTATTATCACAACAATCCTGCTTCCTATTGTTTGGTTATTTTAATCTTCCACATGTTGAGTTTTTTTTAATTTCTTTCTAGCTGAAATGTAATACATTCTGTTTTTGTGGGATTGCAGCTCAGTGGTTTTAAGAAGGTTTTGAATTATACAAAGAAAATAATGGAAGACATGAGATACAGGAGGAAAATCTCAAGAGAGGAGGTAAATATTTGAGTTCAGCCAGTCAATTTAGATGCTCCGATTCGTGTAATAAGTCTGTAGGCTATAAATACAGCAGAACTGGAAATTTATTTGGAGGAAATGGTCTATCTGTAAAAGAAGATTGACATTATTTGTTTTTTTAATAATTTCCCCCATTCCTTTATGCAGATTGAGGTCAATGATGTTAGTAAGGAGATGGATTTAGATATTATCAAACAGAACAGTCAGGTTTGCTTTCTGCATTCCAATATTTTCATTTCTTTGTTCTCGTTTTCTGTGTGTTGTATTGCTGATTGAATTGTTATTTGCATTTTTAGGTGGAAAGGATAATTGCAGATAGGATCACTAAAGATAACTCTGGCAATGTTATTCCAGAATACTTGGTCAAGTGGCAAGGACTATCTTATGCTGAAGCGACTTGGTACATTACTCTAAAAATTTAGTATGGTTTACTTTATTTTTTTATTCATTTTCTGTGCACTGAGTGGCTTCATGTTAGAATCTGGATGGATTGATATTTCTGAATTGTTGTGCACGGTTTTAAACGTTTAGATCCTTATTTAACGAGTATGACATTATTTTTCACTGTTATTAGACATCTATTTTGCTTTATTGGTACTAAGTAAATTGTCACTCTTAATGTACTAGGGAAAAGGACATTGATATTGCTTTTGCTCAACATGCTATTGACGAGTATAAGGTTAGTCTCTTTTTCACTTTATTCTTGTTATCAATATTGGTTTTAAAAAGTTTATTATTTGAGTTTAGGCATTCTTCTTACCGAAGTTATTATTCAACTATCTGTCTTGCATTTGGGTCTTGTGCAAATTAGGATGGCATAACTAAAGAGAGAGAGAGAGAGAGATTTATTGTTGAACATGAGTATGCCTGTTCAAGCATGATACAAAGTGGATACGGGGACATGATTGATTTAAAAAATATATAGGATACCATGTGGCAGGGATATGACTAACTAAATAATTAGATGCTCTGAGTTTTATCATGCCTTGGATATCGATTTGACTGTTTGCTTTCTTATTTTTCTGGTCTAGTCTTTTTACCTTTACTGAGCCAAGTTAAAGTATCTTAGCCTGGCAGTGTCCAAAATAATGTCAGACATACAGGACAGATTAACTATACAACTAGATCCAACATTTCTATGTGCTGGTTTTGCTTAAGTGTCCATGCTTATTTTTACTGAACACTTAATGGCACACATCCTTATGAACTGATAAATAGGTAGTTTCCTTAAAATATTGAGTACTATTGCAAAACTTGGTTGGATTTGGATCAGTACAGATGTCCCTTTGTTTCATTTGATTGAAACTTTCCTTCTTCCTTCTTTGACTTCTCATGACAGGATCTTTATGTTCTCGTAAGTTGGATTTTCCTTTTAATGTTCCTGGCCATTGTGTATCTTTTACTCCTGTAATTCTGCCGTCAATTAAATTAAACTTGTGGTTCTGCGCATACTCGAGTTTTAAACATACAGTGGTCTTAGGAGTTTCACATCTGAAACCACTAGGAGAGGACTGTGCTTGGTTGTTTTATTTATGTTTATCAGTGGTTGACAATACATGCATGTGAATACGATTATATATATTACATGATAATTTGGATACTATCTATTTATCTTATTATAAATTTTGTTCTGGCATATCTGAACAGGCTCGTGAGGCTGCTATGGCAGTTCAAGGAAAGATGGTAGATTCTCAGCGAAAGAAGAGTAAAGGTTGGTAGACTCAATAAAACCCTGAAAATTTCCACAGATTCTGTGTATGCAAATGGCATGGTTGCTGGTGTGGTATATTATGTTGTTGTCATTTATCTACCATTATTTTCTATGTTCTAAGCATTAATAATTTAAATTACGAAACAAAAGACCTACAGTATTTGGTAAAATTTTACCAATTGTGTTGCATAAAATATGTCTTGTATTTCAGAAATCCGCTATAGTTTTGGTCATATCACTACGAACTTCTCAGTCATGGTTTACCCAATTCTGTTTCAAATTCGGGTTATTATTTTAGTAGCATGTCTTCTCTATTAAACATAGGAGTAGGCTTGGACATAGTTGGCCTTTTTGCCTTTTTGGTATGAATTCCATATTTCATTGGAAAGCCATTAAATTGTGTGATTTTTTCCTAGTTTTTTATTGTTAAATATTTTTCCAGAATCTGTCATCTATTGTTGCCTTTGTCCATTCTCTTATTTTTTTAATAAAATTGCTTTATTGAGGAAAATTATTTCTTTATTACAATACGATAAACTGTTTAGGTGGGAAAATCTTCTAGATATAGGTCTACTCTTTTACTGTTTTATTTCTCACCATTTATTTTACATATATAAGTAATATGTAATTTTAACGTTGTATTATATTAACTTTGAAATGTTCATTCTAAATTCTAATTTTTCCCTTTATCATACTTAGGCTTAACTTATAGAAAGTTGAGTAAAGGGGTTTATTTGATAGTGTTCTTTTGTTTGTATTTCCTAACTTCTGAAGCCTTTGGTTATTTTTCATAGCATAGAAAGAATATTTTTTTCATTATTTCAGTTACTGAATATCATATGATATTATCTAACTCATTTTACTGGTTGTTTGGTTATTTTTAACACAAATAATATTTTTGTTCATTATTTCATATACCAAATATCATATGATATTATCTATGTAAATTCTAATTTTAATATTTGGTTGTGATGTTTAGCAAGTTTGCGGAAGCTTGAGGAACAACCTGAATGGTTGAAGGGTGGAAAGCTACGTGATTATCAACTTGAGGGTCTGAATTTTCTTGTCAACAGGTATGCATGCTTGTATATGATTTGTCAAGTTTTGTTTTAATTTTTTGATGTTGTAATTCTGTGTCTTGCATTTTTCAGTTGGAGAAATGATACAAATGTCATTTTAGCTGATGAAATGGGCCTTGGAAAAACTGTTCAGTCTGTATCAATGCTTGGTTTTCTACAGGTATAGTATCCGTTTTCTATTTGATTACAATTGCCTTTGCAATTTAATAATACATGTATTTTTGTTCCTTACACAGAATGGTCAGCAAATCCATGGTCCCTTTCTTGTAGTTGTTCCACTGTCCACTTTATCAAATTGGGCCAAAGAATTCAGGAAGTGGCTTCCTGATATGAATATTATCATATATGTTGGTACACGTGCAAGTCGAGAGGTGAGGCATGTCTGAGTTTTACATTCATTTGCAAATGTACTTTAGGACAAGATCTGTATGATATATTGTATATTTCAGCATTTTGTCTTATTAGATTGCAGATATGTATGCTTAATGAGATAAGTGCAGGATGCAGTCCCTAATTTGTTATTGCATAAATATTTAAGATGTTAACAAGCTTATATGTCCAACACCTCTATGTTTATTTTTGTGCTGATGGTGGCATGGTTCTTAACTATTGTTTAAGAACATGTACTGTACATTAAAATTAGGTGAAATGAATTAGTAAAACATGGAGAGGGGATAGGTTTAGCTTGGGGGTTTGTACTGTAGAAAGTATAAACTATAAAGGTCCAGATTTCATATTCAGAATAAGGGAAAAAATGAAGAAGAAAGGATCAGAATAAGAAAATAAGAGAAAAAAGAAGTGGGCTGGTTGCTGGAAAACTAAGCTCTATGGTGAAGAAAGGAAGAAGGTGGACATGTAGGTTGGGAGGTTAGGGCAGAGGTGAAGTTTGTGGTTGCATTGCGTGGGGAAGGAGCCTTGTCAAAAGGTTAAAAACTGAAAATATAAGAACCGTAAGAATCCTAAATTACCCTCAATAAATTAAATAGCAAGGGCATTTTTGGGGTTCCACCAAATTGCAGAGTGTGGACCCTTAACCACCCCTGCTGTGCGATTGAGCCACTCCACTCTGAAATGAGAGCTGCTGTGATGGCCGTGATTTAATAACGCAACTCAATGATGTCATGGCCATGCTACATTGCTGTTCCGTTCTGTTTTGCCATGTTAGTGATCACTATGTGCACTATTAACAACCTAGCTTTGGAATATAATAATTATTTTATGGTCGCCCTTTTCTCCATCTTTGTTATTGTGATCATTATGAGTTGCTGTTAACTTTGATCTTGACTTTATATTTCTTTGGTTGTCATTCATATAACTGTTATTTTTCTGTTAAACACCTTTGCTCTTGATGGATCTAGAAGTTTTCCCCATTCATACAAGTAGCTCAGTTTTTAGGTATATGTTTTTGCTTAACATTGTTCAGGAAATGTTATTTTTTATTTTTCCAGGCACATTGTATTATTTGTCGTGCACATATTAAAATTAAAACTTGTTTTGCTGAACAAATTTTTAAGAAATAGGGATCTTTATGCCTTATTTTTAGCAATTAATGGTTGTGATTTTGCTGAAGCTGTTAATGTTTTGAATTGCTGCTTTCAATGCTTGATTATGTGTTTTAGCATCTTTTTCCAGTTGAAGCTCAATTATCCCATACTAATTTAGCTGTAAGGACCAAGGTTTAACTTTAGTTATGATTTAAGAATTTTGTCTTGTCTTCCATGATTCATTTTTCATCCCCGAATTTAATCCCTTTTTTTGCTATATAATGGATTTTATTTGTCTTTGCTTTGCTCGGTTTCTTCTTGCTAAGCTGAATAAATGTACATGATTTTGATACTTTTCTTTCAATTTAAATTACCTGTTTTAAAAAGCCTAGGCTCAAATAGTTCTCTTTGTTAAGCTACCTTCAGAAAGAGTAACATATGCAATAAATGTTGTTAATAGAAACCTTTTTATTTTATTAGTTCATTTTACATATGATTATTTTGCTCGATTTACATTTTGTGACAGGTTTGTCAACAATATGAATTTCATAATGATAAAAGACCCGGGAAGCCAATAAAATTCAATGCACTTTTGACAACATATGAAGTAGTTTTGAAGGATAAGGCTGTTTTGTCCAAGATCAAATGGAGTTATCTTATGGTGGATGAGGCTCATAGGCTAAAAAACAGTGAGGCACAGTTGTATACAACACTTTCAGTATGTAACTTTTCTCTTAATTTATTTTTGAACAATTGCTTACTATAGAGTTTAATTTTTTTTTTTTTTTTTGGGTGCTGTCTTTTAGGAATTTAGCACCAAGAACAAGTTGCTTATCACTGGTACTCCTCTACAGAACAGTGTGGAAGAACTATGGTATCATTAGTATTTTCCATTCATATTTGACTTTTCAAAAAGGAAACTTACATCTTTTGGTGTATATGTTGGATTTCTTGATATTATTGTGTGGACTAGTGTTAATAGATTTTAGAGTAGAAGATTCCTGTTATCTATTGGTGAAGGTGCCACTGGAAATGGTTGTAAGGATATAATTAACTTCTTGATGCATGACCTTGTAAATGATAGTAAATGATTTGCATTAACCATTTAAAGTACAGCTTACAACATGGCATTCCTCCAGTCATATAATGGTGCTTGTTTTCTTCTTTTTGTCCGTTCATTAATTTACATATGCCCAGAAATATATATATATATATTTTTTCTGAGACTCACATGATTGATTGTTTCTTATTATATGTCCACTAAATTGATTTCGATTTAGGTTATGTGTATGCTGTCTATTATTTGTTTGCTTTGATTTTTCTGGTTTGTCTGACTAACCCCCTACCCCATCCTTCCCCCTATTTTGTAGGGCTTTGCTTCATTTTCTTGATCCTGACAAGTTCAGGAGCAAGGACGAATTTGTTCAAAACTATAAGAATCTGAGTTCTTTTAATGAAAATGAGGTATAAGTTGTCATTCATGCCCTCTACACTTTTCTCTGCTAATTGGTTGTCCTTTATCTCCACTTTTTCTGAACTGTGATTTGAAGTGCATAAGTTAATTTTTTTAGCTTGCAAATCTTCACATGGAATTGAGACCTCACATACTTCGAAGAGTTATCAAAGATGTGGAGAAATCATTACCCCCGAAAATTGAGCGTATCCTTCGGGTTGAAATGTCTCCCCTTCAGAAACAGTAAGTGCAACTTTTGTTCTGAAAAAAATTTCTTTTGAAATTTCTATTCTTGTAAGTTCACGATCTAAATTCCTGTTGATGTACTCCTTCATGTAGGTATTATAAGTGGATTTTGGAACGTAATTTTCACAATTTGAACAAAGGAGTTCGTGGGAATCAGGTTACACTTCTATTGTGTATCTATGTACATAACAATAATTTTTCATAATTACATGGATCCCATTCTTTCTTCATGATGATGATTGTTTAAATAAGAAATGCCAATACTTGGCTTTGTCACATGGTTCTTTTCACCATACAAACTTCTTTGATTCTCGAAACTAGGAAGCTAGAGATAGTGTGGTTTATTGTTGTTATTTAAGATTTCATCATTTTTTTAGTTAATTGGAAACAATTCATTATAAGGTAAAATTTATGTACATGTCATGAAGCTGAGGTACATTTCTTTTTGATTTTGGTGAGATAATAAATTAGAGAGAGAAGATATTAACAGGAAGTGTTGCATCTATTTAATATTTTCTGAACTGACAATTTTGTGAAGTTTGATTTTCATAAAGTATATTTGTATATTCTTTTCAGTTTTTCTTTAAAAGATTATCACTTATTTCTCTGCTAAATTTCAGGTTTCTCTTCTTAATATTGTGGTGGAATTAAAGAAGTGCTGCAACCATCCCTTCCTGTTTGAAAGTGCTGACCATGGCTATGGTGGGGACTCAGGAAGTAATGATAACAGTAAGCTAGAGAGAATCGTTTTTAGCAGTGGAAAGCTCGTCATACTTGATAAGCTGCTTGTTAGATTGCATGAAACCAAGCATCGTGTTTTGATCTTCTCTCAGGTTTGCTGTTGAAAATTTAAGCTGATTTACTGGATGTGCTTCTTAGTATCACTGTAACCTTTTTGCTCAATAATATTTCATTGCACTTTTGAGTAGTGATGTTTCTTGTTTTGAATTGTCGTTGCACATTTCTATTTAGAGTTACCTTTAGCCTTTTAAAATGAAGTCTACTTTTTGTTCAGTTGCGATAAATGTAATATGTTTCTGTAGTTGTTTTATAGATGATCAACTGGTATGTTACTGGGATCACACTTGTATGTGCTATTATTCACTTAAATTTATGAACTTCAGTGGACTAGATCATATTAAACTCATATTTTGGTCATTGGTGTTATTAGACACGCTAATTTATTGAAAAGAAGTAATAATAAATTTTTTGATTCTTCTAAGTCACCAGATACAGACCTTAAATATGGTCAGGCGCTACTTGAGCATGTGTTTTTGGAACTTTCTTTTTTTGTTTAATAAAGTATGAATTTTATGAGTTGAAGATTGAAGAGTAGGGTGAAAAACCTTCTAAAATAGCCCTGTCATTTCTTACAATAATTCAAATAAAAAATAAACATTTGCTCAACATTGCTCTTCAAAACCTCAAATCCCTTGAAGAATCTATGAAACCAAAGATTTGTTTAATTGATTAGGATAACCTACTGCTCATGAAAATACTGATTGATCTATTACTGTTGCTGTTTAATGAAGATGATTGATGATCTCTTTGAAGTCTTAAATCTTTCACTATTGATTTAGGACTTGCTTGTTGTACAAAGTTCATAAACAAGTGGATGTTAAGATCTTTTATAGCTTCTAACTATTGATGTTGCTTGTCTAAGCATCCTAGTCTGCTTTGATTTTTGATAAAATGTGTTATGCTTTGAGGATTAGTTTGTGATGATACTAACTTGTCAGAGGTGTAATCCAGATGGTTAGGATGTTGGATATACTGGGAGAATATATGTCGCTCCGAGGATTTCAATTTCAGAGGCTTGATGGCAGTACAAAAGCAGAGTTACGACAACAGGCAATGGATCATTTCAATGCGCCTGGTAGTGATGATTTTTGCTTCCTTCTTTCAACACGAGCAGGAGGTTTGGGTATCAACCTCGCCACAGCAGACACAGTTATAATATTTGATTCTGATTGGAATCCCCAAAATGACCTGCAGGTATTCAGCAGATTCAGTTTTATTATTAATCAACAAAATATTTGGTACTTACTGTTACTTTTATGTTTTCTAGGCAATGAGTAGAGCTCATAGAATTGGGCAACAAGAAGTTGTTAACATTTATAGATTTGTGACAAGCAAAAGTGTCGAGGAAGATATTCTGGAGCGTGCTAAGAAAAAAATGGTAAGTTAAAAGTCATTGCATACCCAGTAGCTGTTTTTGTTTCATCCCTTTTTCTCCACCCTTGGAATCCTATATATATATAATAGACACTCAATTTCTTATTAATTGGGCTGACGTCAATAATTATATATCATTTTTCATGTGAAACGTGTTCCATAGGTTCTGGACCACTTGGTTATTCAAAAACTAAATGCAGAGGGTAGACTGGAGAAGAAAGAAGCGAAGAAAGGAGGCAGTTATTTTGACAAAGTAAGGACGTTTGTGAAAATCTATACTCATTAGCTTTCTTTTATCATAGTATATTATGTCTTTGTAGATACTAACAACCAAAGTACTAAGGTGATGTCTTTTATTTGTATTTTAATGACTGCATTGAATTGTTTTAGTTTTTGCAGACTTGACTTTTTTTATTTAATTAAACAATTACACTACCAATAATTTGCATCTGAAATGACAGAATGAGCTGTCTGCAATCCTACGATTTGGAGCTGAGGAGCTTTTTAAAGAAGAAAGAAATGATGAAGAAAGCAAGAAACGACTCCTAAGTATGGATATAGATGAAATTCTTGAAAGAGCAGAGAAGGTTGAAGAGAAGGAAGCTGATGGGGAACAGGGAAATGAGTTATTGAGTGCCTTTAAGGTAACATATGTTGACATTACCATGATTTTTGTTGTTTTTGTGTTTAATCATTTTTTGGTAATGTATTTTCTATTTACTTTTTGAATTGCAGGTTGCCAACTTTTGCAACGATGAAGATGATGGGAGTTTCTGGAGCCGTTGGATAAAGCCAGATTCTGTTTTCCAAGCAGAGGTGTGAACCTGTACTTTTATAGATATATTAAATAATTTTCTCTAATGTTGTTGAGTTTCTATGAATTGTGATATGTAGTGTTTGTTTTTCTTGGTGCATAAAATGATTTTCTTTTATTTGCTTTATCTTGGTTATTTTAGGAAGCTCTTGCTCCTCGATCTGCTAGAAATATTAAAAGCTATGCAGAGGTTGATCCAGCGGAAAGAACTAATAAAAGAAAAAAGAAGGATCCTGAACCACCTGAACGAGTTCAGAAACGCCGCAAAGCAGAGTTTTCTGCTCCTGCAGTACCAATGATTGAAGGAGCATGTGTTCAAGTGAGAAATTGGTCATATGGGAATTTATCTAAAAGAGACGCACTTCGTTTTTCTCGTTCAGTAAGATTCTAATACTTCTGACAAATTTCAGTGTTATCTTCGTATACGGAGACTTTCTATGCACTTCCAAGATATTGATAATCTTCATCCCAACCATTCTCATGCTATTTGTCACTTCCATTTCCAAAAAATTTAGGTTTGTAGGTGCTATAGGATCTGCATTTGAACTTTTAGAGCTTTTGTATTGCAAATTTGTAATTCTGAGCTAGGATCTTAAACTTGTAGTTGATCTGAAATAAAACTGACGAGTAAAACCTTCATATTCTACTTTCCGGTTGGATAGGCTAAATTTTTATTTTATAAAAGGACTAATGAAGCTTGAGGTGGCACTGAATTTCTATCTGATTCTAATTTTCTTTTTTGTTATTAATTATAATCTTACATACAATTATAATTTATGTTTTCACGTGACTGAAGCAATTAATATTTGACATTCTTTTCCTCAATAATTGTATAAAAACTAATGGACACTTTGTGTGCTCAGTATAGTGTCAGGCTAAGCTTGACTATGAACTAAAACTAGCTCAAAACGGATATCATGCGGATGGGAAAGTGTTTGTTTTTTTGTTTCAGAAATGACATGCCTTTACGGGTTTTTATGTTTAAGGGAGTGATCTATTCCTTGTCAGCATTAAGATGTCTTCCTTGCTCCTTTCTGTTGGATAGAGTTAATTGTTGTACTTCACTGTGGGTCATAGGAAGTGGGTTGCATTTTCAGTTCCTTTATGTTTATGTATAAACCTTTTCTTTTCCTTTTTTCTTTGGTTTGTTTTAGTGTTATGCCTTATCAGTTTGTGTTTGCTGTTTGTGCATGTATGTTTTGTATATGCTTCATTTTTATTTTATTTGGCAGTAAATAATTTTCTTTACCCAGGTTATGAAATATGGGAATGAGAGCCAAATTGACTTAATTGTTGCCGAGGTGGGTGGTGCAGTTGGTGCAGCTCCACCTGGAGCACAAATTGAACTTTTCAATGCTCTTATTGATGGATGTACAGAAGCAGTGGAACTTGGAAATGTAGATGTGAAGGTTGGTAAAACATTAAATTCCCTAGAATATGGTTTGAAATGGTTATTAGTATTCTTATTTCCTTAAAAGCTTTTAACATTGTAACATTGCATCCAGGGGCCTTTGTTGGATTTTTTTGGTGTCCCTGTGAAGGCAAATGATCTACTTACCCGGGTCCAACAACTTCAACTTTTGGCCAAGCGCATTGATCGATATGAAGATCCTATTGCACAGTTTCGTGTTCTGTCATATCTCAAACCATCAAACTGGTCCAAAGGTTGTGGATGGAATCAAAGTAGGTTTGTCCTCTTATATAGTTTGTGTTATGTATTCCTTTTACTTAATTGCTACTTTGCTGATTCTTTTTAACTTGTTTACAGTTGATGATGCTAGATTGCTTCTTGGAATATTTTTCCATGGGTTTGGTAATTGGGAAAAGATAAGATTAGATGAAAGACTTGGCCTCACGAAAAAAATTGCACCTGTAGAACTTCAACACCATGAAACTTTCTTACCACGAGCTCCAAATTTGAAAGACCGTGCTAATGCCCTTTTGGAGCAAGTATGCACTTATTAAATTTTAATTTCATTATTATTTCCTTTTGTATTTACAATTTAATAGTCTACTAAGGGATCTTTTATTCCTTTTATTTAGCTTATTTTTTCTTTGTTTCTAATGCTTTTACATGCCTACCTATTCTTCTACACTTCGGTAATTACCCTTCATGACTTTGTTTGGTATTTAATTTGCACATGTATTTTATCCCCAATTACTAAGGTATTTACTAGCAATATGAGAATAAGAGATGGAGAAGGGTATTTTTGGTATTAGCCTTTAGCATAACAAAGTTTTGATTTGCCGGAAAGTTATTGGTTAAGGGAATTTTGGTATTAGCCTTTATTTGTTTTATTTTTTGAAAAATCCTACTGGACTTTAAATTCCACACTAATGAGTGTCCTTCATTGCTTTGACTTTTATCTAGACTTACATTCACAGTGTCCATTTCTATGGCATGTTCCAAGATGTATATTGCCATTTCTTATAACATTGTTTTTGCGTATTCCAGTGATTAAAGATGATTTGAATTTTAAATTAATTCCCCAATCCTTTTCATGTGCATGCTATAATCTCCCCCTACTGATTTATGATCTGCTTTGTACTAAGCTTTTTATAATTCTCTGACCCTCTATTTGTTGAATCTAGTTTTGCTTATTGTGACTTACCCACGGTGTCTTTATTTTGCTTGTCGTATAGGAACTTGCGGTTCTTGGTGTGAAAAATGCCAATAGCAAGGTCGGACGGAAGGCTTCAAAGAAAGAGAGAGAAAATTTGATCTCACTGGGACGTGGGCAGGAGAAAAAGAAAAAATCGGGTTCTGTTAACGTCCAAACGAGAAAGGATAGATTTCAAAAACCCCAGAAGGTTGAATCTATAGTAAAGGAAGAGGGTGAAATGTCTGACAATGAGGAAGTATATGAGCAGTTCAAAGAGGTAAAATGGATGGAATGGTGTCAAGATGTGATGGTTGAAGAAATGAAAACTTTGAAACGTCTTCATAGGTTGCAGCAAACTAGTGCCAATCTTCCCAAGGAAAAGGTATATCTTTTGTCTTATTTTCTTGTAGTATGTCTTTTTTCTTTTAAATGTTGCAGTTTTTATTTTCCTCCCTGCTGCAGGTGCTTTCAAAAATACGTAACTATTTACAACTTCTTGGGCGAAGGATAGATGAAATTGTGTTAGAGCATGAGGAGGAACCCTATAAGCAATATAGTAAGTTTTCATTCCTCTTGGAAAGGTTTCTGTTTTGTTTGTGTATGGAATTCTTTTATTTTTGGTTGTTGGTCTCCTATTTTCTTACGAGGATATTTCAACATTTATGTTGGTAATCATTTTGAGGATTCTCTAGTCTCTACTTCATATGGATTTATTGTTGCTTATCTACAGGAATGACTGTGCGGCTGTGGAAATATGTCTCCACCTTTTCCCATCTCTCTGGGGAAAGGCTTCATCAAATATATTCCAAACTTAGACAGGAGCAAGATGAGGCAGGGGTTGGCCCCTCTCACGTGAATGGGTCGGCATCTGTTTCATTTACCAGAAATGGAAACCCGTTCCGTCGCCCTATGGAGAGGCAAAGAGGATTAAAGAATATGAATACCTACCAAATGCCAGAAACAGTTGATAATGGTGGGAAATCTGAGGCATGGAAACGAAGAAGAAGATCTGAAAGTGATAATCAATTCCAGGGTCAGGTGCCACCTCAAAGGACCGCAAGTAATGGACTCCGGATTACTGATCCTAACTCACTCGGGATCTTAGGTGCTGGGCCATCGGACAAACGCTTTGCTAACGAGAAACCTTTTAGGACACAACCTGGTGGGTTTCCTTCAAGACAAGGCTTCTCCTCAGGTATAAAGTAACCAGCTTAGTGGGATTAGAGTGGCTGATTACAAGAGTGTTGGTGGATGGATTTCACTCTGCATTTATACTGCTTCAGCTATTGTACATTCTGTGGAATTTTTTTCTTCCACCCATGCGAATAAGATCTTGCGGATCCCTTTTTGGTGTCTTTTGGCGGATATGAGAAGTATCCCAACACTGGGATTCACATCTTTGAACGAAATGGCTGAAGCCGGAAAGATCTATAATGCAAGATGAAAAGTTAGTCTTGCCAATTGTTTCTTTTTCCCTTTTGATTTCTACCCCCTTCTTCGAAGATATGACCAAGCAAAGTGACATGGCGAAAATCTTGAAAAGCGAAGAGTTTTACCCACTTGCTATAGACATACTTAGGAAAGTGTACATTGTCAATTCTGCAATTTTATTGGATTTTACTGCTCACTCCATAAAGTATGTTAGCTGCTGATGTAGACAAAAATGTATTTGATTTTTTGTGGTAATTATAGCTATAATTTCCAAGATTTTGTAGCTCTTTGAATTGAGTTTCATTAGTGAATGGTAAATGAAAAGTGATTTCTCGGCTTCTTGCCCTAAGTTTCTTACATTTGGTTTATGCTTGAAGCGTTTCCAGTTCATAGAATGTATGTACTCAGACCATCTTTAAGAATTTTTTATTATTCCCCTTTCCATTATATTTTAAATTGAAATATAGAAGGATTCTAGTGATTCATGTATAGGTTCTGTTCTGCCCTTGATGCATGGGCTATGTTGCAGGCATTTGTTAACTTGCAAACTTGGGAGTTATTGAAGGTCTTACGTTGTAATTAGCGAGACTTTTTCTTCTTGAACTTGTTTAGTAATATTCGTGGATTAAATGCACTTGCATGATTTTGCATTTGTTAAACGTGTAACTTATTTTACTAAAATAATTATATTTTCAACAAACTTGTTTATATTTTAGGTATTTTTGAAGTTTTAAATATAATTAGTTACAATATATATTCACTATATTTATTTGTATGATTTTTAATTATAAATATATTATTTGATGTGTATTTTAAAACACAAAGGAAACTAATTTTATATTTAGTTTTCACTATATTCAACATGAGATATTACGAAAAAATGAACACAAGTGATTATAATTTGATATTTTTTATCAAATTTCATATGCTTGAAGATCTCAACAAAATGGGGCAAATGATCATAATAACATATATTTATTGAAACAATTCACAATTTTTTAATTCACAATGTTCCTAAATATTTTGGAGATGATGTTCTTACTACATGTTATTTTATTAATCGCATGTCATCTTCGATTTTAAATAATAACATTTTTCATTCTTTTTTATTTCTTCATGAACCTCTATATTCCTTATCTAGTTTTTGGGGTGTATATGTTTTGTTAATAACTTTAGTTTTGATCTTGATAAGTTATCTTCTAAATCACATAAATTAATTTTTTAAGATTTATTCTATCACAAAAATGATATAAGTATTTCTCTCCTTTTCTTAACCGTTATTTTATTTCTATAGATGTCACTTTTAATGAGTTTTCCTTTTACTTTAAATATCCTTCTTCTTCTTCTTTGTGTGTGTCGCTGTCTACTACTGTTAATATTCCTGTTATGTGTGATTTTCTTATTAGTTCACCTTCAGATCCTCCACATCCACCACCACTACTCCAGGTTTATAGTAAAAAACAACGATCCCAACAACTACCAAATGACTTATATATACTAACTCCTTTGTCTCTTCTGACTCCGACAACTAAGTTTGACCTTTTAATTATTATCATAAAAGTATACATTCTACTTGTAATTTCTCTCCCGATTATATTGCTCTAAGGTCATTTAATGTCTTGGAAGCGCAAGAAACACAGTGTTGTAGTAAAATCGAATGCAAAAGTAGAATATAGAACTATAATCTCAACTACTTGTTTGACTTAAATAATTACTTAAAGAATTATAATGTGAAGATATGACTCAAATGACGCATATACGTGACATTCATATTAACTCTGATTCGTATTTCATAAATAATAAAACATATTCTAATTCTGTATTTCATAAAATAATAAAACATATTAAAATTGATTGTGATTTCATTCAAGAAAAGATATATATATATAGAAACATTAAAATCTCGTTTGTTTGTTAATAGATATTTTCACCAAATCTTTATAAAACTTAAAATTTAATTATATTTATAACCAATTTAGTACATATAATTTATATATATCAAATGTTAAATATTTTATATATTTTAAGTATTATTAATTACAATATATATATATATATATATATATATATATTTACCATATTTATTTATATTACACCAATATAATTAACCTATACCTACTCTACTTTTCAATGTATCTTAAAGTTATTATAAAAAATTAATTATTTTCTAATTAGGCAGTACATGAATGTTGCGTCTGTTCTAATGTCTGTAATCCTCCGGTTTCCACTCTTTTCTTGGAAAATGAAACTGAGGGCTTTCTCCTCGTACCTCGTATTTTAATATTTACTTTTAATTTTAAGATTCAATAAAAATACAGTAAGTTTGTTTGAATTCGTTGTTTTTTATTTGGGAAGATAATATGAACTAATTTGATTTTAATTGAATTGGTTCGGGCTATGTAATTTTAAACAATAACAAAAGAAAATCATGGCAAAAAGCGAAAAAAATTGAGTATAGCATTGAGGGTAAAATAACTTCTAAAACTTTAAAATCTTTTGTTTTCAAAAGTGATTCAAAATGGTTTTGAAATTCATTCAGTTTGATTAAACATATTTTGTTTTGAAATATAAATTTGGAAATGATAGACTGGAAACTCAAGCACTTAAACTGGACTTCAATTTTATTTTTCCTCGATCTTAATTATATTTTGAACTTCCTTTCCCTAATTTCAGTTCCCTTTAATTAAAAAAAAAAAGGTTTCATTAAAATTAAAATTTTTGAAATTCCTTCTAAATTAGTTGCCGACATTAAATCGAACACGTGGCCATAGTACGTGATATGTTGACCCCACGTTTTCATGCTTTTGTATGGCCAGCTCAGAACGTAACACGTGGCAGCCTCCTTTGAATTCCATGCACCACTCCTCACGGGAGCTTCATGTGCACTACCATTGCACCCGTTCAAGTCAACAACACGAACACGCATCCCTCACGTTAGTTCTTCCTACGCCATCGCCACAAAATACAACAAATATTTCAACTCTTTTTATAAATAAATGTCAACCATTTTTCAGTACTACTTGTTATTTTCCAGCCTTTTCAAATATACAACATTTTTTATTTAATTCCTAATTTTGTCGAAATTTAAAATCATTTTTTTCGTCAAATTTTAGTAAAATGTATTGTTATAAACTTTTGAACTTTTTTCCCTTATATTTTTATCCTCTTTCCGATTACAACACTTCAAATACTGAATATTATATTCTGGCATTTAATTCTTTTAAGTTTTTTTCTCAAATTTTAAAAGAATAAAATAATTTTTTCCTCAAATTTGAAAGAATATTAAGAAGATGAAGCAGAAAGAAAAATACAAAAACACATAACTAAAAAAAAGAATAAATGAAAAAAATATAAAGTTGAAAAATGAATAAGTCAAGAAAGAACCAGAAGAAAAGCAATATATATATATATATATATATATATATATATATATATATATATATATATATATATATATATTTTTTTTTTTTTTAAAAAGAACGGGTTCTTGAAACCTTAAATGTTAATTTAATATATTTTAGTTTGATCCCTTGACTTCTATACGGAAAACCATATGGAAGGTGATGCAGTATATAATATGCTGTATAACTAAAATTAATAGATTTTATGTACTCGAAAGATAGTGTAAATATTAAATCTTATTTTGGGATATTGATTTTGAATTTAATATATTTAAGAATTAAACAAAAGACTTATACATTTTTTAAGGATTCGAAAAAAAAATATTAAGAAAATAATTTCATTTGCTTTTAGGAGTTATTTAATCTTATACAAAAAAAAAACAAAAATGTTATTTAATGTTTAATGAAATAAATATAAAAATAAAAAAATGAATATTTTAAATTAAAGATAAAAAATATTTAAAAATTAGTGCTTTTTACAACATTAATTGTATTTTTTTCATTAAACATGAAATATTATTGATATTACATAGGAAATAATATAGGTATTAAACAATGTGACGCATTTTTTTTACCACACATGATGATAACATTTAAAAAAAAAAAAAGTGTTAGAAAATATATACTTGAACATTTCAGAATTAGGTAATAATAGGGTTAAAAAACTTGATATGACCACATGAGAGAATTGAAAGTCTTGAAAGCATTATTATCCGCAATGTGTAAATAGAGGAAAGGGTTAAAAATAACAAGTGGGGCCCTCAGGTGGTGTAGAATAATAAGGTTGTGGTGGTACACACTCTATCTTTTCCTGCTTTCCATGCCACAATCATGAAACAGGTAATGATGATGATCTGAGCAACCGTGTTTGTCTCGTGTCTCATCCATGAAGAGAAGGAGAAGACGAAGAAGAGATCCAAAATCTGAAGAAAGTAACGATTTTTCGAGATGGGTCTGTCCAAGGAGAATCTGAAAGGTCTCGTACTGGCTTTGGTGTCAAGTGGGTTCATTGGGGTAAGTTTCATCATTAAGAAGCAAGGTCTCAGAAGAGCTGCAGCAGTTTCTGGTGTCAGGGCTGGTAATTGAATTCCCCATCTTTTCTATAGGAATTAGAATTTCTTTTTGGAAGGTTGTATTTGGTTATGCATGCTTTTGCATTTTTTTTTTGTCATTTTGTAGGTGTTGGCGGGTATTATTATCTCTTGGAGCCACTCTGGTGGGTGGGAATGCTCACAAGTAAGCTTTACTGTTGTTTTAATTTTGGTTATATGCTTTTAGTTTTGTCAAATCTTTGTTTTCTGTAGAATCTAGATTTTCTACTACCTTAATGGGTTTTGTCTTATATCCATTAATTGTGTGGAAGTAATTGGATTTTCCTTTTGATAGAATTTTTTAATCTGATAAGTTAGGATGAAGTATTTCGTTTTACATTGTATTGTGGAACCAGGGTTTTATGTTTCAAGATGCTTTATTATTATTATTATTATTATTATTATTATTATTATTATTTAATTTTCTATATTATAGACACATATGTGTTAGATCAGTTGTACTAGTATTGAAAATTAATTAAAATATGCAAATTTTAGTTTCCCATGGTCATTTTCTCTTTATCAGATTAATTACCGGCAGATTGTAGAATCTAGATTTTCTTGTACCCTATTTGGTTTTGTTTCGTCTTAATAACTGGTTTTGATTTTATACATTCATTGTATGAAATAATTGGATTTTATTTTTAATAGGATGAACTAATTCCATTTTTGCATTGTATAGCGGAACCTGTATTTGATGTGCATATGCTTTATTATTAGCTAGATAGAAATATTTGTTTGTCATGGTCATTTTTTCTTTATCTGATTTCTTGCAGAATATGTTTCTGCATGGTTTATTGTACAGTGATTGTAGGAGAGGTAGCAAACTTTGTTGCATATGCGTTTGCCCCAGCAGTCCTAGTTACCCCTCTTGGCGCATTAAGTATTATTGTGAGGTATTCCCCTTTGTTTTCTTTGTCAACTGAGAGTTAAGGCAATATTAGCTTCTAAAATTAGCAACATGATTGCTTCTTCAATGATCTTTGCATGGTATCCTCTAGTGCTATGTTGGCTGACATTATTCTGAAAGAGAAGCTACATAATCTTGGGATATTGGGCTGTGTGATGTGCATTGCTGGTAGTATCATTATTGTTATTCATGCTCCTAAGGAGCAACCCATTAATTCTGTTCTGGAAATATGGGATATGGCTACTCAACCAGGTTAGAATGCACTTCCTTTTTTTTTTTTTTAATAATGCAATTCATTGTAGTTTCTTGATTACAAAGATATTCTCCCTGCTTGCAGCTTTTCTGGCATATATGGGCTCAGTAATAGTATTGGTTTTCATTCTGGTCTTCCATTTTGCACCAAGATGTGGGCATACGAATGTGCTAGTATTTACTGGCATTTGTTCATTGATGGGTTCCCTCTCTGTAAGTAAATTAACTGCTATTGCTCCTGTTAAGTCTTCTGTTTGCCGACTGATTACACTTCATAGTTTTGTTGCCAAGTTATTTATTTTAAAATGTAAACGATCTGAGGAACTTGATTTCATGTTGAAAGTAATTTGGTCTTTACTATTCACTATTGTGTTGTAATAATGAATTTCATAAATAGACATTCAGCTTCCATATGGTTTTCATATATTTTTTACTTGTATAGGTATTTCTATCATCTCGGTTGATGATATTGACTAAAAATCTTTGCTTTGTAGTAACAATAAAATAATACCGAGGCTGATCTAAACTGGATTGCGATAATTTTGCAGGTGATGAGTGTTAAAGCCCTCGGAACTTCTTTGAAGTTAACTTTTGAAGGGAAAAATCAGTTAACCTACCCAGAGACATGGTTTTTTATGTTAGTTGTGGTTATATGTGTCATCATGCAAATGAATTATCTTAATAAGGTTTGTTACTTAATGTTCCTTAAAAGTATCGTGCCAGCAGTGTCGTGCACATATTTTTACTTATGACCTGTTGGTGATAGTTCAAACATTGACAAATTCTTTAGTTGAACTCGCTGTAATTTGTTAATATATAGGGAAAAATGATCTCTTCTCTATTTTTGGCGTTGCATCTATTATATCTTGATCCATACATATTTCACAGGACTGCTCTTTTTTTGGAGAGGGGAGGATAAAAGAAAGATTTATAAGGGAGCATAGGAAAACATCACTAGGGAGGAGTATATTGTTGGGCATAAGAGTTTCAAAAATGAAAAATGCAACAAAGTTGTCTAATGTCTGTATATACGACTCTTACAAACTATATATATGGGTATGGTAGTGGCAAGGAAGTGAAATTAGGCCCATATATAAGGGTCTGAGAGATTATGGAAGGAGAAATAAACAGGTTGCACAGGAGGCAGAAGAGGGTAGGATTGAAGCATGTGTTGGGTACCGATGTAATGGGATAAGGCTTGGCTACCGTTTTAGGCATTAATTCCATAGGAGTATCATTGAGCTTAGACTCCAGGTTTGAGATTTTAGAAAAGGTCAGGAAATTAAATTGCTTTACTTGGACCTTTGGCATATTATAAAGCAGCTAAATTAGAAATCAAGCAAGGCAAAGAAGTCCAGATTTGAGGTTTCTGTTTTGGTGTGCTCATATACGAGAATTCTAATTTATCATTTTACAGTATTTGGTGTTTTGAGTAAAATAAAGTTGGTCTTGTTGCCAGATCCCCCCTTTGAATTCGTATGCAGGTTTTAGCTACAACTTCGTACATCTTTTTAATATTTCTCAAGCTAATCTTGTCAGTAAGAGGGGAATTACATTCAATAGGAGGGCTCTTTCTGATATGATTATCAATAATTTCTCCTATTATTTTACTAGTTGCACGTTAAATCCTCGATACAATATACAACATTGCAACATACAAATTCATATGGAATGTAAATCAAGATAAATCAACATTGAACAAACCTCAATTCAGAACTCAAGATAGAGTACCCAACACAACCTCAGAACTAAGGGATTACATAGTACAACAAAATTCAAATCCAGATACAACAGAAGTATATGGTTTTACACCATGCAACAATTAAAGGTTTAGTATTTGGTACTCTATTATTTCTTACTGATAATGTTATCAGAAAGAGTAGTCTATCTGTTAAGGTTCCAATATAAAACCAATTGGCAATATGTGGAGTAGTCTAACATGTATTTAAACCATACCAAATGATATGAGGTAGACGATGTGAGACTTTCAACACACTCCCTCCAACGAAGCCCGCCGGACCAGGCAAAGGGTACTTTTGACCCAACTAAAGGGCAACTTTTGGCCCATGACAATAACCGGAAAGATGTTAGGCTTTGACTCTGATACCATGTTAAGGTTCCAACATAAAACCAATTGGCAATATGTGGAGTAGCCTAACATGTATTTAAACCATACCAAATGATATGAGGTAGATGATGTGGGACTTTCAACACTATCATTGCTTACAAATCCTCCATACAACATGCAATGTGATTTTAGTTCTGTTTGATATGTGATCTCTTATGATTCCTAAGGTTTAGTGTTATGTACACTATGACTGCTTATACAAAAGAGATTGGCGTATTAGTAGCATATAAATAAACAAGAACATTGGGCTGACTAAGGCTGCTACTTTTCTATAACTTTACTTTTGTTAGTTTCTTAATCGGTTTGACTGTGCTGTTCCTTGATGTAATGATACGATCTTTTAGAAGTTAGAAATGGAAGAAATATTTAGTTGTTGAAATTGCCTTCATTCACATTGCTAAATTACTGGTATGGAGAACTCCTTCCAGTGATATAGTGATCAATTATATTTTTTATGTTTACTGTTCTTATTTCTTCATTAAATCTAGTTCAAAATGATTTCCAAGTTAAATTCAACGGAAAAAAAGAAAGCAATTACAGAGAATTCGGATTTGCTCTGTGCATTGCATACGAATTTCTTATATTTGAAAATATGAATCGATTATGCATCACTAACGTGATTGTAATGTTCCAGGCTCTTGACACCTTCAACACAGCCGTTGTATCTCCTATATACTATGTCATGTTCACAACACTTACAATACTAGCCAGTGTAATAATGTTTAAGGTATAATAAACAAGATGTGGCATTTAATGTTGAATGCAGTACAAGATGTTTCTGTTTATGAATTATACAAGAACCTATTTACGTACATTTAAAAATAATTCTTACAGGATTGGGATGGCCAAAGTGGTGGAACTATAGTGTCAGAAATTTGTGGCTTCATCGTTGTGCTCTCTGGAACAATAATGTTACACACAACCAAGGACTTTGAGAGAAGCTCTTCTTTTAGAGGTGTGTGGTAAATTTGATCATACGGCTTAATTCTGCTGCCACTGACTAGCCAGATGAATATATAGAACCAAAATTGATATTCTTTCACGTTTGCATTGGTGTTGAAACATTGCAGGTATTGGCCCTTCCTCACCTACGCTATCTACTCGGCTTTATACTGGAAATGGGGACTTGTTTGTTAAGCTAGATGAGGAGAGTGGACCTCCTGACAGTAGTATGTGCTCAAGAAGACAAGAATCCTATTAGATGGTCAAAGATCTTAATTCATTTAGTTGTAGGGTGAAGGGTTCCTTCTCTGGAGAATCTGAACGAGATTCACATCATAGTATACTATACCATGCGGCTGGAGGTACCAATGAAACCATAGAATGAGCAGGGGTTTGTGAAGCCATTCTTTTATTCTCATAGATTTTAGTTTGGACTTTGCAAGATGGTTCTGGAATCAACCCTTGTAGGGTACATTATGTACAGCGCGTCCACAGTTTCTTGTGTCATGAATGGTTGGTTTGTTCACCTTTTCAAAGTTACTAATCTGCTACAAGTAGTCATTAGATGCATATTAGTAGTTTCTGTGAGGCTTTCTTTACATGAACCAAAAAAAGAGTGGGGATAACAGAGATTGTTAGTTTTTTTAAAACCATATGCATGGTGATGGAGATTTTCCTTTTCTTTTTTTGTTATTTAATTTTTTTGTTTTTTTTATGACAATATGGCTTGGCACACAGGATTATCTGTGGTTTGTAAATAATGAAAATGTACAGGGAACTATAAAATTTCCTTCGGAACTGTAGTTTGTTATGAACTTCTCATTCTTAAATGGACAAAAATAGAATATGTTCTTGTAAGCTCTCAACCTTTTGTTGGTAATTTCCAAATTTTCAATCAATAAAAATTGTGTTCCTATCTTAATCCGAAGTGAAACATATTATGAAGGAAGCATGTGGAGTGGGCCTTCAAATGTTAGACATCATTGAAGAAGCCAAGAAATGAACCTCACCTCAAGAGTGTGCTCATTTGTTAGCATGGCACCCTGCAATTTCCCAAGCCGACTCTTTTGTCCTTGTCTAAAGAACAGTAATAATATTATGAGAAGTAGGGAAGGTGGATTCATACACTAGTACTATGCCAAATACAACAAATTGCTGAATTAAAAAACTCTTGAAAATATGAGAGAGAGAAATAAATGAAGGAACTTGAAGATGTGTCAATTTTTAGCAAGAGGGTTGTTTTCTGGCCCCACCAGACATATCTTCGTTTTCCTGTCTCTTAACATTTTCATGACTTAATTCTTAAGTTTTCAAAAACGCGACAATAAAAATACATAATTATGACCAGTTCATACTATACAGCAATAGGTTTACTTTAAAAGAAAATAAATAGCGACAGAAAAGAAAATTAGAAAAAAGAAGCATTATTTAATTATTATTTATAATATAGTACAACTAGGAGGCGGTGTCCGCGTGATATCGAAATCTAACAAACGTAAGGAAGCAGAAACTCTGGTCTGAGTTTATCTTCTGAAGCGGGAGCGAGTTTTTGAAGTCAAATAAAGTGAGTTGAACTCGGTTGAACTCGGTGGGTGTTGAATTGAATGGCGAAGCTTGAAGCGAAGCTAGGGATGATCGTGGATTCGGTGGGTCAGTTCTTCTCCGGCAAAGACCATCTTCCCTATTGTGACTCTGACATCGTTGCTGTATGTATTATATCCTTATCCTCTTCTCTCTTAGGGTTTCCGTTCCCAATCTGATAATTCCTATATTCAATCAATTTGTTAGCAGTTACGTATATGTTTCTGTGTGCGTGTAAGTGTTTGAGATTGATCTTGCAGGGGTGTGAAAAAGAGGTTTTGGAGGCAGAGAAACTGTCTTCTGACGAGTATATGCAAGATTCTCTCTTGCGTTTAACATGGGCTCTTGTGCACTCTAAACATCCCCAAGATGTGCACCGTGGGATAGCCATGCTTGAAGGTCTCTCACTTTTACACTTTCATTATGCAATGCAAATGTATGTATGTATGAATATTATATGTTGATTGATAGTAAAATAACATGTATGTCTGTATGTATGTACATGGAAATGGCAGCATCGTTGCCTTCTACAAAGGACCCATTACAGCAAAGGGAGAAGCTTTATCTTCTGGCTGTTGGATACTTTAGAAATGGTGACTATTCAAGGAGTAGGGATCTTGTCGATAGGTGCCTCACGGTATGTATCCATCCATCCATCGTGTATGTTTGTTTGTTACTTCTGATTTGGCTACTGTAAAGCAAGTATGGATGAATCTCAATCTTGCCATTGTCATCACGTCTGTAATTTCTTATGCATGAGTTTTAAATATTTGATTTTCTTTAGCAACTGATATTACTTACTTTATCTTTAGACATTAGAGGAGTCAAATTCTAATTATACTGCATAATGATTTCACCTTTTTTTTTTTTTTTGTGGAGAAAAAATATTACAACCGTGTTTTCTGCTATTGATTTCCCCTAATCAGTGAGGGAGAGGTTGTGTGTTGTTGTTTTGTACCTGAAGGACGTTGTATTTGGCTTGTGTCCTAGCATAACATCAACTATGCTTTCTAACGTTTTTTAAGTTGAGTTTCGATGTGTAAATTTTGCCATTTGTATTTGAAAAGAATCTGACTTATGTATATGGATTCTCTGTAGTCTCTACATATTTTACTGTCACCATGTATTGACAGAAAGGAATGCAGTATGATTTTAGGCCAGTGCAAACTCTCTGAAACAGGGTGGCTTATCACAACAGTCATGTGCTTGCTTACTTCTCTTTGCCTTTTTCATTTGCCTAGGTCTATGTGCCTGATTTCTTTGTTACAGAGAAAAAAAGTTACAAATTGAATATCTATAAGTTTTGGGTGTTTCACACCATCAATTTATGTGTGTGTATATATATATATATATATATATATATATATTAACCTATTGCATATACACCAATGCACCATGCCAGTTATATAGTTTAATGACATCGTGATAAATTTTTGTTTTCCTTAGATTGCACCCGACTGGAGGCAGGCAGTGACACTCAAAAAGGCAATCGAGGATAAGATCACAAAAGGTTACCATCAAACGACCATGATCTACTTAATACTTTTTGTGCTACTGTTGATAGTGACTCTAATAAAACTGACACTCCTTTTTTCTTCCATTGTAGATGGTGTCATTGGCTTAGGCATTGCTGCAACTGCTGTAGGACTTATAGCAGGTGGGATTGCAGCAGCTGTGTCTAGAAGAAAGTGACAATCGTTTGTATCAAACACATGGGCTAATATATAAGAGGCAAACGTATATGATACTGGAAATTTGCTGCATTGCTACTTTTATGAAGGTGTGAACAATAATGTGTACAAAAAACAGTGGATATGATACATCATACTAGTAGAGATCATGAGAGAGATGTAGTCCATGTGTTAGCGTTGAAAAAATGTTGTCATTGTTAATTTACTTACCTTCTTTATGTTTTTGTATCTGGCAATACCCCCTCCCTTATATTGCAGTTCTGCAATGCAATTACGTTGAATTTATCTTAGATAATGTATCGATAATTTGATGTTCGGTCTAATCATTGTTGAAGACTTAACTCATTCAAAAGATAAAGAATGACTAGAATGAAAGTAAGTCATGTGAGGTTTGAGTGTATGTTTGGATTAAAGCTAGCAGAGGCTCAGAAAGTATTTTTACTTAGAAGGCAACTGCTTGATTGTATCAATTTTGGAAGAAATATAGTGCAAAAATTCGATTTTCATTTTAGCATGAAACTCGCCCTAAGGCTGGAGTTATATAAGTCAACATTTGTGAATACTTTACTATTTTTTTTTTAAAAAGTGTTTTTTAGAACAATTATCAATAAATATATCATGTAACATATATTTACAGATTCAAATATCGTTTTAAAAGCAACTATTTTGAATGCAAAAGCTAAAAACGTCTCGAAATTTTATTTTCATCTTCTGTGTTTTATTATGTTACAGTTTTCTTTCTATTACATTCTCAGTTACTCCTTCCATTTTTTTAAAAAAGCAAAAAAGGGAAATATTTTTTACAATTGCTAACGAATATATATATATATATTTTTGTCATATTATACTTTTAATTAATTTTCGACCTTTCAGTGCAATATTTTTAACGAGAAAAAAAAATTTAGAAAGAATAGTTGAGAATTAATAAGATTTGATATAATTAAATGTTCTCCTTAACGTGCGAAGAAGTATATCTTGCACAAACTTTTACTGGAAGGACCTAATTCAATCGTGTTTTGGAAAATAAAAGTACAAATCAAAGAAATCCTTAATCTTTCGCAGCTTATTCAGGAATGTCTTCTTTACGCCAATTTTTCAACTTGTAATAATGTAACTTGATAATTTAAAATTGCTCGAATTTTAGTTGAGAAAGAAATTTGAGAGTTTTCAAAACCGTGGTTTTTAAGTAAATTATAGTGGTCAAGCGAAGGAAAGAATTGAGATTGAATGATATATTAGGGAATCCCAACAAGGCTAGTTCAATGAAGGAAACTTCCCTGCAACTCCCTTCTGGAATTTACGTGACCCTTGCTTTTCTCACTTGTGGAACAAAACTTTTTTAACTACTCTTTCTCTAATAATAGAGTTCCATTCTTACAATCCTCCCGCAAAATACATTTGGCAGCGTTGATTATACCACTTCTACAATTGGAATTGTGACTTCCGATTCATGTCATTTCTTGGGTGCTGGAAGCTTAACACATGATTGCAGTACCCATAAATGACGTCATTACTGGTAATGTTCCACGCTGTTCGTGCACTAAATCCGATGTTTGATTGTAAAAATAACAGCAAAGGTCGAATGAAATAAACCAAAAAATGAGGCTTAAACGGTTGGTTGCACACTAGTTCTATTAAATGCCGGAAGACACATTGGGTTACACTTGGGCATCAATTTCTTCCTTGAGAACAAATTCAAATGCTTTATCTTGCCATGCAAGGGGGGATGATGGTGGAGAGTCCCACGGTGATGGAGACGATGGAGGAGAGCTCCACTGCACTGAATAGTCCAACCAATCAGAAAAATCGGACATTGGTAATTCTACTGGTTCCGGGTAGCATCGAGGGGATTCAGGAACCTAAAGTCAAATAGGAAAGCGGAAGATAGAGAAAATGTTAGACAAGGGAAGAAAACAGTACAGGGTAATCAAACAAATGCGTAAGTTTATACAGTGTATAGATTACTAACTGCTTTAACAAAAACATACTTGTCAAACAGACATTTTTATTGTCTGTGTGTATATATGACAAGAAATATTTGTTTTCAAAGCATCCCTTCAGCTTATACTTGTAACCAAAAAAACCTAAAAGTAAAAAAGGGTGCAAGAAAGATAGAAATACCTTTATCTGCTCTACAATAAATATGGAATCTGCAAACATAAAATGCAGTTAGGAATTTTATGAACATGATCGGATAATGATAACCGCTAACATGATAGACAGCGAGGGAGAACTAAATTTAATTCACCAAAAGTTTGAGTAGGAATCTATTCGAATATATCTGAAGTGAATTCATTTTACAATGGCAAGCCCAATTGTTGTCATACAGTGGATAGTGTAGCAGATAATATAGTGAAAATCACATAATGGTTGAAATATATGTATAAAAAATCAAGGTTTTATGCAAATAAAATACATAAGAGTTGGTATAATATGAACTCGAAAGTTCAATTGGTGGAGGCTCGTCAGAGATTACAAGAGAATGCAAAGCACATGCCACAACCACAATAGCGATAGTGGCCACAATAGCCGATGGAATTGCGATGGTGGATCTCAGAAATTTCGCTATATAGTGCTAAAGCGCTTCTAAGGCGGCTAGTCAACTACACTGATTTTCTCTAATACAAGAGAACTGGAAATAAGTAACTCAAGTACGTACTCACATGCCAATATACCGCATATACAATCTCATCCTAAAATTAGTTGATATTAAAATTAGAAGATAACCACAACATACATTCACACATTGAAAGTTGAAGTAAAATCAAAGTGGGAGGGATTACCATCCTGTGGAAGAACTGTCTCGAGATTGAAATTTCTCGTTGCAGCTTTTTGGGCCTCAATGCACTTCTTGTGATCGTGCAAAAACATTTCCTCCTTTACGTTAATATCTTCCTTGGATACAGTCTTTTTCTTAATTGAGGTTTCATGGGGAAGTGATGTTTTGTTTGTTATATCATTTAGAGCTTTTCGACTAGAAATCCGTGAACCGCCTTTCTTTCCATCTGTCTTAGAATTCTTCGACTTGACAATCTCTACCCAAGACAACAAAGGATAAAACAAAACCAATATAGTAAGAGAAAAGTGTAGTAAATAATAAATGTTTCACCAATACTGTTACAGAATGCAAAGACAAATTCTAAACTGGTTTATTCATTGAAAACTTTTCATTACTAATCAGGTAATAATGACATTCAATAGAATCCACTCCAGTAGTTCGGAATTGGTGTTACAAGCAACATAACATAAAAGGCTTACTCTTGGGATGAAGATCCAAGTTTTCATCTTTGATCATCAAGTGACCAGGAGCAACAAACTTAGCCATTATCCTGATTCACCTTTTTCAGATAGCAAAGACTTTATTACAGGACTCTGCAACACCAACTAAAAAAAACGTATGAGAAATAAATAAGAAAAAAAGGTGTGAGGAAGAGAGTGAACAATTCAACATGCACATAAGGAGTAAAGGACAACCCATATGAATGTAAAAGGAATGAGTTGTGAATTTTTTTTTTTAATTGAATAGGGTATGCAAATCTTCTGACTCAGCAAACACCGACTAGTTAGATCGTTGTCACAAACATCAAATTTGAATAATTTTCTCAAATGAAACCAGGGGTAATATATTAGTAACAGTAGCAGATATTTGGATGACGTAGGTGATTGCACAAATGGTTACAGTTTGACCAAGATACAAATTTCAAATTCAAATAGTTGCAGGGTTCTTTGGTGAAATGAAAACAAAACAAGAATGTGAAACAAGAGCTGTGGAATAGACCAACCCAGCACAAACCCTAAAACTAGCCCAAATAAATTAGAGCCAAAACCTGGAAAATATCTCTTGATAAAAAAATGGCTAGTAAAAAATCCATAACAATGTACTGAAACTACATTATATAAGTTGACTTATCATAAAATATCTCTTGAACATAAACGTATTGATAGAAAAGTGAACTGAATTAGACCTTGAACTTGAATAGATTGGAAACTCTCACAAAGTTTCACCAGGAAATATATAAATTAACAATACCTATAAATTAACTAGAAAGACAATATTTGATCTGCCACTAACATGGATAATACAATAACAATGTGCCCCATTAATATAGCTAAAGATAAAGCCCCTATAAGTTTTGGATCCGAAAGTGTTCTATCTTCCATCAGCTTAACCATTCTATAGGGAACTAAGCTGCATTTCTTCATCCCCCTTCATATCATTCATACACCTTGAAAAACCTTTACTAGTGCTAATATTTTCTTTTCCATATTCAAACCCCATGAGGTTTATAGTATTACTTGTATCGTTTGCAATTCCAAGTAAGAATTTGTACACTAACTTAAGGAACATAAATCCAAATTCCGAAACATAACAGAAATAAAATTCAAATATAGACAAGGAAAGCGGAAGCGGTAGCACTAACCCAAAATCGCAGAAATGCTAGAAGTAAAGAACACAAATAGAGAGCAAGGAAGGGGAATGAGATGATGCGGTTCGATTGCGAATCAATTTGACACCCAAAATCAAAATCAAAAGTAAAAATGTGAAGCAAGTTGCAATTGGTGAGATCGATTGCAAACCCAAAAGGCAGAAATCAAAAGCAATATGCAATCGAAAGTGATCAATATTTGCAATTAGGTTTACTAATTATCAAGTTAAATGAAACAAAAAAATAAAACACATGTAACAAAATGGTTACCTGATAGAATGAGAAGAAGAAGAGACTGAAAGTTTAGTTTTGAGACCCACTGCGGCCAATTCAAATTAATGGACTTTTAGACATCACTGCCCTTCGTCATATTTCAAAATTACTAATCTCCCTTCTTTATGTTTATTCCCTAAAATGGGATCTCTTCAGTCCTTAAAAATTGCGTAAAGTATATTCTACTCACCTGTTACTGTAAGTATCTGGTGTGACACAGTGAAGGGTACTCAGGTAATTTCACGTAAAAAACTTTCTTAGCTTTGGTGAATGTTGAACAAGTGCAGACAGAAAAATAGAAATGTTGAGAAGGTTGGGTTCAGCAGTGCGGGGAGCTTCCAGAAGGTTCCAACCGCTACCCTCTTGCAAGAAGCTGTACTCGAGCGAAAGCGAGGACGCCCGTGCGAGGCCACCGAAGCTTCTGGTGGTTCAGCCGCGCGTGCGGCCGGAGAAGCTGTTGCAGGCGAAGCTGAACGAAGCTCTGTGCCTCGCAAACTCCCTCGAAGACCAGCGCGATGGCTATTTCCACACAGATTTCTTCGACAAGCCGTTGCCACCTCACGTGCTCGTCCAGAACCGCGTCCCACGCGCCGACTCCTATTTCGGCCACGGAACCGTCGATAACATCAAGTGTCACGTGAATGCTGCTGCGGAGTCTGAGGTTGTCTAGTCTTTTCATGTGACTGTTATTTGGTCTCAAAATCTTGTGCAAGTTGTAACTCGTGTGTTACAGGATGAGGTGGATGCAGTTTTTGTTAATGCGATACTCTCTGGGGTTCAGCAACGGAATCTTGAGGCAAGTGTGTGTTGCGTTGTTTGACGTGATTTTAGTGTCTTTTTGTAACATAGAATGGGGAATTGAGGTTTACGTACATGGCAGAGGGCTTGGGGGAAACCGGTGTTGGACCGTGTGGGCCTTATCATTGAGATTTTCAATGCTCATGCGTTTACAAAGGAAGCGAAACTTCAGGTGGGTGATGTTTGACTATGCCCTTCTTCTCGAATTGAATTGAATGTTGTGTTGCATTGTTACTGTGTGTGGTTTGGCATCCATGAGTGCAGGCTGAACTCGCAGCTCTGTCCTACAAGAAGACCAGACTTGTTCGTGCTCGCGGCCCTGATGGTCGCTACACGTTTGGTGCTTCTGGAGAAGCTGAGGTTGTTAGCGCCCGAGGGTTAGTTATTTCCTAATTTTCTGCTGTAAGGAGTGCTACCAATGCTCTCTAACACAATCTTGAGACCTACACAATCTTGTGATTTTCAACAAATTTCAATCAATTTTAGAGAGTTTGTTCAAAAGAGCGTGTTACAGATATGCTGCTGGGATTTCTCGCTATGCTCTTTTATAACTATGATATCCTTTAACTTGGACCACTATTTTTCTTTATGCATAAGAGATTGTAGAAATCTGGAGCCTGACAGAATTTTGATGTTAGCTATGAACAACATTTCCTCAAATTGGGTGGGTTTGTTTGTGATCCCTCCAGAGGTTTAGCGGACAAGAATAATCAGGCACAGACACGTAGTACTTCAGTTAAACAAGCCTTATTCTTGCATATTACGTGATGACTTGACTTTTTATTACTTCAATTGTTGACGGGAATCTCTGTCTTTTTCAATTTTACATGATGTTTAGATCACCAAATTTTCTAGTCATACCTATTTGATTTTTGGTTTACCTTGATGTTAGGAAGTATGAACATGGTTGAAACTGAATTTAGTTTTTCTTTTCACTTATCCCTATCTCTTTTACGCACATATACCTTTATGCATGTGTTGTTCTCTGAATTTCTATCCTTTGGCCTAGTCGCTTGTATTGTAGTACTGAATTGTTAATTAGAGTAACATTATGAAATACTTGTCAATTTCAGGAGAGGAAGTGGGGGACAAGGTTTTATGAGTGGTGCTGGAGAAACTGAACTTCAGCTTCAGCGACGAAGGTATGGCTGTGATATTAAATGTTTTGCATGTATTATGGTCAAGTGATATATATCTGGTTTTTCATGTAGATCTCATGATTTCATAGTTGATTTTTCATTTCTCATTGCATCAAGCCATTGCAAATTTTCACCGTATTTTCTTGATCCAAATAATATTTCAAAGGGGTGACTTATGTAATTTTCATCTGCACTGATATAAAGATAAATCCCACCGAGCAAAGGTCTCACTGTATGTGGTGCTTTTAAACTACAATTCTTGTCCAGTAGTCCTGTGTATGAAATATTATTATCTACTCGTTGATGTGGAATCCAACAGTTTATATGGTGATTTATTATTATGCATAATTGAGTCACTAAAGTGTTAAATACCCTTAGAATCATTGAGAGGAGAAATTATCTGTTATCTCAAATTGAAGAGGTTCGCCGCACCCGGGCTTTGCAGCGTGCTGGTCGCAAGAGGAGTGGAGGTTCATCTGGACAAGGCTTAGCCACCATTGCTGTTGTTGGGTATACTAATGCTGTAAGTGGTCTAAATATATGTATTTGATACTTATTTTAATCAGAAGCATAACTGTTGTACCTTTCTACATGTTTTTATCAGGGAAAATCTACATTAGTAAGTAGGCTATCAAACAGTGATCTGTTTAGCGACTGTCGGTAAAATCACCTTTACTGCTACCCTTGTGCACTTATGTTGACTAGTTTTGTTATGATTTTTAATGCTGGTCTTTTCACTTTAAATGCTTAATGGCATTACATGAATTGCAGATTGTTTGCCACAGTTGATCCTAGAGTAAGAAGTGTTGTTCTTCCTTCAGGGTAATTTGACCTGCAATTTTCTTTATAATCTCAGTTGCAGTACCCTCCATCTTGTACATTGGTTGTTATTGTTGAACGTGTATTAAATCAAAATTTTCTTTTTTTTAGAAAGAAAGTGCTTTTCAGTGACACAGTGGGATTCATATCTGACTTGCCTGTACAGGTAATGATGAAACATGACCAAATTGTCATGTCAGCATATTATTTTTATCAATATTATTCTTCAACATTCTTATTTGACAATAATCTTCTTTTTTTTCTCTTTTAATTTTTGTAGTTGGTGGAAGCATTTCATGCAACTCTAGAAGAAGTTGTGGAAGCAGACCTACTTTTGGTATGATTTTTCATTTCCTTTCAGTTTCTGAAGAACAGAAGTGGCATTTTTGTTGTTTTGCATTTTGTATGATTTTTTATTTCTAATACCATTTTCGAAATCTAACAAATCTTTTCTTTTATCCCTTAACTAAAAACAAATAGGAAGAAACAAATAGGAAACGTTAAAAGTGAATGGTGATAAAAGGATGACGATTGCACGATTTTCATAGTAGGACTTTCTTTTTGTACACATATCCTTGATATGATTGATTTATGCTTGTGATACAAGATTGTATTTGTAATAACCTTATTACATCTGATTTCTGGTTTCTCTTCATTGTTTATGGACTGTTACTTTCTAGTAACTTTTGCTCCAAAAGTTTAACTATTTAGAATTTAGTGTTTTATTTACTGATTGAGAAGTCAACTGTCCAATTTATCTTTCCTTGAAGCATGTGGTAGATTCAAGTGCTCCCAATCTTGACGAACATCGCACAACAGTGTTGCAAGTTCTTCGACAAATAGGAGTGTCAGATGAGAAGCTTCAGAACATGATCGAAGTTTGGAACAAGGTAATACAAATTATAACTCCTCTACCCATTTACCAAATTGCAAGAAACAACTGTTTACTATATATAACTTAACTCAATCTTTGAAAATGTTTAGATTGATATGGAAGAAGAATGCATGGATGTTGATGAATATCTTGATGATAAAGAAAAGGATGGCTTCAATTTAGAAGATGGTGTGAAATCTGAGTTATTAGCTGAAAGTGAAGGCACGGAGGAGGTTGATTGTGAGGCCTTGGAAGAAAAAGAAGACGATTCTGATGGTTGGTTATATTCTGATGATTTGGTCGATGAATGTAAGTTTTGTTCACCTTCAACAGTGGCTGACCAACAAAATGAGTCCTTTGAAAAACACGATGGTGTGGAAAAAGATAGATCAATTGAACAATCTGGTCCACACGTGAAAACATCTGCCATCACAGGAGTTGGGTTGCAAGAGTTGCTCGAATTGATAGATAAGAAACTTCGTGTTCAAAATAAGAAGGGTGCGCAAGCGGTTGAAAGAAGTATCTATGATCGAAAATGGAGACCCTCCCACAATCAGGAGTCTGGCATAGCAGTTGAACAGTAATAGGACAGTTTCTTCCCTTTTTTTCTTGCTATTTCCAATTTTGATTACCAAAAAAATTTATCTGGCCCAGAGAAGTTTCTTGTTAATGGCCGAAAGTGGTGAGACCATTATGTGATAATGGGACAAAACATTGCCTCTACAATCAGCTGAAGTATTTCGAGGCTGCTCAGATTAATGCGGCCTTCTTCTGGTTGGAATCTGTCTCTTTTCCATGGATAATAATTTAGTGCTTAAAAATTGGATTAATTTGTAGTGAGTGAAATAAGTTATCAGTTACCAGCGGAAAAGATAGATTTATTTTGTCCGAGGATTATTACAACATGGCCCCTTAATTTGCCTCTTTTCCATGGATAATAATTTAGTGCTTAAAAATTGAATAAATTTGTAGTGAGTGAAATAAATTTCCTGTGGAAAAGATGGATTTATTTTGTCCTGAGGATTATTACAGCATGGCCCTTTATTTAGGTTGGTATCATCCTCTGGGTAAAAAAAAAAAATGAAAACAATTAAAGTAATTTCCGTTGCCGGGAATCGAACCCGGGTCTCCTGGGTGAAAGCCAGATATCCTAACCGCTGGACGACAACGGAACAGTTGACTAATTCCTGTTCATTATAAAAGTTAATAATTATCAAAATACTCTGCAAAAGTTTAATGGTTATTATCTCTAATACAATTTAGTTATGCATATATCTTAACCCCTTATATAATTTGCACAGTGAAACTGAAAAGGAACACTCAGGAAAGGATATATTTCCTCATTTTACTTTTATAAAAGGTTTAGTCTATTTTTCTATAATTCAAAAATAAATAAGTATAATTCATTTTATTTATATTTGGATTTATGACATCAAACATATTATTTTTCAATCTAATTTCAAATACCATAAATTTCCTACGAACATCCTGAATGGCGACGCGCATTCGGTAATTGATATACGGTAACATCTTGGAACTTGACATCGACATTTTGCAGTTCTTTCACAGTGAAAGTTGTCAGGGCTTAAGAACAATTAGGAGGGAATTCCTTGCTATAAAAGTGATTTGAAGAAAAAAATAATCGTGTCTTTCCATTTTTAAAATTGTATTTAAATATTAAAATCTCTGAACCATTAAAACGATATATTAATAAAAGAAATTTGAGTTTATATAAAAATATTTATAGTGAGAGAGTATTGTGAAAATGTTAGAATAAATTTATTCTATTTTGAATTTATACACTATGACGAGGTTAAAGATCATATTGCACAAGATAATTTGTTGAAATTCCTTTGCATGCATTGTCTTATTGACTCATGGGATTAATGCATTGAGGGATTGTTAATAGGGGTTGGGTCACCTTTATTCAAAATTTGATCACCATTTGAATAACATCTTCTACTACTGTTCCCCAGAACCAGTGATAAAGGAGAGCAAAAGTGTCGTCAATTTCTGGAGTCTTTGTGGGATGAATTTGCTTCATCTCTTCAAAATTTACTTTTGTGAAGAGTAGAAGATAAGCCTGGACATCCTCATTCATTTTGTTTCCAACTGCTCGTGCACAATATCTTAATGTTGTGTATCAGAAGATGTGAGAAAATTATGTTCCTTTGTTTTCTCATGAAAAAATTTGGTGTTCTTATCCCCTTATTCTGCCTAGCTAACCCATTAACTTTGTGCCAAGAATATCTTAGTGTCTCACAATTCGTTAGTCTCTTTTATACGATAAGAATGTAGTTAGAAAATGGAGAGAAAAATTGGTGCATTTATCAATGAATAACAAACTTACACATTGACTAAGATATTTTGTATCGTTGATTACTTATCTGATATTATCAACTAATTGAATATTATATAGATCGAGAGAGGAAGCGAGGAATGAAGTAACCCAGGATATAGGATTTGATACCTTCTTACTGGAGTGTTAACAGTTCTTATTAAGTAAATAGTTTTTTTATATAATGTAAAATTAAACAATGCTTCATGGCACTTCTTTAGTTTAACATGTAATGTGTAATAAAAAATGTAAACAAAAGTTATACTATTAGAGGTCTGACAATTAAATTAATAAAATTGAGCTTTCACAAAAATGATTAAAATATTTGATACATGATGCGAAGTGATAATATACAAAAGTGCAAGCGAAGGAGAAATAAAATAAGGCAATTAGCAGGGCCATTTAAAAATATATTAAGATGCTTAGTGCCGTTGTTCTCATGGCTTAAGGAATTTATATCCCGTGTAGAAGAAAAATTTGCAAATGCATTCGCTTATGAAATTTACAGTGCAGCTCCTTTCAACCAGAGCCTGCAACCTACTAAGAATTTACATTTCTCACCCTCAACCCCCACACAAGGTACATATAGGGAAAAAATGGAAAGTGAAATCAAAGAGGAAATAGATGATGAAGAAGACGAAGAAGAAATCGAAGAGGAATTACAAAATCACAATCAATCCCTATTCTCTCTCCTACTATGCCAATCTCCAGCTTCCCTCGTCGGTTTATATTAGATGGAAGCTAAATATAATTGATCAGTGAGGTCTTGCTCTAATCCCAACCCAACCAAAATGTGGAAAAACATCTCTCATTTACAGGTTGTCGTGTCAATGAGCTAGGTCTTCATTCCCAACACCAACAGAAGACTTGTCAATCATGAGCACATCGTACTGTTCATATACTCTTGCGCGATTCTCAGCCCACCATTGCTCTGCTTGCTTCTCACTGAACCTCTTCCGACTACATTCACCAATGTTAAGCACAAAACGCAGGTTATTAAATTGCTAATCGTGAAATGTTGTATAGTTATCTGCTTTGACCTACCAATACCAAACTATAAACATTACGGTGGGAAATTTAAAAATAGAAAATATGCAACTGATCACAACATGAAACACAGGAATATGCAACTAAATTACCATTAGAATGAAAAATGTCACTGACGTATGAATAATCGTCAAGGTTTTTAACGCCATGTATAATATATTCTACTTTTTCATAAATAATGTATATCATATTCTACATCAACAAATTTCACATACGAATTTATGTAAATTGGCAGAAAAACAATGTCTATAGAACACTGCGTACCTGAAGCGAACTCTCTTGAGCTCTATTTTACCTCCTGGAAGGGAAGTGAGCGTAATATAAACACCAGGTTCATCTTGCTTGACCCATTCGCTTTCACTGCGTGATTCACTGTCTTTTGTTCTGCTCCCATTCCTATTTGTTGAATCTGACTGGATCTGTTTATTGTGACCTTCACTACGGTTACTAACTGTGCTTGATCCATTTGAAAGTAACTGGTTGTTTGATCCAGTTAAATCTGCCTCTGGACTTGTTGCTTGAATATTTAATCGGTCAATGGAAGCATAGTTAGCATCATTGGGACAAGGATTGGAACCAACAGAAGAAAGAGACGGTGATTTCAAATTCCTAGCAGCTCCTACAGGTAGTCGCTCAGCCATGTCCTTCAACTGCTCAGGAGAAGTTAAAAATAAACGTTGGATCAGTAAGCCGTGTTATGTTATGATACATTACAAATATAGAACAACCCTATATAAGCTTAAAGATTTAAAAAAAAAAAAAAATCCACTATTATGTTGGGCATAAAATTGAATCGGGCTTGACTGTAACTTTGTAAGCGTCACATTTCATGGCTTTACAATTTCATTTGAGTCAAATTGTGTTAATGCAGACAATCTTGAATATATTACTTCTTTGGCTAAGAAAAAAAATATTCTTGGAGATAACAGCTAGTTTGTTTCAAACAGAAAAATAAAAGGCTCCCACCCATTAAATGTAATGTTTTTTTTCTCGCTTCCTTCATGATTAAGTTTTTGGATGTAATAGTCTAATTTGCCAAGTGGATTAAAGGATTAAAGTTTCTACCTGAGCAGTGAGTGACTTTATTACTTCCTTTGCTGCTTTGCATTTGGCAGTTTCTTCCCCGGCAATTGCTATTGCGTCTTTTAGCTGTTTAGTTGTTCTTTCCAACTCAACTTCCTGAAGTTGGGCCTTCCGAGTCAGGTTTTCCACCTACAAGGGGAAAAAAATTATTAGCCACAAATAGACAACCAAGTGATTCAAACACCCCTGTTGCAAGTTCAGAAAAATAAAGGGGAGAAAGGAAGGAGAAAGAATCATTTCCAGCCAACTAAAGTATGTCATAGAGATCAGGGATCTTTAATATCAAACAGTCAACCACTTATGAAAAAATAAATAGTCAATAGGTGATAAGAAGCTCTCTGTAATTGATTCATTGAACCCTCCAAAACACAAATGGTAAAGAAAAGTGCAGTATCAAAATAAATATCTACTCATTATTAATCTTTTATGATATAGAAGTATAAATCACAAACCCTGACTACCTTTAAAAGTGAATCGCCACATGTTCTACAATATGTATTAAAACTTACGAGGAAATACTTCATATCTAACACATAGGGCACTTTTACGATCACCTGGATTCCAAATTGCAATTCATCTCTACATTATTGACATAAAATAAAGCTAAGTATTGAGAAACTCACTGACTAACAACGAATTTGCATCTTGCTATCTACATCCAGGTATAATAGTATGAAATATCATAATAGAATATAACTTCCTTCTTGTCTTCATTATCACAGTGTGTAGCTCATTTCATCGGACAAATTCACAAAAATTAGCTTCATAAAAAATTACCAGTAATACAGTGCCATCAAATTCATTTGGTTAAAATTCTATTCAAACATACCTGTGATCTTAATTTAATAACCTCCTGACTGAGGCTATCGTTAGTCCTCTTAGCATCATCCACGACTATCTTTGGGGATGTAAGACCTCCTAGTGTTGGGGTCGGTGTAGTTGATCGAGGTGGACTAGGCCGTCTAGATATTGGGGATGTTGCTCGGGAAACAATTCTAGATCCAGGAACAGAGGCTGAGAAAAATTTCTTCGATGATCCAAAAACAGGATTGAAAGATTTAGAGATATTTAATGCTCCCCATTGAGAACCCCCATTTGGAACAGGGGAGACACGGCTGCTGTTGAATTCCAACTTCTTGTTTTTCTTAGAAGATCTGCTTTCCACTTGTTTGAAGGATTCAATTGAAGAAAACCTGGCAAGTTGGTTGCGAGATCTGGAATCCAATTTATCATCTTTATCAATTAACTCCAGAGCCCCATGATTGACACTTCCTCTTTTGCTCACAGAAGAATGAGATGAAGAATCAGTTTCTACTGCTTTCCTAAGTTTACTAAAACAATTATCACAGACACGATAAGGTTTGTTGGGGTTTGGTGCCATTGAAGCCTTAAGAGACTTCTTACTGCTACATGAATGGCAAAAAACAAATCCACAATTATAGCAATTGTGGCGTTTTCTTTTGAAATTAAATGGCATTCGACAGCCAGAACACATAGACTGGTCAACACCAGAAACCCACTTATGCAGACATATAGCTGCAGTGAAATTAGTTCCACAAGCAATACTTTTGACATCTTTGTCCTTCAGAGCTTCTACTAATGTTGGGGAATTTCTATCATCTGTATCCCCATGGCCTAAACGCCCATTTGCACCCTTCCCCCAAGTGTAAACTTCAGTTCTTGAAGTTAAAACCGCAACATGATATGCACCACAAACTACCTCCTCCACAAAACTCTTTGACAATTTCCCTTCAACACGGATTGGTAGCTTCCCATCAGCTTGAGGATTTCCTAACTGGCCATAAACAGGACTACCCATTGTATAAACATGGCCAGAGGTGGTAAGTGCAACAGTGAGACTATGTCCACAAGCAACTTGACAAAAATTGGGTTCGATGAGGGCAACACAGGTTGGAACAAGTTTTGCTTCCTTACTACCATGCCCAAGTCTACCTTTGTCTCCATCACCCCATGTAAACAGCTTCCCTGAAGAGCAGTTGCTGGAGCTTGAATTTCCAACCATGACTTCCACAACTGCAGCCGTATGCCAAACACCACACGCAGCCCGTACAGTACGAAGACCCTTGAGGGACTCTACTTCCCTTGGTAATGAAACACTTTTTCGGTCTCCATGACCCAAAGCACCGAATGTACCATCACCAAAAGTAAATAATTGACCAGCAGATGTCACAACAGCAGTGTGCCATGGTCCACAAGAAATATATGAAACATGTATTCCTTCCAAGGGGCCATTTACTCTCTTTGGTACCCAGTGGCTCACTTGATTTCCATGTCCTAGAAGTCCATAATTGTATGTGCCATTACCCCATGTATAAAGATCTCCAGAAAGCGTCACAGCACATGTATGATATTCCCCACAAGCCACAAGTTCAATATTTGTATTACTTAGAGCATCTATAAGCTTTGGATGAAGAACATCAGAGTCAACACCGTGCCCGAGTCTGCCGCCTGATTCCTCCCCCCAAGAGAAAATTTCACCTTGTTTGGTCACTAGGGCCGCATGTCGTCCACCACAAGCAATATTCTGCACATCAAGAACTACAGCAGATTCCAAGGCTTTGGGAAATAGAGAATCCATTTTTACACCCAAACAACTCCCAACTCGGTGATTCCCACCACCCAGAACACCATCACCTGTGCCTTCCCCCCAAATGAAAACATCCCCTAGAGCATCACCATCGTCATGACCAGAACCTTGACTAGATGTGCTAACAGCACTTGATAGACTAACTCTAAAAGCATCCATACCCATTGTCTTCATGTGACCATGCATACTGTCTGATCCTCCAGACGACACAGAATGTACTGAAGCACTGGCAGAATCTGGAGGGAAGAAACCCTTTTGAGGGACAGCATACAAAACCACATCTAATGCTTTATCCAAACCATTCTTAGGGGGGCTCTCGTATGGGCTATGAAGGCGAAGGTGATCCCCACTATCCTGAATAGGACAAACAAATATTCTCTAAATAAACATCTTCAACTGCAATTGAGAGGGGGAAAACAGAAGGGACATAAACATGTTAATACCTTTTGCAGGCTTTCATTACTGCCAAAGGGAGAATTTAATGGAGAACTTCTTCTAGTGTATGTTCGAGGACTATTAGCCTCAGATGGAATACCATCACTTCTTGACTCTGTTCTCCACTTCCGGTGATGGCCACGGGAAATTAATGCTTTCAAACCACTGAACCAGACTTCAGCTTCATCTTTATCCTTGCATATCTAGAAGATAATCAAACCATCAGATTGTGTTATACAAAATTTATTGATACTGTTCACAAGATCAATAACATCTGTTCAAGCACAGGAACAGGCAAACTGCAGCTAAAAAAAAATCAAAGAGGAGAGGAATGAAGAAATTCATACCAAGTCCAGTGACCGATCATTGTAGATAAGAGAGAATGACTGATATTCTTTCTCAGGTCGTGGATATCTTTGAAAGATAGGCTGAAAAAAGTAGGGCCATGTTTTATCAATCATAACAGAGAACCTTATCACATGAAAAGAATTCACGGTAGATGCTGAAAATCAAGAAGGCATGAGTAATGTCTGTAGATAAATGCCAACTTATTAGAACAGGACACTGTAACAGCAAACATCATGTTCCTCAAAGCAAAACACAATCTAATAGTTACCACAAACAAGCATATTGCCAACTATTCATAATAATAAAGAAACAAAGCCTTTTACTGTAGATGGATAATGAAATAGATCATATTTGGATATCTTGACTTCCAGCACATGGTGGTCACACTCACATCACAAGTGCATATAGAGATAGGTAACAAACTGAATTCATACAAACATCAAATTGTACAGAAATAACTTATAACTAGCTATCTCAACATGGTAAGGCACTGTTGACTAAATCTGAAGAAGCAAAACAATATGATGATATTTCACTGTCAATCTAAAAACTTACTGTGCGTTGTCCAGATATAATTCTAGAGACATGACTCAGTTTAAGGTGTTTCTCTTCTTTCCCTGAGAACCATATCAAAACAGATTCGTCCTGTAAAAAAAAATAAAGAAATCAATTTAAATTTTGGTTACCGGAAATCGTCTAATTAAAAACAAATAAATTATGAATATAATACAAATAAACCACAAACGGGATTATGGGAATAACAAAATTATATATATTTCAGACCTTGAAATGACATTACAGTGATCCCATAAATGGCAATGGCATGCTTAACCACAAAATACAAGAGTTTGATATAGCATGGTGGTCAATAAGGTAACATGAATACTTACATTCAGACGCTAGATACGTTAATTAGATTGCTTGCTTTAACAAGATTTGGCATGCATTTTGAAGGCCAGCTTCCCATTTTTTAATATTGGCACAATGGATGTCTTAACCAGATAAATCATTCTCATGTGGGAGAGAAGTTGTATTGTATCCAACCATACAGTGCTAAATTTTCCGAGTAAGTAAACTACATAGGGCTGCCCACATCCAATTGTTTTACTAAAAGCAACATCAACTTATCATATTTTTAATATGTTGCTGAAAATTCTTTGTTAAGCTCAGTACTGTAATCATTGTGACTATATCAAAATTTCGTAGTGTTGCTACTGCAATCACTTTGGGAAACCTAATCTTAAGGTAATAATGGGGAGTGAGTAATTGATTAATCTTTCTGTAAACTTTCTAGTGGAGTATGAGGTATTTAGATATCATAATTTCCACAATCTAATCTGTTTCAAGGTCCCCTACTATCTCCTAGAATAAATAATTTCACCACTATTTAAGAATAAATAAATACAAAATAAAATATAGAAAAAGATCAAGGGTTTTTTATTAATGCAAAATACAATTCTTTGAAGAAAAAAGTGGAACACACTTTAACAATTTTAATTTACTGAAAAAGAGTACAAACTCACATTGGAAAGACGAAAGGGGCAAAACTTGGGCTTTCCTCTTCTTCCATACTTGAGCAAGCAGGCCCCTTTCTTTAAAGCAGTAATGGCCTGACAATAAGATCAATAAAGCACGTCAGCCAGCATGGATAGCACATCTGAAGATTTGAGAATACTTATAGTATAGAGAAATCACTGAATAAGCATAGCACATTGATAACATTACTGAAAAGCACCAAGTGCATCCTGCTAAAGTCCAAACCTCAACACAACAGAGCAACAACTAACTGAATGCTATTGCAAAACTTACCATAAGAAGGTCATATAAAAGAGCAATTTAACTCTTTTGTCATTTAGTCAATATAATAGTCAAACAGCATACAAAAGAGCCATATAAAATAACATTTACATTGTAATCATGTGGCAGAACATGGTAGCTAACACCCAAATGATTCATAAAAGTGAACGGTAATTAATTTGAAAGGCCCATGAATGGTAAAATTAGTGAAACAAAAATTCAAGAAATAATTAATCTAATATTCACATAGTCAAATTATTTAGCCCACTAAAGAAGTAAACAAATTTTCGAACAAGACTCGAAAGGCATAACACACTTAACTACATATCAACACACTCATTACTCAAATTTGAATTAAAATAAAACTTAAAGTAACAGCTAAAAACCACCAAGATTTTTCACTGCCAATTATAAACTAGCTTGACCTAATTTTACAATTCCAGCTGGCAGTCAAACTAGTGAACCATAGGCATCCATCAACATATCCAAAATTTTAAGTTCCTAGCGAAATTAAGTCAATTACCTATTCCCTCCCTCTTCCCAAACTTACAATGCCCCCACCAATAGAAAATAAGAACATTGTCACCACTGTAGAACGCACAGACAGCACACAGATTAACAAAATCTAAAAGCAAACTGTACTCCAAAATAAAATTCAAAGCACGACGCTACAGAGAAAAGTTTCCAAAGAAATGGACAAAAAATATATATAATATACCTGCTCAATGTCTCTTTCCACAGGGCCGGTTCTGCTAAGATCCGAAGCCATTCTACCAGTCCGCGACATCACGTAAAACAAAACCAAAAAAAAACGCAAAAGAAAAAAAAAAACACACAAACAGCACTAATTAGAAACTTTCACTTTCTCCTCAAATCTAAACAATAATCTTTCACATTCACCCATTCTCGTACCCGAACCCGTCCATTCATCAGTTCAGCCACTCAAACCCTCGCTCCAACAGCTCAGAGCCTCCTCCGGCAAGCGAATCCACCATAATTACAACTCCATCGCGCAGTCACCGAATTGGAGCGTTGCTCCTTAGCTTCATGCGGCGCAGGAACCACTCGAGCGTGCTCCGACCGGCGATTGGCACCGTCGCCAAGCGCTAGGTTACGGCGGAAGAAAGCGATCGGGAACGGCAGCGATGCTCCGCGGATTCCGGTGATTGAGAGGTCAGCGAGCTCGCGGCGCGGAAGTGCCCGGCAACGGAATGGGAGAATCTAGGGAAGTATGATCTGGAAAATCAGTTGCAGATGAGAGAGAGAGTGAGAGTGAGAGAGAGAGAAGGATGGAGCTAGAGAGAGAAAGTAAGGTTTTAGAGAGAGAAAGCAAAGGGAATTATAAAAAGCATAGAAAAAAAGAAGCACAGTGTACGTCTATGGCTGAGGAATGAGTGAGTGTGTGTGTGTGTGAGAGAGAAAGAGAGAGCTCAAAACAGAAGCAAACTAAATTCATTTTTTTTTTAATATTGAAACAATTTAAAAGTGAAACGCATGGACAACCCACCCTAAATTTCGCCACAAATTACGATCTTGCCATTACGCTACGCTTTTACTTTCTGGTTTTTTACAAAATTCTTGAATAAAAATATTTCAAGAAAAATTAAAATATTAAAGAAATTGAAGCTAAAATATAAACTATTAAAATTTGATAAAAAAATTATATATGTTAATAAATTTAATTTTATTTTATAACTACATGCTTATCCGGCTATTTTTATTCGAGTGAAATTTGAAGTTAAACCCACTTGTTTTCTTCGAGAAGCATTTAAATCTTCAAAAACCAAAAATTTAGTTCAAATAAAAAAAATTGATTATTTTAGTAAAAAATAAATAAATATCGATTATTAATCAAGGTTAAATTAACTAAGATTCTAATGATCTGAAATCTCTTTTTTATTTTTTAAAATGGGTATCCAAACATATTAAAATCACGAGATTAATTCAAATGAATAATAATTTTTGGTAAACTAAAAATTAAAAAAATTGTGCATTGTGAGTTAATTAGAAACTACCATATACTAAAAAAATAAACACTATTCATTCATCATTTATAACTATAATTAAATCATTAATTCTGTTCATGTCACTGGTGTTAATCTGAAAACTTTTTATTTTTCTCTAAAAAACTGTGAAGAAACATGGATGTACAATGAATCAGTAACACATTAACACTTGAAACATCATGGTCTATGAAGTAGACCTACATGAGATGCAACTTTCAATTCGAAATCCCATGTCTCACGTTTGGTGTGACAAAGGAAAACAACTAAGATTAATGAATTTTAAATAATGGAAAATTTAAGGATCATGATATATTTTAATCTTTCCATCCTTATCATGATAGTGCTATAAAGTTTCTGTTATTTTTTAAATAAATTAGTGGAACCAATTTGTCCACATATTGTCTTCTTCACTTCCTCGATTTAGATAAAAGTATTATTGCCACATCCTTTTTTTTTTTACTAATTTTTATTATATAAAACTACATTTATTATTAGATTATCAAAACAAAATCTGAATAATGCTCTTAAAGATAAAATTACTTTTTTTGAAAATAATGTGAAAATTTATTCAATAGAATGACATTAAAGTGAATGTGTGTAAGAAAATATATGTCATTTTTACACGCAGTAGAGAAAACATTTGTTTAATTCGTTCGCATGTACACATTTTCATAACAACAACTTTTTATTTGTGATGAATCTTATCTACGAGGATGTAGGATTCCAAATACAAAAACATCTATGTAATTTATTAAGAGATAAGTTAGGACTAGAAAATTAATATTTTTGTCGAAAATAAAAAACAGTAAGAATTTGAGTTTTAGTTAAAAGTTAAAATAATAAACATGGAAGAGATTATTATATCATATTAAAGGTATATTTGAAATGTATTTTTATTCCAGCATATATTTGGATTGGATCCCACATCCGTTAAAAATCAATATTGAAGATAATTTATATAAGTTTCTTCTCTCAGCTCAAGTAGATGTGATAAATTATGAGAGCAAAATTTAATGAGATGAGGTTGTTGTGTGTGAAGTTATTATTTAATAAACCCCACACACATGACGTGAGAGAAGCAAGGAATTAAAGTGATGTAAGAAAAAAAAAACCCAGCAATTGGCATTGGGTGAGTGAGAGGAAAATGTAACTGAAAAATGGAAGCATGTGCGCCAAGGCTGGACTTCACAAACACCCATGATGTATCTCCAACTCTTCTTAGTGATTGAGACCAACACCACTGTCCCTCTTGTGCCTGCACTTTTTGGAAAAGTTGGCCTTAGCCACAACTCAAAATCCATGGTCCCCTTCTCTTATTTGCCCTACACTTTCTAACTTCTCCTAGTCCCACATTCATACTGTAGCATCATATCCATCCAACACTTTTTTTTCAACAAAATTCACTAATTTCATCTTTTCAAAAACTTCTCTACAAATATTTAAAAATTGGAATGTTTTAAATGGTAGGATCGAATGTAATAATTTTTAAATTTATCTTTGTTTTAAATTGGCGCAAACATAAAAAATTTTCCTTATATCCACGAATTCACTGTCTATGTATGCTATTAAATTTTATATGTTTATTGGTTTTGGTTTGCATATTCACATGTTAAGTCACTATCACTAATTAATGTATTAAGTACAATAATGAATTGTTCATCACATATATATGTGCAAGGATTGACTATGAGAACCTCATAATTTATCAAAAAAAATTGTCACACATGTTTATGACTCATCATCCATATCAAAATTCTATAAATACCTTGTGTTCAATCTATTAGAGTAACTTTGTTTCTTTAATTACACCTCAAAATAAACAATCAAGATTTTAACACGATAATATTATCGTTGGTTGGTATTATGTATGACTTGTTAAAGAGATTTGGAAATAATTAATATATTACAATATAATTATTAGTTTAAACCTAAAACAAAAACTATTGAGATTTACCAAAAAGAAAACTTATTGTTAAATAGTTAAATAAGTTCACATAAAAGCAAAAGTTAAAGAGAATTAATAAAATTGAAGGAGCGTTTGAGTTGACAATTATTTTGTGAAGTCGACCAAACCTTTAAAAAGGTTATTTGTCAATTTTGACCTAAACGAGAGAGAGAAGCTATGATTCATCCAATGTTTGAATTATTAATATAATGCTCTTCTTTTAAGCATGACCTATTTTGTAAGGGGTTTTCCGTCGCTAACTGTGGTCCTTGCCCTACAATTATTAAAGAGAAACTATCTTTTGGTGTAGCTTCGTGTTCTAGGGTCACATTTACACATAATAATCCCCAATTCCCCATGGAGGATCTGCTTCATCACAACTTCATTTAACTGTAGTTGGCTTTTGAAAGCTTTTGCATAAACATACATTACTCAATCCATGGAATCACATAAAATATAATAAAATTATCTAACTATGCATGCATCTAATTTAATGTAAAAAAAAAGGGTGGGTATACTTTATGAATTGAATTTAAGAGTGTCAAAAATTAGATTTAGAAAGTGTAATATTCTAGACAATCCTTATGTTGATTGATGGCTAAAACTAGGAATGACAAAACGGTCAGTCTGTCCCGTTTTGGCCCACCCCGCCTTTGACTCGCCAAAAGTGAGGTGGGACGGGCTGGCCCGTTATAGTCATGACTGACTATAGATCTTGAGCTGCTCGCCAAGGACGGGTTAGTGGTCATGTGGCTAGTCCACCATAATTTAAAAAAAAATAATTTATTTTTTAAAATATTTTTTTTAATAAATTTAATTATAAGATTATTATTTGTTTATCAATAATTCAATATATATATATATATATATATATATTATTTCAATTTAATGATATAAATCAATACATTATTTTAAGAAATTATAATTTAAAATAATATTAAAATTTACGTAAACTTAATAATATAAATCAATACATTATTTTAAAAAATTATAATTTAGAACAATAATAAAATTTACATAATAATAAATAATAACATATATATATATATAAATAACGTTAAAACTTATAAAATTTATATTTTTATATTGAAAAATTCAAATACTTATATCCTTTGTATTTGATAAAACTTCATATTATTCTTGGTTGAGTAATTCTTACACCTTTAATTTAAGTTATAAGGATAAAAATAATCGAGTGCTTAGGATAAACAAGGAGAACATGAGAGAGAATGTTGTGTTTCAGGTAAGGAGAATATATTTATGTGAGAGTGAAATTTTTAATTCTCTTTTTAAAAATTTTAACTTTATATATTATCTTTATAATTAATTTTATTACAATAAAAAATAATTTTTTTATTAATTAGGCGGGTCGTAGGTCAGCTCGCCCATGCGGTTGGCCCGGCGAGTTGACGGGTTTGGCGGAGCTAGTAAAAATGGACTGGTGGGCCAAAAACACTAACCCGCCCCACCATATTATTGCGGGCTGACAGACCGGTCCGTCGGACCTGACCTATTTTGCCATCTCTAGCTAAAACAAATAACACGCAGCAAATAAATACACATCATTTAAGTGTTTGTTAGTGAGGTAACCATTGTACTAGGATGTGGTAGTTGGAGGAAAGAAAATCCAAAAGGGTAAGAACCAATCACACAAAACAACATTCACATTTGTATTTTATTTTCTTACTTTAATGTATTTAGTAACAAAAATTCTCCATAAGAAAATGGGTTTTTCCGTAAAATAGTTATGAATGAAAAAATTATAATAAGTGAAAAAAGAAAAGATAGTTTGGTACTAATTTTATCACTTTATCCTTCTGAGTTTGACTACATTTTGTTTATCAATATTTTCTTGTAAATTTTAGAGATTTGATAGTTAAGTCGAAACTTTTATCATGTTTGGTCTCATGATAATTTCTAAAGTTAAATGTAGTTGGTCATTCTAAGATGCTAGTGAAAACTATAAAACAGACTATGTGTATTCAATGATATATGTACTTCCAAATGTTTTCTATGGCAACTGCAATAGTTGAAAGTTATTTCAATTAAATAAACTTAATAAAAATAGATTGTACAATAGTACGAGAGATTAATGATTTACAGTTGTTTGGTTACACATTTTTTTATAATATTTTAATAATGAAAAACAGTACAATATTTTTTAAAATAAAAAATATACATGTAGAGAATAATTGTAATTTGTATGTGTTTATATTTTTATTACAATATTATGTATTTTATACCAAGTAATTCATTGATTTATGCGTTGTGCGATTTTTTTTTTTTTCAGATCAAGAACACAACCAAATTCGCAAATGAAAAGCCCACATTCAAAAACACTGTAACAAAATGATTTCCCAAATTGAGATTGAAAGGTTAGATTTATCGGTATATTAGCCACGGAATTCAGTTCATATATGAAAAAAAAGTAATTATTTACAAATAAAATAAACAGTATTTCACATCATGTGAAAAATTTAGAATAAATAGTTAATTTAATATATAAATACATTAATAAGGAACTACTGAAATAAATTGTTAAAGCAAAAAGTGTTGTGAACTCTACCAAGCATTGGAGCAAATAAAGATATCAAACGCACTACCATCATAATTAAACCAATAAAAGAAAATGGCAAGTATAAGCTGCTGCATTTAACCTACCACAAGCAGCTTCAGAAAATGAGATTTTACATTAAAAAAAAAAAAAAAAAACTAGGGGCGTAATTCCTTTTTTTGCATTTTTTTACAAAGGCAAAATAGATGGGCACAAAAAAACAGTAAATGGAGTGAGACACTGCTATTGCTGGCAGAAACAGTGGCTTCCATTTTACAGGGTAATGTGTGTGTCGTTTTAGAATGTACATACCCAATGGCTTAAGACAAACCCATCTATCAACAGCACTTAATAATCCAGTGAGGAACTGGTTTCAGCAGTTTCATCCTCACTAAAACTAGAAGGCATCTCTGCACCAGATCTGCATGATCATACATAATGCCATTAGAAAAAGGCTACTTTTATGTTTATAAGCTCTTTTACAAAGTTATGTTTGGTCTTATTTTTAAAAATGAGAAACCCCAGCAAAAGTTTAAGCCTAACTAAATAAACATGCACATGATCTAAAAAAACACTGTTGAGGATGTGAGTAGATGGTCTCACCTATGAATTTTCCTTTGTTCCATCTCAGCAACAGGTGATGGTTTCACATTGTATTGTTGAAGCATGTCAACTTTACCTCGCTTCGCAACCTTTAACATAGTAAAGCAAAACATCATATACATGCATGGAAGGAGGGGTGTGACCTCATTCGTAAATCAAATAATCACATTCCCGAAGGACAGTTTAGACATCTATAACTAACCATGATTTCATTTGAGAGCATCCCTACTCCATCTACATCACGGTATGTATTTCTGGCTTTCTGGTTCACCTTAAACATCTCTTCCTGTACAAAATATAAGCATTTCAAACCATCTGTAAGCAGGATAAATTAATTATCACATATATAACACAGAACTGCCAATATATTAACGAACCTTCGCCATCCTAGCCGATAAACCCCTTTCTTCAGTATCCATAGGAACACGGGAATTGCGGATTGAACTAGAAGGTTTAGATTTTACATGTCCATTCCTTTGTATTTTCTTTGGATTGATGTTATCATAACCATGCAGCATCAAGTCTTTCTGCTTAACTGCAAGCTTTTCTTCCAAGTGATCACTATGGTTAGAAGCAGAATCAGATCGCATTCCCTCAAAACCATACTTAGTGCTCATTCTATGATTCTTGGCACTGTTATAACCGGATGCTTCTCCAGTAGAGTCTTCATACAAATCTGGGAAAGGGTTCCTTCCAGAAACATGAGTGGTATAACCATACAAAGGTTTCCTTTGTTTTATATTCTGGCGGGCTTTCTTGTCTTGTTTATCCTGGAAATCAGATTCATGCAAGGAGCCAAAGTCAGCTCCTTCCATATGCAAATCTTGGGAATTAAATTTAGTATAATACGAATCATATCTCTGCAAATGCCCAAGTAAAAAGAGAGTGAGAAAACAGGGATATCTGTATCACAAAATCAATGCTATATTTAAATCCAAGATTATTTTTGTCAATAAGCTATTCTATTAATTCCATTTTGGTCTAACACTACAACAACAATCACCAACTGTCAGGTTATTGGTAACAGGAGCAATAGCTCAGATCCTTTTCTTTCTCATCATCACTGATCAAGTTTCTTTCCCATCACCAGTAATCAATCATCAACACCTCTGTAGCATAGCATGTCCCCGTGTCTAACAACTTTTGGACAAGACACTTGTCGTACACATCTTCAACACTCCTCAACCATGACACAAGAAAAATTCAGGAGACACGGCTTGGACATAAGTAAAGAAAGTGTGACTACACCCACTCTTGGCCAAACACTTCTTAGAAACTACTATAAGAAAGTAAAACAAAACAAGCGATTCACTTTTTTAGGTTTGTTTCCACGAGACTTAACTAGTTATTTTAACTATTAAGCTACATGTTTCTTATTTAAAATTCTATGTGAAGGATGTTATTACAAGGAAATTAACAAATGTATAGGGTGAATTATATAAATCTAATTCTCAATTGAAATATTTGTTGCATTGATGATATGTCCTATATATTTTGGACATTAGCCCTGTCCCGGTGTCCATCTCTGTGCTTCATTGCCACAGGTTCCTAAACCTTTCCATTGTATCATATTTGGATATATTACATAACAATTCTGAAACTAAAACATATTGCAAGATGATATTTCCCTGCCACTTTTGAAAAAATCCAAAACATAAAAATAAGAAATTAAAAAGACAATTCTGGTCAGAGGTGGGTGACAGTGGCAACAAGAGGTACTTATAGTACTATCAAAGATTGGTTATATGGGTATGGATGTAATTAGAAACAATTGTTTCAGAGAGAACTGGTTTGAATAAACGTCATAAATTTTGATAGTCAACAAGTCAGACCATAAATAACTATGTCACTGTCCAATCTTGCAAAGATGCATAATATAATTTAAAGAAAAAGTATTAATTACTAAACTCATAAAAGAAATGCATTAGAATGGTCACTTACAGAGCTGAGATTGGGCTTTTTTGCAGCAGAGATTTCTGGAGAATTCAGATGCGGAGGATTTGCAACACAGTATGGTTCTGCCATAGCACCAATAGAGTATAAAGGTAGGAATCACTATTCTTAGATTATAAAGGTAGGAGTCACTATTCTTAAAATGACAATGCAGTAAGAAAAATAGTCAAGAGTTGACAAGAGAAAATAAAACCTCACACTGCAGCTAAAGATGAAATGTTTAGTAAAGCAACCAAAGAGGCAAAAATAAATTATCTTGACCTAAACAAGTAAAATAGCACACTACACACATATTAGCGTACAAAGGCCCAGGGTTATGAATCTTGAAAGCTTTCCAAATTTCAAACTATTTACTGTTCCAGAAAAATTCATCTCCTATCACACCCAGGTCTGTCTTCAAGAATTCAATGCCTACGACAAAAAAAGTAACGTTTCATGCTTCATTACTTTTTTTTTTTTTTTTTTTCACAATTCGATGTGTAAGAGGCAACAACGCATTCCTTTAACCAAAATGGCACATTACATTGTTTCAGTTTCAAAACAAAACAACATTCAATCTTCCAAAACTAACTGAATGAGACATTTAAAAAATGGGAGAGGAGAATATGGTGCAACCTACCATTAGCTGGATCTTCAGTTTGGCATTCAAAGGCCCCAGGAGGAAGCGGATCAAATTCAATACCAAGTAGTGGGCCATCTTCCTCATAATGCCTTCCTAATTGCTTCTTAACAGCAGTTATAGCAGCATGTTCTATCTCACCCTTCACTTTCAAATATCCTGATGGTTTGTATCCCACATTAACTGCACCTTTGGGATTTAAGGGTGGAAGAGCTCCGTTTGGTGTAAGATGTCTAGAAGGTTCCATGTCATATGGATCCTGACCTTGAGCAAACACCCTATCTTGCAAAAAAGAGCTGCTCTCAGATGATGTGTCATCCACTCCACTAACGTTTTCAGGATAACGGTTCCTTCGTCTGTGGGTCATGTCTGCAACTGATAATTCGTGATTGTAGAGGCCGTGGCTCTCAACCTCCTTAGGATCTAGATACCTGTAATCAGCATGTTTACTGCTTCCACAAGAATCTTGCCCAAGTCCACTGCCACGGTCCTGGATGACACCGCTTGAACGATCTTGTCTTCCATTAGCTGCAGCTTCGTCTTTCATCAATCTTTTATCCTTTAACCTTCTGTGGCAAAACCATCCAGATATTTGCTTTTCTGTCAATCCTAACTCCTCAGCAAGTTCTAATTTCATTTCCTCTGTGGGGTATTTGTGCTCTGGAAACAAAAGTAAAAAAAAAAAGAGAAATTCCTCAAAAATTACCACTTCACAAAGTGCAATATATATATATATATGCAAAAAAGTGTTCTTACCATTATAAAAATTCTCCAAGGACATAAGTTGGGCTGGTGTTTTCAGCTTTCTTTTCTTATTTTTCTCATTGGAGACTTTATTTTCTTCTGATTGTAGTTCACTTGATTCTAAGGACCAAAAGAAATGTAGGAAGTTCAGAACATGTGTTGTGTTTGAACGAAAAATATAACTTCAGTAATATATGCCAGACAAAACAATCAAGAAGCTTCTTCTGTCATATTAACCACTCAAATTGATCTAGAAATGTTATGGAATTAAAACATACAACACATGGGGAATTGAAGTCAAGATAATCGTGTAAAATGTTGATAAGAATATAAGAACCAAAAAGTTCCTTAAATATTGAATCTATAAGTAACTCAAAACCACTTGCATACTGTCATTTGTCATATGAGTTTGAAACAATCAGCTTATATCTTAAAACTGCCCAGTTACCTGTTCCTCAATTTTTAAAGTTTTCTAAACTTAAGTAACTAGTGATTTTAATCAAATTTATAATCTCATAGAGTCTTTCGCAAAGGACCCACGGTTTGCGTCAATCAACACCGAGTACAAGTGAAAGAAGAAAAAGAAGAGCAGCAATAACAACCACCAAGCCTAATTCCACACATTCCACAAGGAGAGCAGATCGATGCGTACATTGAGCAAACTAAAACGTCTCTACCCTACACAAAAAGAACCCAATGTACAAAGATGTCAAATTCTAAATTTCAATTATGATCAAAATCAATCAGACCCATTTCTACCCTTCAGTTTGACTCACTTTTCTAGACCCCCAAATACCCAAATTGAGGAGCTTGTAGCCACACTCACCATTACAACGACCTAGTGCAAACAACCCATATTCCGGTTCCAACAAACAATTGCGAAAGGATGGAAATTGAAGTAATCTGACAAAAACGAAGCACAAAATCGAAGACCCAAATCGGTGATAAGGCCAAAGTAGAAGAGGAAACACAATACCTTCCATTGGGGGGAGGAATTGCCGTGCAGAAAGGTCCTCTGTTAAAGTTTAGGGGCGAAAGGTGCGAAATTTGTTGAGTGGCTTGTGAGAAAAGCGATGACCCGCTTATGGGAAAGGAAAAGAGAATGCAAGGGCATTACCAAAAGCAACAGCACAGAAACGTGCGTTGTTTGTAGCTGAAGGCGTTTCAATTTGACCCCCTAACTCCGCTTAGGAACAGAGAAAGGAGCTTCTGGTGAAGGTGGAAAGACAGAGGGAGAAGAAACAAATGCAACTCGTCTTATGTCGTTTTTTCTCTGCTTGCTTGTTCCAATCACTCTTTGCATTCCTCAAAAATAATAAATAAACAAATGAATAAATAAATCATATTTGCCTCCACTAAATAAAGTAAAACGCATTTTAAAGAGTAACAAAAGCATTTTGTTTGAATCATAAATTTAATCAGACAAAATAATTTAAAAAATCCAGAGCCTTGACCGTGTTGAAAATATTTTTATATGTTTAGATCAATATGAGAATCACAATTAATCAGATGATATATTGATTTGAAAATTTAATTTAATTAGGTCTAATTTTAATGAAATTAATAAAATGTAATAATAATTGGTTCAAAATGTTGGATTTATGATTTACAAAGAACCAAATCAGTAATATATTTTTATTATGAATAAATATTTTAAATGATTTTTACGATATAATTATGTTTTTTATTGCTAAATTTTAATTGATGTAATATAATCACACTGTAAAAATGTTATATATATATATATATATATATATATATATATATATATATAACGAAAATATATGGGATATTTTTAAAAAAATTATACTTATTTGTCTTAAATCTGATTCAGATGAACACCATACCATATGAAGAACATTAATAGAGAATGCAGACACCATATCAATTGTGGTAAATGGGAAGTCAAAACAGTAAAAAAGATAAAAAATAAATATAAAGATTAAATAAAAAGTGAGAAAGACAAAATCGGATATAACACATTAAAATAAATTAATAAATTGTGAAATTTTGAATAATAATTTTCTTTTTATTATTGTTATGAATTATTATTATAAAAGTTCTAGATGAAAAAAAGAGGTTTAATCGAATAAATAAAAGCTTGCACAAAAATAAACTAATCTACAAGCTTAATAATAATTTGAAAAAAAAATCAATTAAAACAAGTAAAAATAAAACACAATATTGCAACATATGACAAATAGAAATAACAAAACTAAAACAAAGGCAAAAATACATAACAATAAAAACAAATAAAAAAAAAAAACCTAACATTCTATTAATTAGTTTTTTTTTGTTTTTAAACTATAAAGCTTGTCACACTCTACAACCTAATCTTTCTGTTTCAAATCTCATCACATCAAAAATTGTATTCAATAATGCATCAGTCAATAACACACATTTGTTCCAATCACATAATAATTGTTAGTGTCTAATTAAATAATTATCATTTTTTTAAATATACATTATCTGTAAAATTCAAAATTATATTAATTATTTTTTACCTATTATATATTTATTTTTTAATTATATTAATAAGATTAAATATATCAAATTATTATGAATAATTTTAAATTGAGAAAATATTAAAATAATAAAGATATTGATAAATATAATTAATAAGTTTATTAAAATAATAAAAAAAATATTTATCTTGTATAATCTGATTTTAAATAATGAATATTTAAAAATAGAAAAGTAATTGGGAGAATAACATTATAAAAGAAAAAAAATATTTAGAATGTAAATATTTATTTTTAGATTTTTTTTATTAGATATAGGTAGTTGTCACATTTTTTTTTAAAATAAGATTTTTGGCTTAAAAAAAAAGTAAAAATATGTGATCTTTGAACTGGATTCTTTGTGAGGGAAAACATATACAAATATTGTTTTAAACACAATCATTCATCTCATACCCACTTAAAATAAATTTTAACAATATTTTCTTTTATTGAATATTAAATAATAAAAGTTCTTAATTTATTTTTATTTTTTCCACTGAATATATGTGTCATGAATCCAATTAAATATCTTAAATTTTTAAAAGAGTGATATTATATTATCAACTGAGTAGTTATATATAATTAATTGACAATCTATAATAATATTAACAACATTTAAATAGAGTTATGATTATTATTATATAATAAAATATATTTATTAACTGGTTATGATCTAAATAATTAGTTGTCAAAATATATTTTTTATAAAAAATAATAGCTATTTTTTGTAACTGGTTATTGAAATTGATTTAAATAATTAAGATAAACTTTTTAACTTCTCTCCCTCTTTCACCACAAGTTAACATGTCAATAATATTTTTTACAAAACAAAAGTAAACTTTTTTTAATATTTATTTTCTTTACTTATTCTAACCATTTAAATCACCACAAATTATATTTGAAATAAAAAAAAAAAGGCAATTTTAATTTCCGGGAAAATTTGTAAAATTCTAGTGAGAAAAAAATAGATTTAAAAATTCGTTGTGTTACAAGAGAAAAGTAAATAAAAATATTATAATTTTTCAAAATCATTATTATAATTTATATATTTTTAAAAATATAAAAAATAAACTTAAAATAATATTTAAAAAAATAAAAAATATGAAAAAATACATGAAAGTTTTCTTTATTAAACATGATTATTTAGGCTATTTTCAATTAAAGTTTTTAATTAAAATTACTTAATAATAAAATTAAATATTTTATTATGAATTTTATTGTTAAGTTGGTTAAAAAAAAAGTTACTTATCTAAATAATTTTTTTTTTAATTTTAAACAATTCTCTAGGAATTTATACGTGATTCACGATAAAATATTCCCCATTATTTTTAAGCAAACTCCGATGGGTGATGCTTAATCAATGGATTGATCAATGCCAAAGTGTGGTTCTCTGCATTTTCTTCCCATTTGCATCAATGGCGAAGACACTGTTGACACATAACCTTCTCGCACACACTCTCAGACCTTCATCGTTCCTACTTCATCAATGTCATCGCAACTTCATCCACGCGCCTCCTAATTCCACGCTCCACGACCTCGTTCGCACCCGGAACCTTCCAGAAGCTCAGGCTTTCCTCCTCCGGTTGATCAGAAAACGGGGCGTTTCACGTCCCCAACTCATCGACTCCCTTCTCCCCCATTCTTCTCCTTCTCACACAAACGCCACCGTTCTCGATTTACTCATAAGAACCTACGTCCAGGCACGGAAACTTCGCGAAGGCTCCGAAGCCTTCCGCTTGCTGAGGCAACGCGGCTTCTCCGTCTCCATCAACGCCTCCAACGCGCTTCTCGGCGCTTTGGTCAAAGTGGGGTGGATCGATTTGGCGTGGACGGTGTACGAGGATGTTGTCGCAAGTGGCACAACGGTTAATGCCTTCACTGTCAACATCATGGTCAATGCTTTTTGTAAAGAGGGTAGGTTGGACGAGGTTAAGGTTTTCTTGTCCCAAATGGAGGGTAAAGGTGTTTTCCCTGATGTTGTCACTTATAATACTCTCATCAACGCGCATTGTCGTCAGGGGAACGTGTTTAAGGCCTTCGAGTTGTTGAACTCAATGTGGGGTGTGGGGTTGAAGCCTGGGGTTTTTACTTATAATGCTATCATCAATGGTTTGTGTAAGAAGGGGGATTATGAGAGAGCGAGGAGTGTTTTGGATGAGATGTTGGGGATGGGGTTGAGTCCTGATGCTGCCACGTTTAATCCCTTGCTTGTGGAAAGTTGTAGGAAGAATGATATTCGTGAGGCTGAGAAGGTATTTGACGAAATGTTGAGGTGTGGGGTTGTTCCTGATTTGATTAGTTTTGGTTCTGTGATTGGGGTGTTTTCTAGAAATGGGTGTTTTGATAAAGCTTTGGATTATTTTAGGAAGATGAAGGATGCTGGGTTGGTTGCTGATACTGTGATTTATACTATTCTTATTGATGGATATTGCAGAAGTGGCAATGTGGCTGAGGCGTTGAACGTGCGGAACGAAATGGTTGCGCGGGGTTGCGTGATGGATGTGGTTACTTATAATACTCTGTTGAATGGGCTGTGCAAGGGGAAGATGCTCGGCGATGCTGATGAGTTGTTTAAGGAGATGGTGGAGAGGGGAGTTTTTCCGGATTACTACACACTCACCACTCTCATTCATGGATATTGTAAGGATGGGAATATGAGTAGGGCGCTTGGTTTGTTTGAGACGATGACTCAAAGGAGCCTTAAACCGGATGTTGTGACGTATAATACGTTGATAGATGGCTTTTGCAAGATTGGTGAGATGGAGAAGGCTAAGGAGTTGTGGTGTGATATGGCGAGCAGGGGGATATTGCCTAACAATGTATCGTTTAGCATTTTGATAAATGGGTTTTGCAGTTTAGGACTTATGGTTGAGGCATTCAGGGTGTGGGATGAAATGACAGAAAAAGGTGTTAAGCCCACTTTGGTTACTTGCAACACTGTTATAAAGGGTTATTTACGCACTGGCAACACGGCAAAGGCGAATGACTTCTTGAACAAGATGATTTTAGAAGGAGTTTCTCCTGATTGCATCACATATAATACTCTTATAAATGGTTTTGTAAAGGAAGAGAGCTTTGACAGAGCTTTTGTCTTGGTTAATAACATGGAAGAACAAGGGCTACTGCCTGATGTTATCACATATAATGCAATTCTTAGTGGATATTGTAGGCAAGGCAGAATGCGGGAGGCTGAGATGGTATTGAGCAAGATGATTGACAGTGGTATAAGTCCTGATAGATCAACATACACATCATTGATAAATGGGCATGTGTCTCTAGACAATCTCAAAGAGGCATTCCGTTTCCATGATGAAATGCTGCAAAGGGGTTTTGTGCCAGATGACAAATTCTAGGACTTTTACCGTTGCATCTCTTGTTACGACTTTCTGTCATTAGAAAATTTTGCCTCATTCTGTTGTAAGCATGGATTTTGTGGACCATGCTTATGGCCTTTCATTGGTCCTGGTTCTGCATATCACAGGAAGCACAACACAACCGTGGTGGATGTCTTCTGTGCTCTAACATATAACTTGAGCATTCGCACCCTGGTTGGTAACAGAAAAATGAGACACTTGTCTTTTATTACCATGCAATTATGAATGCCTTGGTGCTGCTTGTTCCATGCCCATGAATGTAATACAGAATAATAGTTATGAGGTTATCGTACATCATTTATATTTTGTTTTTGTATTATTAAAAATGACATTATATCTTGCAACTTTCAGTTTGAACCGAAGAATCTTGTATGTTTTGGATGCTTGGAAATGCAACCCATCCATGTTCTAACTTCTAAGCATGGTTTGGAGGGGAAGACTCCACCAGCTTTCACGAACTTCAGACCAATGTATTTGTAAGTGTATTTTACCTGGACTTGGGATTTACTTTTTGAGACGCAATGCAATTAGGTAAACAATGCTACTGTGGGGTGGGATTGCTGTTTTAATTGCTAAACAATTAAGTGCAATTTTTTATTAAACACAATGTGCATCACCTTGGCATGGAATTTATAGTTCCCGATTGATTGAAGCGTCTTGCAATTGTGCAGCGTAGCATGGGAGTTGATGCATTTTTGTAATAGCTTTCAAGGAGCATCAGAATGGTCACTGCTCACCACCGAAGGTCTGGTTGAAGTTTATTTTAATGCAACAATCCTATACCAATTAAGGTTTATTTAACAGATATTCTCAGAAATGATATGGAATTGGCCGTGGCAGATTAGAAGGTCAGAAAAGCAAGCAACAAATTGTAGTATTTATTTGTTATTTTAGAAGAGGACCCAGTTGAAACTGTTTCCCCATTTTGAACTCTTTCTGGTGTATCCACTGGTTAAGAGGGATGTAAATCTTTGAACGCATTAGTTGCAGCTGCATTGTGGCCTGAAGGTCATACATTAAACTCATAGAAACAGGTTGCTAAGATCCAATTACAAGGTATGGTAGTTGAGTCGCTTATTCTAGTGTGGAATTTGCAAGGCCTAGTGCTCTCCAATTGCAATAACTAGCTTTTGTGGTGTAGTGCCCCCAAAGATTTTATCAACTGGTATTAGAGCATTTTACCATGTCTCCTAGCTGCAAAAGAGTAACACAAATGATGACACTGGAATTGTAGTGTTTGTCCAGGACTAGTAAAAGGAGCTAGTGACAGGCAACCCTCGTGAAGGCAGGGGCTGTGGTGCTTAGTGGGATGTTTGGATCTGTTTACAAGGTACGAGATTTGATAGTACAGAATTCTAGTTCAAGGTTTATAAGGGGTCTTGTGCTCTACAACTACAATGGATAACTTTGTGGTGTGCTTATACTATGTAATACACTATTCATGCATGAAAGATGAAAGATGAAAGATCTTGCTGTTCTGATACAACATGGTATCCACTGATCATCCAAAAAGAGTTACTAAATAGGGTAACCCTACTACTTACTTGGAAGTAATTTGCCATGTAAAATAAAATGTTTAATACTAGTTATAAAAATAATTTTGTTTTTATTTTTATCTTGATGATTATGTATATTACACTAGGCGTCAAAGTAGGCAAAATTATACCTATAATAATTTTGTCTGCAAAAAATTATGCAATATTTAATCTAGATCATAGTTATTGCAGCAACGTATTTATGACGTGCTATGAAAAATATAAATAATTTTCTTTTATTGAATTATGCATGAATGCCGACATCCCGACAATTTGATATGCACGATCATTGTGTTAATATTACACATGGACTGATATTTGAATGGATAATATTTGATAAAATGTTAATAAAAGTTATCACAAAAAAAATCAATTTCACTCTACAATCAGTAAGTTAGGTTGAGTAAAAAAAAATTAGTTTTAAAACATTCGAACAAAATCACTTTTGATATTTAGTGTATTAGGTGGATTAGAATAAGTGATAGACCCATTAAACATATCTATTCCTAATCACTCATCATTATTATTTGATTTTTTTTTTATGCATGTTTTTTTTGGTAGTACAGTAATGACCAAATCTTCCTTTTAAAGAATGGATCAACTCACCTTTACCTTCAACTTCAAGTATAAACAAATGAAATCATATTCCATTTTACACAACAAACTAGGGCAGACACACCCAACTTTCCCTTATCAATCAAATTAACAAAGGGAGATCAATGTCACCTTTTCATCATTGTGTCCCTTTGAATGGTTAGAATCTTGCAAAAATCATGCTCTTCACCTGTAGTTTCTTTAGTGGGATGATATCATGATGATTGAAGTCTTCAAAAGCCTTCAAATTGGAAGCAACCACAATACCAAAATGGTTTATGACCAAACACATGGGGATGTGAATCATTATGATTCATTCAGCTTAACGTGCTTACTGTTGGATGATATAAGCATTGCTAATATATCTTTCTTATCATTTTAAATAACGAATATATTACTTATAGTTTAATAGTTCAATTTGATTCTTAAATCTAAACCTACATGTCACGGCCAATGAAGATTACAACTTCGATAATTTATAGGATTCATCATCACATAGGCTGAAGCTAATATAATATTTTGAAAAAAATTGTTTTGTAGATCCTAACCCCTAGCTATCTACCTGGTCATCTATTGTGACAGATATATAATATTAAGAATATTCATATCATTACAATTTTCTAAGTATGGAATCAATTTTTCTAACACAAGCAACCCTCGTTGAACCATCCATGACAAAATGTTTATGTGATAAATCATTATGAAGAAGGTGCTAAGAAAATCCACAATTTGGCTACAGAAATTTTAGTCTTTCAAACAAACGACATCATAATTACAATGTCTAAAGATGACATTCTAAATCAAGTAAATTGTTTCTAATTGACTTGTATTACGGGGACCCAGTTAAGAATATTGCTCAATAAGACAAATTCAAATTTGGCCAAGCAAGTGAAACGTTTAATCATATAATATCCAACACAAGCCACTTTTTTTTTTCTTCCATAAATATAAGAGAGAAAAAATCTGCGGCTGCATGATGTTTATAACGGCTGAGAGGTTGAGACTAATGATGGAATTGACAATGATGGTAATGATGTTCATAGGATGAACATTGAGAGACTTTTCAATTTTTTAATGGTGAAGAACCATTACACATAGATATACATACACTGTGGAAATGGATAAACATGTATCTGGTCACACTAAGTATGCTTATGACATATATTATCTTTAATTTGCTCATTATTTTTCCTTTCTTTGACTCAACAATTATCTATTCAAGTTGATCGTATAAAAAGTTAAAACCCACTCTTAAAAACTATGGCAAAACAGTATGCAGAATATGACATGTTTTACCATTCTTAGTATCCTGCAAAAGAAATAAATATTTGTGGCAACAATTATTTGGATTATGTGTTGAATTTTGTTCATATTTGTGTTTTGACCATTGCATTTAGTGAAGAGTTGTTAACTGAGAAAGTTGAAAAATGGCAACTGCTACATTTGACAACAAAAACAGACAGCATAAGAATTACCACGTTGTTGATGGTTAAGAATGCAACAACTCACTATCGATCTTGATGTGAAAATGAAAGTATATATTTTACTTTATCGAAAAATAAACTATACATAATCTAAGAACATTTTCTCTTACTTCTTTTTCTTCCATTTGACTATGCAGATTAATTATGGTTGCCTTCTTCTTTCAAACTGCAAATTTTAAATCCCTCACTTCAACTTGATCTTGAATGCAAAACCAAAATTCCAAAAGCAATGTATATTAAACCAGAAATGACAAAGAGTATAGTTGATTTAGGTAATATATAAAACCTGCAAGATTATAATTCAGTATTAAATTTGATTATATCAATCACTGATCTTTTAAAAACGATGGTGAATTATCTCTTAATTTACAAGAGTGATTACGTATGTGAAGAATTTAATATTTTAGTTCTTTAAAGTAGATAGATGCTTATCAAACTTTGAATTGTGTAGTGGTAGCCACAGTGGTTGAAAGTAATGTGGCCATTCATGTCAGCTCAACTATTTTTTTGTTTGCTTTTGTTTGGGAATTTCTTGTCTTTTGAGTTTTGATGACAAATATGATGCATATAATCGTATTTTAGATACTTTTAAATGTTTCAAGTTATGTCCTTTATTTGATTTGATTAATTCCACCGACCCAAGTATAGTTGAGGAAACTGTCTCAAGAGTTTTTTCAATACCAAAATCTATGTCGTTGTTCATCTTCAATTTTTTGTTGATTAAATATTTGAAGAGACTTTGTTATTTTCATTGCCTTTCGCAACTGCTAGAGGTCACAACTTGGGTTTTCTTTTCTCTATTGTTTTCTTAATCATGGTGACATGATTAAAACGACTATTATTTATAGTTTGGAGAATAACTACGTTGATATTAGTAAATAACAGTAATATCATTTTCTTTCACAGAAAAAAATTTGTTGCAACTAGTTCAGAAAATTTAGAAACAATATAAAAATCAATGCTCAAGAATTAATGGTGCAACTAGTCTCAACACTTGGGTTACTTGTTTTTAGAAGATATCTTTGTAGATGAAAGTCACTTCGTATCTTTTCCATATTCAAAACTACTTAGAATTTATGATTCCTTTATGGTCCAAGCTTTTAAGCAAGCCAAAGTTTTGTAACTGTTCATCTAACAGATGATTTTTTTTTATTTTTTTTTTCACAAAATACAACTACACAATTATAGCTTTTAATTAATGATTAATCTTTATAAAAAATTGATTAGTCACTCTTAATAATTTTCTTTTTCTCTTAATCGTGTTTTTTTTTTTTGACAAAACTCGAGTCCGAAATTTTATATTATTTGTTTAAATTTATCTATATATTTCACTCGAATGAACCATGTTTTGAAAAATACTTTTATTAATTCTAATACACAATTTTTATTTTGTTAAAAAATAAAGAAAGAACAAAATTGTTGTTGTAAAATTAAAATAACTTAAAAGGTTTTTTTTTTAGCTTATTTGATATTTTTTTCGGGGAAGAAAAATCGTGATTAAATAATGAGTATATTATTTTAAAAAGTTTTTCAACATGCATTTTAACAATAGATAATCTGAAATGTCAAAACTAAAGTCATGTACAATTTGATATTAAACAATCACCCAAATGAACTAGTCAAGCTCCGAATTATTGTTCCACACACGAACACTTTTTTAAAATAAATTAATAAATCACATTTATGATGTTTAAAACCATGTAGTTTTATTATTTAGTGAATATAAATGTTTAAAATTATCTAGTTTATTATTTAGTACATAGGGTTTTCGATTATAAGTTGAATTCACTTCGATAAAAATTAATGAAGTTGAATAAGATATAAAAAAATTATAAATGTATTATCTTGAAATTTTATATTGAAAATAGTGTCATAATTTTTTTTATAATTATTTTATCTCTTTTTTAATTAAACTTATTAACGATATTAATCTTCTAAATTATGTTAATAATAGGTAGTCTAATGAGTTTTATATTAAAATATAGTGAATTCATATGATAATATTTTTTTCAATATTTCAATAACTTAATTCTAAAATCATCTTATTGTATCATAACACGATAAAAAAGAAAAAAAATGTATCACGGGTTTATTCATAAGAATTTGAATTTTTGTTTAACGGAAACAAGACTTAAACCAAAAAATTATTGTATATTAGAATCTGATTGGCATTTTTATTTTTCTAAATCTTAAAAAAAATATTTTTGTCGGCTAAAATTAAATTATACACAAACTAATTTGTAAAAATGTTCATATATCCATTTTTTAAAATATAATTTTTAACTCATCCATAAATTTAATCTTTTCTTCTAGATATTTATAAATAAATAAATAAATTCTAAACATATTCTTATAATTAAGAGATACACTAGAGATAAAAATAATCTAGATTATTTCTCAAATGTCAATAATATGTGACTTACATTAGATTAAGGATAAGTAAAACCTATTTGCTAAATAAGTTAGGTTAATTTTGAAAAATAATTTTCTTAAAATATTATACTTAAAGTTATCAAAACCAATCCTTGCAAGTTACTTTATATAATTAATATTTTGAAGAAACTGATTTTAATTTATATACATAATTTTAACCTTTGATTTTTTTTTTCCCTTATAGGTCTTAATATATTCAAACTTATATATTCATTAAGTTTTTTTTTTAGTTAACTTAAAAGGCTTAATGGTAATATAGATTTCTAAAAATGATTTTTTTTTAATAAGTCAAACTTTCAAAACAACCCAATTAGACTTAAAATAACACTTTGATTAAGTAAATAGGCCTAGTTAATTAGAAGTATATATCAAACACAAATAACACTTTTAGTTCATTTTTTAACCCGATTAATTAACTATAAATTATTGCTTATCATACTTTAGTCATAAATTCGAGGAAAGACGAGATTTGTGTAATTACAATAAAAAGATTGTGTGCACTTCTTTATATTTAAATTGGCTACTTGTATTGTATACGGAGATTACGTAAAATAAATAAATAATCCTGCGTAAGTATGAATCATACGACACTCAATTACGATAACTACAATTAGTATGATGTTTTAGATTTATTTAAAAATTCAACAATAATTATAATTATTTAAAATCTATTTGTGTTTATAGGTAACTTATTTATAATATCTTAGTTTATAAATAGTAGAGTATCTTTTTAACAAATAAAGAGATCGTTATCTTTCCTAAATTTTTATAACTTGTATGATTTTTTTTAGTAATTATTCTTGAAGTTTTATAATTTATATTAATAATCAGTTGATCTAATCTTAAAAATTATTAAATACATTTATATATTTATAAATGTGAGCATTTATCTTTTTATTTATTTTTTTATACTTATTTATTTGGCATCTTCGATATATTATAATAGTTAATTAGTATTAATTTGATTTTGTATATAATTGATTATGAAAAAAATAATGTTACATAATGCTATTAGTAAGTAATTAACCACATTTATCATGCAGTCTTATGATATTAAAATCGAAAATTTCCCACTTGGATTGGAGTGTTCTCTCTGGGAGTCAAAGGAAACAATTTGTCTTAAAAAACGGTTTTGGACTTTCCTGGAAAATTCAACAATTTAAGAACAATGATTAATGCTCAAAGAAATAAATTTATCATGTGTCCAAATCATGATTTGAAAAATCCAAAAAAAAAAAAAAAAGTGCTTTTGAATTTTAAATTGCAAAAGAAAAGGGCATAGCCACTTACACTCCTCATCTGTCTTAATAAAATAATAAAGTTTCCAACTGCCACATTGTTAGTTGCATGCCCTAATTCTCCAACAATTGAACTGCCCTATCATTTGTTTTAGAAACATTTTTCCCAATTACTACAACTTTTAATTTACAGTAACTGAAAAAAAAAAAAATTACTCACTTTTCATATACACAATTAATTATGTAAAACAAAACTGTTTGACTTCTTAGAAACCAATCTATTATTTAATTAAATCGGGATAAATAAATAAAGGGTTTAAAATAAAAAATATGGAACTTTTTCACGAATTTGGTAAAAAAAATTAAAAATCAAGTTTTTTTTAATATAATATTTTATAAAAAATATAATATATTTTAATTTCTTAACTCGTATAAGTGTAAATTTATAATAATTATTTTATTATATTTTTATCTTATTTTAATTATTTCTTATCTTATACTTTTTAATATATTTATATTTGTATTTTTTATTATAACTTACATTTATTTTATACTTTTTATAATTATAATTTTTATTATATAATGATAATAAAATTTATTTTCTTTTATAATTATTTTTAATAAATTTATTATATTATAAAAAATATTAGTGTTGTTAAATTTAATTAAATCGGTTGAATTTCTAAGTCTCAATTTATATTTTCACCAAGTGGTAATTTTAAAAATATTATCTTTTACTATTTTATCTGAATTTCTTGAGAAAGGGTCAGCTTCATACAATATAGAAACTAAGAAAAAGTATCATTGGAGAGGATAATATGGATGTGGGTTCTCTTGACCTAGTTTTATTAACGTGACTGTATTCTTATTATTATATCTTCTTAAATGGTGTTTAAAAGAATTACAAATTTTAAAAGTAATGTTAATATCTTATATTATTACGTGCATAGAAGTACATAAGATTGGTACACTAATCACGATTAATATTTGACTTCGTACGTAATAAAAAAAAAAAAAAAGGCAACAAATTGACACGTGAATGTCACAAGAATGGTCATAAACCGACAACTTGGTTTGGGTTGGATTAATATCAACCTCTGACGAAGGGAACTTGTGGCTTTGAGTGACTCACACTGTTTCCCAGACTTCGTCTTTGGAACCAATTTTTGTTGCAAAGAAAAAGAACCAAACCAATTTGAAATATTAGTCACTCCTTGATTATGAATATTAAATGAATTCGTTGGATTAATACATCATTTTTAAAGCTTAAATCACGCCAAGGAATTCAAACTTAGGTGCCTCGTGGATGATTTTGATTCCTTTCGTTCATATTTTGATGACGTTGGCACAAATCATAGACATTAGGTGCTTCATTTTATACAAAAATTAAAATTAAAAAATATTGCTGACTAGAGCTTACTTGGTCGTTGGATGATGATTAAATTTCTTTATCAAAATGAATACGCTACGTGTTACTTTAGTTTTGAGTAGTGAAATAAAGTAGAGAATTTAGGTTTGATTCTTTTAATTAAGCTTCTTTTCTTCTTAGTTTTTGGATTGTAATAGATAAATGTTGATTTTTATAATAAAACTATAATCTAACTCTTTAGGACTATTTTATATTAAAATAAAGCAATGAAAAATGAAGTATATAAATAAAGATAAAAAGATATTTTAAGATAACTAAAGGAGTGAAAGTTTCACTTTCTAAATTAGAATAGATTAGGGGTTCTAATTTACAATACAACTTACTTTTTGAAGACTTAAAACAGAGAATTTGGTAATTTGATAACTTGTATATGAAATTTAAACGCATATTAATCTTGAAGATGGGAAATTTATTAGTCTTTAATAGTCTATCTGGCCCCACGCTGGACCATGGAAAGTACAATATTCATACGCATTTAAACACATAAGATATTTTAACTTTTTTTTATTTATTTCTTTTGGTAAAAACTACCATAATCTCTATAAATATCTAAACGCCACATGAAGTAATCTTTACGCCTAAAGGAGTAAAACCCTAAATACTCCATGTTATGTGATATTGATGGGTGAAGAAAAAGTGAAGGAACTTTTGAGATTTGAATAAAATAGTAGTAGAAACAAGGCACACAAGTTCAAGGGTTAAGGTTGTGAAGTTCGTGTACACATGAGTTGTTGTTGCAACACAAGAGTGTGTCCCAAAAGCGTCCCACATCGATCACGATAGAAAGTGAATTTTTCAAAGCCGGCATGGCTGACCAGACCACCGACCCATCAAACTTTTTAGTTCTTCCAAAAACATTAAACTAAATAAAGAAAAGGACCACATTATTTTATCCAAAGTCAATATAATCAATTTCTTTATATATAACCTCACCAATCTCTTCACCACATCCTTCTTCTCCAAGCACCAACCACTTCTCTTTCTCTCTCTGTTCAAATGGGAAATGCAATGAAGACTCCATGCTTTCACAACAGCACCAACTCTTCATCAAAGAAGTTCGTGAAACTCGTATTCTGGGAGGGAACATCAAGATCCCTCAAGGGGAAACACATAGCTGGTGAGATCATGTTTGAGTTCCCTGAGATGATGGTGTGCCATGCAGACTCTTTCTTCATCGGACACCCTATCCCTGCTCTCTCCATCGATGATCAACTCAGGCCTGGCCAAACCTACTTTGTTCTCCCCATTGATCGCTTTGCATGCAACACCCTCTCCGTGGCCTCCATATCAGCCTTTGGATCTTGCCCTAACAAGTCCCCCATCAAGTTTGGGGCGTGCCCTTTTGAGTACTTGAAGGGTTCTGATGGAAGGGTTGTTATCAAGGTCATGCCTGAGTTCATCACAAGCCTCATAAGTGGTGGAGACAAAGAGAACAATGGTCCTCCTGGTAGCCCCTCAAGTTTCCTGTGCAGCACTCCTGAGCTGCAAAAGCACTATGAACAGCTTGTCAAGTCCAAGGACCAGGTCTGGTCTCCTAAGCTTGAAACCATTTCAGAATACAAAATTAGGTTTTCGCCATGCAGATTCATAGGCTTAGAGTGGAAAGAAAAAGAAAAGCCTGCGGAAATTTTTACCAGATAGTTCATTCTTAATTACAACCACACATAACATCAATTTGTACACTGATTTATAGACCATATATACATTAATTATATTTCTGGCCTCCATTTTTTTTCTCTGGTTACAATTTTGAGCATTGAAATTATGGAAATCAAGTGTTCCTTTCTACTTTTTCTAGAGTTGTTAGGTACTTTTCTTAGTTTATGTATAGTACGAAGAAGCTTGAATTTAAAAACATGCAATAATCGTTCCACAATTCTGAGTCATGTTTAATTGTTTTGTAGATTGTGTATACTAAATATATATATTCATTTGTATCATATATTGTAAGTTGAGATAGTTGAAAAAATAGAGGTAAAAGATTACAAATTCTATCAGATTATTTGTTTCAGTTTCTATACATGATTTTTTTTTTTTTTAATTCAGTGTCTTAATCTGTTTGTTCTTATAAGTAAAATTTGGATATAACGTGAATCCAATGCCACTCTTAATTTGGATATAAGGATCAATAATTTATTTCGGCCTCAACACTGCAATTGCAGTTTTTTGCCTGAAATTTTCTGTTACGTTAAGAATCGGAATGAATCGGAACCTCAATTTCAAACCTTGCATGATTATTTTTGTAAAAGGCTGAGATTGCATGATTATTTTTGAAAAATTGAAATGTTGGTTTGACAATGAAACATGTTTTTAAACACAACAAAACTTGGTGTAGGACATCAATTATGCAAAGGGTGGAACTCTTGAAGAAACTTAACTTGAGAGATCATTGCATGTATATATATCATCATATCAAAGTATTTTGGTGAGGACGTTTCTTCAAATCTCACAAGTACCTGTGCAACCCTGAGGTGCTGAACCAAATTGTGCATGTATGTTTACAATATTTGTTTTCTTCTTTATTCTCGCATTTTGACACACACCTTGTAGTATTAAGTTTTGGTCACTGCTACTTATCCTTGACAATTATCTTCCTTTGCTTATTCTAATAAAACAAGAAAAACACAGAACCTCTATAGTCCATGATAAGAAAAATTATCAAAATTGTGTCATGTGAACAATTCAATGATAAGAAAAATTAGGAAGAAGGATAACACGAACAAAGACCATTGCGAGCATGAGAGGTCAATAATAAAAAAATATAGTTTTTTTTTTTAATAACATTGGCTATGACAAGTTGAAAAAAAATGTGGCTAAAGGCCCAATTTGCTATATGTGAATAGTTATTTCTGTATTTTCATGATTTTTTTCTACATCCCATAATTCATATAAAATTATTAAAATATTTTTTTATTAATTTTTGTTTGAAATCCTATAAAACTTCTTCGGTCCTCTTCTATATCTTCATATTTCTATGGCATATTCGTAATTCCTTCATCTTCCTTTTGATGTCTTTATTAAGATTGTTTTCAACTCAGAAGGTTAAAAATTGTTAATGTTATGTACTTATCATAAAATACCCATCCTAATATTTATGAAAACTAAACTGAAAATATACATATGAATCGGATTGCTCAGTTCAGAACTTATTTTTGAATCCGAAAATAAGTTGTTAAACCACCAATCCAAAGTATGAGTTACAAAATAATTGTTTTAAAATATATTTTTTAAACACCAAATCCAAAAATACATTATAAATAAGTTGTTTCGAAATTTATTTTCAGATGTTTTGGAAATACATTATTCTAAAAAAAAGTTTCATAATATCCAATCTAAAATATATTTCTTTAATATCTCATTCAAAACACATTTAAAAACAACAAATCTAAGAAAAAGATATATATAAAAATAAATGAAATTTATTTTAATTATGAAATTGCAAAAGATATTATAAAGGTGCACGAAGAAACAATATCAACAAAGTAACTTAATTTAATCAAAGCCCAGTTCTGTGTATTAGTCCAAAAAAAAAAAACACATGTAGCTTTTGATGAAGGAGAATAAAGATATATGATAATAAAGTTTGAGGAAGTGAACCTTTGATGGAATATGAATAAGGTTAAGTTTCAAAAGATTTGAAGAAAGATAGTGAAATTACATGGAAGCGCGAGTAGGGGTCTGCACTGAGTCCACTGAACCAAGAAAACAAGCCCAGCCTTTTTGTCTGCAATATTTATGTGAGGGACCACCCTACAAAGTAAACTACACTTTCTAGACCATTGTAGGTGATTGATGCATATGCATTATGCACACATTACCCCTTTTTTTTTTTCTCATCTTCTTCTCATGCATCCCACAACATTCATGGGTCCAACTTGAGCCCAACCACATGCTCTGTCTCCCCAACAAAACAACCTTATCTCAATGTAGAATAATGTTAGTGTACCTGCAAATTTTTCTTTTTTGTTTTTGTACAAATTCACGTGCTATTGTTGCCAATTTCGTTTAGGGAAGTTTTATGGGAAAAACTTTGTTCTTCTCCGTCTCGCTGTTTCATTGGTTTTGTTTTGGACATAAAACTCATTCCACACTATTATTAAAGATAACCTATGAAATTATTATTATGAAGTTTATAAAATTACCTCATTTAATATTTTGAATGTCTTTGATAATTTAAAAATTCTTTATAGAATAATTTCACCTATGAATTATATTATTATATTTAATTTAAATTAAAAATGTTTTCATTTAATAAGATAATATTTAATCATATGCTAGTTATATATATTTATATTGAAAATAAATAATCATATATTAAATTAATTTTATTATATGAATTATATTGTATTAACTATATGATGCGCTGTATATGATATGTGTGTGGAAATTGAGAATATTATATTACAAATATATATGTTATATATATTTATATTGGAAATAAATAATTATATAATTCATTGTGAATTATATCAATTGAGTATGGAAATTATATAAAAATAACAATATGTTTTAGTGAATTATATTTTAAATTAGAATATTGATTGTGATATATTTTATTCTACTGATCACATAATGACTCGTGAAGGTACAAGGTAGTGAAAGTTAAAGTCATTTTTTTCTTGATTTAATGTATATATTCACAAATAATAACAAAATGTTAAAATTCTAAAGGATTATATCAACATTTCTTATTTAAACAACTTAAGAGAGAAAATATAAAATTTTTAATTTAAATTTAATGTATGATCATTACAAAAATAATTAATTATCTAGTATATTTGAAATTAAGTTTATAGACGCACAGGATAGATTAATTGATAAATTTTTAAATTTAGTTATTTTGATATATATATATATATATATATATATATATATATATATATATATATATATATATATATATATATATAATTAAAGTATAGAATAAAACTTGGACGGAATTGCACAACTACAAGTTTCAATATAAACCAATAGTGGAATATAATAAGAGAACTTTTCCCCATGCTTTCTAACTCAGAAAATCTTGAAAATTTATTAATTTCTATTTTCCTTTGCTATATATATATATATATATATATATATATATATATATATATAATCATCCTATACACTCAGAAATATAATAAAAATATCATTTATAAGACAAACTATTTACAATTTTAAAAAATGATGAATTATTTTTTCTAAGCAATAATATGATATCAATTTTATATAAGAATTAGTTAGAAATATACTTATCATATTATTTATAACACTTAATATTTTGTAAGTTAATCAATATATGACTAATTAATTTAATTTGTGATAAACACATTTACCTACTTGACCATGCTAAAAGAAAATGAATAAAGAAATATTTTTTTATTCGGTTGTTTCTTTTATTTATTTTTAAGTACTGATTTTAAGGAGGATGCAACGGTGGATGAGAAATCTGAGAATAAATAATTGATTGCGTTGCATGCATTCCCACGAATGAAGCGACCAGTGGTACCTTGATACGATGATTAATATTTAGTTTGAATAACATAACTTTTATTAATTATTAAAAAATTGATATTATATAGTATAAATTTAATAATAATAAAAATAAAAGAATTGATGAATGTAGGAAAGAGGAGCAACAATGAATAGACAAGTGTAAGAATAGGAAGAGACGGAAAGAAAAAGGACACGCGCCGCCTGAGTGTCCCTGGATGAATGTATAGCGTGAAGAAAAAGTGGGACCTTTGGACATGAAAAAGAGGAAGCGCGTGAAGATAGGAAAAACACGACAAGAAGATGCGGAGGAAGAGGAACATGGAACAAGAAGTACCCGGACCAGATTTAGATATAGATTGAGATTTGGATTGAAATGAGTTGTGTGTGACCTTTGCAGGGCTCGAGGCAGTGCAGTGTTTGTGTACCTCGTCATCTGCGTCACCTATCACATATCTTTTGTTTATTTATTATTATTATTATTATTTTTACCTCTGAATTCTACTTACTATTCACCCTATTCCCCTATCCTACCCTATTCTACTCATTCTCTCCACCGTAGCTTAGGTGGTTTCCACTACACACACTCACACCATTACCATAACTAACTCTTACCTTGTTACTGTTAAACCTAACTACAAACTAAATCATTCACCTTTTCATTACCCTTTTATTTTCAAACAATAATCATTGTAAGTGGATACCTACACATTTGTGGCAGAAACTATATTTTAATTTTGGTTTCATTTATAATTTTTTTATTCTTTTAGTCTTATATTAAAATATTATATTTGTATTTACTCTTTAGCTTTTTATATACTCAATTTTTTTATCCTGCATTTTAATTAATAAAATACAATTAAACCTACAAAAAATTTGATATGACAAAAAAAATGAAAATCAACCTAATTGAATTTAATATTTTTATTTGCATTATTTTAATAGTTAACTAATATTTAGAGAGATAGAGATGAAGTAGATTTTTTAAGGTGCTGATACAATAATTGAAAAACAATTAATATAATTTAAAATCATTTGTAGATATTTTAAACCTCAAATCATATTTTGGTTTTAGATTTTTTAAATGACTATTGTCTTCCTTGCCTAACAAATATTGGATAACTTTAAACAAATCTAAAATAATTGTTGAGGATAATTTTGTTTAAAGTAATAAGTAATTATTTGTTTTATTGAATTTCAATGTAATTTCTTTCCTTTCTTTTCATTAATTACATGCATGTCAGATTCATTTAAGAAAGATGAATTTTGTAAATCCTAATCTGAGTCTATTTTTATATATTTATTTATTAGGTTTAGGTTGAAGGTTTAAAATTTAAGATTATGGGTTTGTGATTTAAGAATTAGATCTGTGATCTAGAGTTTAGGTTTAAGCTTTTTGGAAGAGATTCTCAACACACCCTAAAAGTTAGATTCTTGAGGAGATAATAATATTCAATGATAAACCATATTTAAATTATATATTGTGTTAAAAATATTCAATTTATCTGATATCAAGAAATGTGAATTTTGAATGTGAGTTTGGATAATTGAGAATGATAAATTCAAGTGTGAAAACTTGTTGGAATTAGAATTATGAATTGTGTTTATTTTTCTAGAAGTTTGATAGTTAGATATTAAAGCGCCTAAGTCTCATTCAATGAGGCTTGTAAAAGTAACTGAGCCCACATTTTTCAATCAGTCCAATGGCCCAAGCCCGATTGGCTAATACTTTCAGTTCCTCCTCTTTCCATTGATTGTTGAATAATATTTTCTCTCACTAAATTAATTTCTGAAGATAATAAAATTATTTAAACTAACGTAAGTATTTATTCTAGATAATTTTAGAACAAAAATATAATTATTAAACTATAATTTATCGATATTCCGTACCAAATTCTCTTGGTAACAGGAAACAAATGATTTTTCTTTTTCTTTTTCAGTTTTGAAATAATGAATGAAGTAAATCACCAATTTATTTATTGAAATTCCCATGATTTGTTAAGTTTGCTTATCTGGATTTTAATTTTTCAAGGATTTATATAACAAGTAATCGATGATTTTTTTTACTATTATTAATAATAATAAAATAGAGAAAATTATCTTTTTCATATTTACATCACAATAAATACATATACATACACATTAATTAAAATTTTAATGAAAAGTAAAAAACTTTTAATAAAACTAGTTTAACTTTATCTTATCTTAATTTAAAAAATACATGTAAATCAAAACGAATATCATTTTTTTTATAAAAAAATAGAGAATTAGCATCTCAAATCTTAAAAATAAACAAAATAATCTTAAAATTAACAATTATCAAATATCAAATCAATTTAATATTTAAAATTGTAATGGTGAGACGCATTAGTCTATAAATTATTAATTGCACTTTGTTTTAATCATACAAATTTCAACTTCAATATGTTTTTGCCAAAATTTCAAGATTTTAATTTCACTTTTAAGACAAAAAACTTTATTGACGAAAATTAAGAAACACGAATAAAGTTTTAATTAATGGTCAATTGGACTAATCACCCAAAATTTAAAAAATGATTAATAATATATAATTTTAGGGTAATTTCGTTATTTTATTTATTTTAATAAATAATTTTACTATTTATTTAGTCTCTCGATAGATGATGGTACAATGTCTAAACCATTTCGCTATTTTATTTAATTTCAGCAACCACATTTTAACAAATGATTACATTTTAAAGATTATATTAACATTGGTTAAGAAACAAACAAAAAAAAATCATAAAATCTGAAATTATGTTGCTTTTTTTTGTATTTTAAATTTTGTTTTTATATTTTATATTTTTAATTGATAAATTTAATTATCTAAAATTTAAAATATGTAATATTATTTTTTATATAAATTTAATATTCAGCGATAAGTTTTTACCATCGCAAAATTTATATAATGAATATTTTTTTATACTTAAATTTAATAATTAAAGATAGATGGTTATAAAAATAATACAAACTTATATTTATATTTTTTTAGTTAAGCCAATGAATGAATGACTTAACTTTTAAAAAATATAAATTGAAATAAATTCTAAACAAAAATATTTTTAACTTTTATACATATATGTAAAAAAAGTAATAAAAGTAATAAGTAGAGTAGTTTTGTTTTGAAGTGGTATTTGATATGAATGGGTACAATTAATAATTGACATTGTGCCATAGCAAGTGCAAGTTGCATAAAGGCTCATCTTTTTCTTTACTTTGAGATTTGGCATCAGTAATATAATCGATTTTTAAATCTTCACATGCATCAGAGTCATACATTTTCATTATTACTACGTTCTTTAAGAATCTTCTTGAGCTCATAACCATGTCCAAATCATGTTCCATTTTCGAACACATTAAAAAAATAAATCACTTCGCCGTTTAAATATTGTTTTTAAATCTATATATATCACTAGTTTTTTGTCTGCTGTGTACTCTTCAAACTATAATAATAATAATTATTATTATAATTATCACTATTATTATTATTATTATCAGATTACACCTATTATTGAAATGAACGTAGAAGATAATAATTATGAGAGTTTACGGAATGATTTTATAAAACTAGGTATATGATTAATAATTTTGCTATTGTTGATATCTCAAATAAAAAATCAAATCATAGGAACTAAGGTTTAAACACAAGGTTTGTCGTGACCTTGAATTTTAATATGAGGACGAAAAGTAATGGTCAAAACATTGACATAAAGTTGTGAATATTGTATAGAAATTGATGGTGAAGACAAAAGGTCTTATTAATGCACAACACAAACGTGGAAGAGAGGGCATATAAGTAGGAATAGAGAAGAAAGTTAGGGCATGCACGCAAGGGAGTTATAAGGGGATGAAAATGAATGATTTTAAAATGAGAACGGGTGAAGACAGACACACTTTTGTTTAATTAGGTTAATGCAACCCCATGTGATTGAGTTGACAATGCACACTCAATTTATTACACTGTGTAGGGAGGGTTCTGTAGAGCACACAAGAGATGAGAAGGGTTTTGTATTTTGCAGCAGAAGGAGGAAGAACATACCTAGATTTGAGACTTGTTTCGTGGCAATCTCATAATTAAGCAGAGATAAAGAGGTGGAACTTTCCTCTGTTCAGAAGATATAAGCATAGCAGAGCATAGCATAGCTAGCATGCATGCATGGATTCCCATAAAGTCTGTGCCACATGTTCATCTTTAAGCAAAAGTATTTTAAAACTGAGTGAAAAAGCTATGAATATGATCTTCTCGAACTCCTCAAATATTGCATGGTTGCATATGAAAAATCATCTACACCACATGTGTTAGGAGTAACAATTAACCTATTATGTCTACCTCTCTGTGTCATCCAAATAGATGACATGTTCGTTAGGTGGAGACAAAACTAGGAAAGAAAACATTCACCCTCCAATGTATAACATCTTCAACAAGATGTAAGAAATTAGGTATCATTTCTCAATGACATTAATTACGTTTAACCGTTACAAAAGATTGATAGGAATTTGTTTTTAAGATATTTATTATAAATTTTTTTTTGTCAGAACACAGAAAAAAAAAACTGTCAATAAAACTTACCCAAGTTTGAATTGGAATTAATAACAAAACTATTGATATCTAGATACAATTTTTTTTTTTTGCACACACAAAAAAAAGATTATGTGAGCTTCATTTGTAAAGTTGTAACTTTTTTAAATATAATTCTAATGAACTAATTTTTTATAATTTATAAATTATATATTTTTTATAATATATATGTAATTTAAAAAAAATAATAAACCTAAATATAAATTTCATCTCATATTACAGAAGATGTTCAACATGGTTATTAATTCTGAAGTGTGAAATTATTTTAAAAAATAAAGAAATATAAATGTAAGAGCGTGAAAAATTATATATATGAAAAAAAAATTATAAATTAATCATTTAAGATGATATATTAAAAAATGTCCAATTATAATATATTTTAAAACATCATTATATGGATCTTATATTGAATAATAAAAAGACTAGTTTATTAAAATAATGAAAATTTGATTTCAAAATTTAATCATATTTCATTTATTTTATATATTATTAAACATGATTTTTAATTTAATTATATTGATTAGGAGAGAGTTTTGGAAATAAATACAATTTAGAATCCTTATTTTAAACTAATTATGAAGTGTGTATTAAAAAAAATATGTGAGATATAATATTTCAATTAAAATACGTTTGACTTCTATGAACAATGGTAACTTTTCAAAACGACATTATTAAAAACTCATTTTATTGATAAAAAATGGAAATTAAATAATAAATTATTTAATATTTAAAGCATTCCAATCATAATCCTCGTTTAATGATAATAGTATCTTAAACCAATATAAAAATTTACTTCTCTTATAGACTTTGATATTTTATAATCTTTATATTATACAAATTTTAATTATTTAATACCTTTTATACAATAATATTTTATAATTTATTTTATTTAAATAAATTGTGAGTTAATTTTGATATATTATTTTTTTTTAAAAAAAAAGGAAATATTTTTTATTTTAATTAGATAAAACTGACCTATGTGTTTTAAAATATATATAAAATCAGATCCTTACATTATTTGTATTCTGGCGAGAGGGACAGATGAGGCTGGAATAGGCACCCGTGTTAACTTGTATTTATTATATATGATTAGCACTAATAAGGAAATATATTAAATTATTAATTACGGTCACCAATGAATGTCGGGTTTAAAAAGGTAGGTAAAAAAAATTAAATCCAATTCTATCTTTTCTTTCAAGTTTTAATTTATTTTTATAATTTTAAAAAATATGTAAGTTTAAGATTAAAAAAATAAGACTAATTCTTTATCTGTACTATTAATTTTTTTATAATTATATGATTTAAATAATTCATTATAATTATTATATTATAATAAATTACGAGAAAAAAATGATAGATGAACTTTTATAAAAACTAATTTAATATTTATATTCTATTGTGCATATTAAATGTATTATTTATTTAATAATTATTGTTGTTTAAATTAAATAAATATTTAAACAGTTTAAAAATTTAATGATCACAAAAGATGAAGGTGCCAAAATAAAATCCTAGAGATCTTTAAAATTTATATCTAATAATTAACTTATGATTTTTGTATTTTTTTTTTAAGTTCAGAGTATTCTTCATTCAAGATTCAAGAAATAATTTTTTGGTAAAGCTGAAATTTTTTTCTGTGATTAATATCTTTTCATTTGCATAAATTTGATCTACCTACCAAATTTTCAATGGTTAGGTCCAACAAATTGATTACAACCTATAGCATCACATTAAGATATTAGGGGATTATATTATAATAATTTCATGAATTTTAAATGATTATTTAAATATTTTTTAATAAAATATTTGATATACATTTTTAAATATTAAGTGGTGTTATGATAAAATATTTGATATACTTTTTAAAATATTAAGTGATGTTATGATATCATACACTTATTTATTGGTTGATTTAAGTATAAGAGAATATTTGTAGATAATTTTTCTCTATTTTTAACACACATCGAACTAATTAGAAAAATACTTCTTAGAATTTGATGAATGATTGAAATATAGATAAATCTTTAAGCAAGGTAAAACATTCCTTATACTATAATTTAGAGTTAAATTATTAAATTTATCATCTAAAATTTAAATATAAATTAAAATTGTATATTTAATAAAAATAATGAAATTGAATAATACATTTAAAAAAATATTATTTTAATGTTTTAGATAAAACATAAAATCATATTCTTTTTTATTCTCGACATAATATACCCACTCCAGTTCCAATAACCAAATTCTTCTGAAATTTCTCACAAAATCAACTAAGAGATTATAAAAATAAATGATGCATATGAACAAGAGTTTTTTTTTTGTTTTCGGCTATAATCGATTTCTTCTTACTCAAAACTTTCTTCATACTATTGGATTGGAAAATAAGGAGTAATTTTGATTTGACTCATGAGAAAATGTCCTTGCAGTTCCAGGATTTAAGGTCAATTTGTCCTTGGTTGATGAAGAATTGGATGAGAAATGGGGAGAAGGTGGATTTGAATAATAGATTTTATTTATCTTTGTTGGAGAAGTACTGCAACCAATACAATGATTTTGCTACTTACATTCATCCATTCATAATTTGTGGCACACTGTTTCGGGGTCAACGCTGCGTTTGGGATTGGACCCTGATGCGACTTTTGTTTTGTTCACATTTTTGGACTTTATATTTGATGTGACTCACCTCTTTCTCTTTTTTTTTTCCTTTATTTTTTTTTCAATCAATTATTTTCATCTTTTACATTTTTAATTTAAAAATATGTGATTTTGTATACATCAAATCACTTATAAAGGAACGTGGGATCACTTTACATACACATTTATTTTTCATTTTTATCGTTCATTTATTTACTTATGTTGCAAAGTTGGAATCTTGCATGAGTTATTTTTATTGGGTTGATATAGTTCCTGGGTTTGCTGAATAATTATTTAACTGATTTGAATGTTAAACCTAAAAACGTGTTGATCCAAGCTCAAAAACGTGTCGACCCAAAATGTTAAAAGAACATCCTGAGAAAGAAAACATACTATTCTACCCTATGAAAACACATGTAGTTTGTAGAAGAAACGTAGATGATTGTATAAAGCATAAAGAGAGGGCATGGAGTGAATTATGAGCATGCATGGAGGGGGAAAAACAGCTTTGTTTGGTGGTAATGCTTTCGGCTTTTTAATTTTGCGTGGGTATGAGTTAAGTGCATGTATGTAGCCAAAATAATTTTGGTCGGTGGAAATTAAAGGTACCCACCCTACTCAAGTAATACATTCACCATTATAAAATCATGCACTTTTTCCTTTTTTCATTAAACCTAATAAAACCAAATGGACTATGATGAAATCCACTACTTAAATCAATTGTCACCAAATATAATACATTTTTTAGAGCATCTAATAATAATTATAATGCATTTGACACCGACCCCACAAAAGAATAGAACGATAGAAGAGAAGATGGATGGAATAATGTTTGGAAAGAAGGGCAACATGAACATTACCAATTCAAGACTTTTAAGCCAACACACCAACAAGCTGGCTTTAAGCAGAGTTAGAGAGTGCAAAAGAAAAGATGGGGAGAGAAGTGATTGCTTTTCAACTGCATCATCAACACACTTTGTATGAGAGAGAGAGAGAGAGAGAGAGAGAGAGAGAGAGAGAGAAGAGAATAGATCCTTCTAACTATTTATAATGCTTTCAAAAAAGAGGGTACTTTCACACACGCTTACAAGTTACAACATGTGTCTTTAAGAACATAGAAAGAGATAAAGAGAGGAAGAGTGAATTGAATGAGCCTTGAGAGAAGTGAGTGATGTGAATATTGAACACCCATTTATCTCTTTTCTTTCTCTCTTTCACCTTTTTAGATCACCTATTAATGTTATCTCTTTCATGCTCAATCATTCTTTTTTTTTTCTTCTACACAAAACTATATAAAAAGGGTTTCATCTCCATATAGTTAATATCACCACCACATATAATTTTAGGTAATCAAACACATGTTTTAATGAAAAAGCAATGTGTTTTTAGATAAAACAGACACCAACCAAATAATCTCGCAATTATAACGTACGATACCATGTTGATTTTCTATGTTTCACGTGCTTTATCTAACAATTCTTTCTTACATTGGTTTCATGTTGGGGTCATTCTTAATTAATGATCTTGTATTAGCCAAAAGCTAATTAGACAAAAGGCAAAGAAGGGAAGGCTTTTATTTTTCGTTTTCGTGTTTCTTTCTTTCTTTCTTTCTTGTTTTTCTCACGAAAAAGTATATGGCTAATTACACGCGCCAAACCACTCATGGATCCTTTTTCATTGGGGTTAGTAATTAACTTGCAAGTTTTTTTTTTTTTTAAGATTTAATTTTTACTATTCATAGACACGTTTTACGTATAAAGTTTAAATCACGATACTTTTATAAAGTATATACATTTGAATTTGAATTTTATTTCCATACTTCAATATATAACATCATATATACAATTATAATACTCAATTACCATTCTTTTATAGTAAAATCAGCATATTTTTCTATATCAATTTGGATTAACACTTTGCTTGTATAATCTTTTCAATTGTAAATTTTGTTAAAGTATAATTCCAAGTTTTATTATATAACTAAACATTTATAAATGTTTTAAAATGGTAAATTTGAGTTGTATTATATCATACAAAATTTAATTTAATTGTTTGTTTTTCTTCTTTCTTAAGAATCAAGTTGGGTAATCTATAAAAAAAAAAAAGTTGACGTGAGTAAACTTTTTTATTTTATAAATAATAAATTTTGAATGGTATTAAGGTTTAACTATAAAATCAATGAAGGAGTTTAACGAGTATTTTTAATTTCAATCAATCCATAATTAAAGAGTAACTTTTGGAGACAATAATCGAAAAAAAAAGATTATTAACAATGTAAGAATGTAATATGTATTTAAATTATATTGCATGATAAAAACTATGTTAAACTTTCAATGCTTATAAATTTCACATTTTTTAGTTAAAATTTGTTAAAAGTTACAGTATACACTATACCTTTAGTTTTGAAATCAGAAAAATGATGTGAAATAAAAAAATTTGACAGTGAAGGGTAGTGACATTAGATCATATGCATGCACAGTGAGGGAAGATTTCAAGGGCCTATTCCCTACCATTTTGTTTTATGCATTGTCCTTGTTGTATGAGAAACTATCAGAAAACAACACTGTAAAGCAGAAAGCACGTTCATTTCACCTTGAAACCCTTATATGAGGGGAAAAAAGAAGAAACTTTTGTGCCCAATAAGTAGTTTGAAGGATTCGTAGAAGTACACAATATATGTACATCTGATCTCAACAGAATTAATATACTATCTAGTTTGGTTGAGGGACTCTGAGAGCTTTTTTATTTATACGAAACAATAGAAATTTATTATATATAGTCATATAAGTGATCTTTTTTATGACAACTTACAAATCATCCTCACATAATCTTTGATTGATTAAATATATGAAATTGTTTTATATTTCTCAACCAAACAATCACTTCTTCAAAATCAAAATAGACTGTTTTATTATTTATCCAAGTTTTAGAATATGGAAACAACTATTATATGGTTTGGTTTGAATTTATTGTGCTTAGTATTTGTTTCATGAATATAACCATGTTAATAATTTTTATTTATATTGATTTGTCCTCTTGAGTAGTCTCATCTGAATTGTCTTGTGATATTCTTTTTGTCTGCCTGAAATGAACCTTTTCAAATTTGATGGATGCATTTTATTTCAAGCAAAGTAATTTTCATTGATCTAGTTTTGTCTTTCTTCTTTCTATTTTAGTAAATTTAAATATTAATTTGATACACAAGGTCTATAGAGAGACAACGTTGGAACTACTGCTTAGGTTTAAAAATAAAAAATAAAGTACCAAAATATTTAGGAAAAGTTTCCCAAAATGTCTGTTACAAAAAAATGTCCAGTACTGTCACAAATGTGATGATTTTCTTGAAAGTAACCTAATCACTCTATTTCTTCTCATCATATGTTTTATATTCATTCTATAGATAAATCATTAAAAATCAAGCTATGATAAACAAATATGTATTCTACTTTGAACTATGTATAAATGATGCATTGTTACTCAAGTTTTTTAATTTTTTTAATATATATCAAATAAAATTATTTCTAAGAGTAATATTAAACTTTAAATATAACAAATAATTTTTTTACAAAATATAAAAACACAAAACTTTCATTGCTGGAGTTTAATTTTGTCCACTACATTTTACAAAAGATAAGTGTTTTCTAATATTTAAAAAACTTAGTACTATATATATTACTTAAAAAAGTTGGCAATTAATGAGAAATGAGTTTGAGTTATTTGATTTTCATTTAAGAAAAATTTATTCAAGTGTAATATTGAGATGGTGCTTGATTTAATATATAAGAGTTATCTTTTCATTTATTTTAAATATGGTACGTAAAAAAGTTATATTTTAAAAAAAAATTATTGATTTCAAAAGCTCATTTCTAATAACTAATGTACACTCGTTACCTTTTAAACATAAAGGTTCGAAGTTTGGCCCATATTCCCCTGAAACAAATATGTTATACGTTGAGTTTCAGTTGTAGAAAAAAAATATTATTACGTATTAGGAAATGAATTTTATACTAAATTACAATAATATATTTTTTATGAAAAAGATAATAATATAATTTTTTTAATTTATATATATATATATATATATATATATATATATTATTAGTTTCACGTTATTTAAAATTAAGATAATTTATATATAATTTTTTTTCGTATTTTAAAGATAAAATTAAAATAAATTAAAAACTTTAAAACATATAATATCACAATATCGAACACTTTCAACTTTTTAATATCAATATCTATAGAATAATATCCTTTTGGTAATAAATTAATTACTTATTTACCAAGTTTTTTAAATATACAGCATAATACTAAAATCATGAATCATGTATTTACACTATTTTTTTTTAATTTAAGAACTTTATCATTATACCTATGAAAATCAAAACAATCTACCATTACAAAATAAATCTATACCTATATATGAACCATGGTTGGAAAAAAAAAAAAAAGTGGAGAGAAGAAATATTTTGCAACTTCTGTAACATGGTTGAGATATCCTTTATATATAATATGTTTAATAATTATATATTATTTTGAAGAAAAATGTAAAAAATTAATTAAAGTGTACAGTGTTGTACAATTTTACCCTAATTTTTCATGTTACATTAGTGTCATTATATAGTTTATTCACTGTAATATATTTATGAAACATAAACTGTAATTAGTTTCTTAAATTGAAAACCTTAAATTTTTTGTTATCATCCTGCATAAAGAGAAGTGCAGTTTATGGAGTCCAAATTCAACAAAGTGAGAACTTCCATACAATGCAATACAATCTATTGTTGAATTAAAATAATAGCAGATACCCAACAACCAGCACCAAAATCATTTAGTGTTGTGTAAAGAAAGCCATAATGTCAAGTTATTTAGAATTATGATTATTATCATTTGGTTAAAGATTAATTGAAACATAGAGAAGAGTTAACAAATGGTTGGATACAGACAGAGAAAGCAGTGTGTATCTTTGGGAAATCTAATATAATCTAAGTGGGTATGAATTTAAACACCCTAATGTTGAACTATTTTGGCAGAGTCATGAAAAAATAAGACCCTAATCAGTAATGGAAAGCTTAACGAGATTAACACTCTGTTTGTTTGAACTGATTTGCGATGAAATACTGTTCACGACGACAGAAACACGAGATTCACCCACGTTTGATTGAACAGATTTGCGAAGAAATGCAGGCGAGGAAATGCGTGAGAGGGGAGAGAGGCTTTCTTCGCTAATCTGCGAAGAAAAGCGACGAAAGTCTGCGAAATGTCCAACTTACCCTCTTTTGTAACGGCGCACGGACCGTACTCGAGCTTCGGATCAATGTCCCCAGAAGGGTGTACGCCCGCGTGTTTCAACGAGAACACCAAAAAAACCAAATTCAGCTCCACGTAAGATAGCCAAAGTACGATTGAGCAATCAACATGATATATTTCCTCACATTCCGGGCGAAGGTCATCAGGAACATTCTATGGTGTTAATAAGAGGAGGTAGAGTAAAAGATTTGCCAGGTGTGAAATCCCATTGTATTCGAGGAGTCAAGGATTTGTTGGGAATTCCGGATCGAAGAAGAGGCAGATCCAAATATGGTGCAGAAAAACCCAAATCGATATGAATGGAGGATGCCTCGGATCTGTAATTAATGCAATATATGATAGCAGAAAAATTCAAATACAGTCGCTCAAGCGAAACAAACCAGAGATTCAAGAAGTTTCTTTAAAGGAGCTTATAATAGCGGTTTTACCTTAACCGCTATCTAATATACACTTAAGATAGCGGTTACCTAAGAACCGCTATTATATCTCCAATTATGATCGATCATTCCACATTATGATCGATCAGGATCTTATTTCGCTCGAGCGAGAGTATTCTCGCTCGAGCGAAATGCACCCCGAGACTGAATCTTCAACTATTTTTTTGAATATTATGTTTTCAAACTTCTCAATTCTACATTTTTGTAACTTATATCATTATATTATCATCCTCATCTCCTCCCATGTTCTACTTTATCTTTACAATAGTTAATATTCTTAAATAATCTATATTTTTAATTATAATTTTTTAATATATATTTCAGAAATTATAAATTCTAAGGTATTATTTGAAAAACTAATCAATTCTAATCAATAATTTAGAAAAATAACCGATTAGAAGTTCACAAAGCAGTTACGAATCTTTCTTGGAAAAGGATGCTTAACAGTTGCTTCAATTGATTGCTTAGTTTGTATGAAAACTGATATATAAAAAGTTCCAAGCAAATCTGTTTTTAAAAGAGTTTTCAGAAAAAGCTGCATTAATTAATCTGTTGAAAGTTTGTTTTAATCTGTTGAAATAGCCGTTATAATCTGTTAAAAGTCCTTTCAACCCATTAATGCGTTCTTGTTCTTTAACAGAATTGTTTTAGCTGATACGACCAAGTTTTTATCAGTTAAAACTTTTTACAAACATTTTCTAAGAGTGATTTAATCGATTGATTCGCGGTTTAATCGATTGATTCAGTTTAAAACTTTCTTATAACACTTTTCAAGTTATTTTAACTGATACAAAGAAGTTTTAATCGATTCAAAACCTGCACAGAATTTTTTCTAAGTCATTTTAATCGATTGAAATGCGTTTTAATCGATTGAAACTCTGTACAAAAATTTTCAAGTCATTTTAATCGATTGAAATTTGTTTTAATCGATTGAAATAAGTCTGATCGGTCATAATTCAATTCTGATCGATCATAACCAACTCTGATCGGTCATAATTACATTCTGATCGATCATCCTGACTTATGAATGTGGTTTTAATCGATTAAAACGTGTTTTAATCGATTAAAATAAATCGAGCGAGATCATACTTTGATAGTCGCTCGAGCGAGATCAGTTTCGCTCAAGCGAAAGACAACCCGATGATGAAAATTATGTGCAGGTGTCATCGCTCGAGCGAGTTTATTGTCGCTCAAGCGAAATATAACTTGTAATAGCGGTTAAACCATAACCGCTATTTAATATATACTTTAAATAGCGGTTACATAGGAACCGCTATTATATCCTCCAATTATGATCGATCATTTCAAATTATGATCGATTAGGATCGTTTTTCGCTCGAGCGAGATATAGTCGCTCGAGCGAAAGGCAACCCGAGACTGAATCTTAAAATATTTTTTTGAATATTATGTTTTTAAATTTGCTATTAGAGAAAACCTTTCAGAATTCAAAATGTTAAATACTTTTAAATATTAAAATTAAGTTTATCAAAAATTAGGAAAACAAAATTTATCCAAAAGAGTTCAAAAATGTATAAGAGTATTCTCAATTTTGAGTTTAATTATATTGTTCATTTTCAAAGTAGAAATTTATATTGTAGTTATTTAATTTACATTTTGTGATCTTCTTAAAATTAGCATCAATAACATTAGACTTTACATTTGATTCATACCTAACTAATTATAGATTAAAAGGAAAGTGGTATAACCATGCATTTTACTTTTCTATTTACCTTATTCTTTTAATTATTTGATATAATAATAATCAAAATATTCACATTCATATGGGCATTTTCGAAAATAATATTATTGTATTATTGTTAAAATTAACATCAATAACATTACACTTTATCACTTCTTAATTATTATTCTATTTTCACTGTATTTTATATTTGTTTTAAACAATAATGTACAATTATATTATTAGTTTTCATAATTATTTGTTATTATCAGTCAATATTAATTATTATTTTATATTTTATAATTATTTAATTATTAGTCAAATAATTTATTTAATATGTCAACATTATTTGAATATGGATATGCAATGTACATAATTTTGTAATTGTTTATTTATATAATTTTTAATAACTATCTAAAAAAAGTTAATTTTTTAAATTTGTTTCCAATTACAAATACTTTTAATTTTGTTTTTTCTTTTAAATATATAATCAATGTTAAAATATGGATAATTAATTAAAAATTTATATTTATAATCATTTGAACCTTATTTTATACAAAGGGTAAAATGGTAATTTTCTTAAATAATCAACATAAAATTATAATTTTTATATCTCATATCAATCAAATCATTCACAATTTCCCATAAACTTTCCTTTCACTTTTCATTCATCTCCCTTTCTCTTCAAATCCCTCCTTTTCCACTCTCTCATTTCCACTCCCTCAAATCACTCCAACCAAACAAAGCCTAAGTGTCAGAGTGAGGATATGCAATGACATAAATTGGGACAAAAGAAGAGAGAAAGTTTTGCATTAGTTCAAAGAGAGTGAATAAATTGAAATCTGACAAAGATGATCTAAAGAAAAGAATTCATAGATATGGGTTGGAAGGACTATCTTAGGAAAAAAGGAAAAGATATGGATGACACCTTAGATTATAGACTACAGTGTATAGCTGAGTGCTACTCAACAACATGGTTTAATTTTATTCTCAAAATTAAATAACGTCCAAATTACATGCGTGCCACAGGGCATGGTTGCGTGCACGCGCCTTCGGCGTGAGATTGAGACGTAAGTGGCCTAGTGTAGGTATTGTGGGGTGAGAATTGCACTGCTCGCGGGAGTGTGGCTCACTCGCCAGATCCCACAAGTAATGAATGGCTTCATGTGAGTTCATAGAGGCTCCATAAAATTACAAAAACAAGAGAACAAAAGTCTTTATGCCCTCTCTTTCTTCCTCCTTCTCTCTCTTTCTACTACTTATTATCAGAGCCTGATTATTGGAGAGAGAGAAGAAGGAGAAAGAAGCCATTTCAGTTTCACTTTCCATAGCAAGCCAAAGTGAGAGTCTGAGAGAAAAAAGGTGTTTTGAGGAAGAAGAACAAGATACAAACTATGAGGTTTGTGGAGGAAGGAGGAAGATGACGAAGAGAGAGGAGAAAGGTAGGCAACAATAACAAAGCAAGTAGAGAAAAAAATAAGGAAAAAAAAAGAGAGAGAAATAGATAGAAAGAGAGAGAAGAGAGACACAGTAAGTAAGAAGTCGTTATTGCATTTTCTCATTCACTGCTCACTCTGCACTCTGCTGGACCCTTCAGAAACTGATTTTCTTTCTTTCTTTCTTTCTCACTCAGAAACCAAAACTTTTTCTTCCTGTGAAAAAAGCCAAAGTGACAGTAGTAGTAGCCACAATAGCAGCAGCAGAAGAAGCAGAAACAGAAGAAGCAGAGAAGTTGTTCGTGTTCTCTTCCTTTTCATAGAGAGAGAAAAATCTAAGTCCACTCCACTCTCACCCCAACAAACAAGAAGATCTCTCATCTCATCTCATCTCACCAACAAACTCCATCAAAAGAGAACTTCTCTTTTCCTCCACCAACAAATTCTTTCCCTGCCACAGACCCCACACGGTGAAGAATAACACCCACATTAGATACACCCTCATATATAAACCATTAATAATATATAAATATATACTCTCTCACACACACCACATAAGTAATAGAAGATCTATGCTTCTTCTTCAATAGTTCTGTCTTTCCCACACACTATACATCCTACCTTCATCAACAGTATAAGGAAACTGTATATTATTTTTTATTGTCTTTGATCTGAGAAATCAAGCACTTTCAGTTGTGGCTACTACAAGGAGGTTACCTTCAGACTCTGGCGCCTTTGCGGACTGGGGAGCGACTAGTTCATCCGGTGGTGGTGGTGGCCGTGCTGTCCCCGTAGACGATCTCTCCCTCGGCTTCAATGCGGGTCCTGCTGCCGCAGCAGCCGCCACTGGACCTGCCACCGGAATGTGGCCCGGCGCAAATAGGTCAGTCAATTACCCCGAAATGGGGATGTTCGTGGTGGCGCCAGCCTCTTCGTTCCACCACCATCACCACCAGCAGCAGCCGCCGTCGCACGATCCCGTCATGGCAGATTCCCTCAACCCAGCCACTGCACTCGGCGTTGGTGTCATCCCTCTCCTCGCTGCTACGCCGTGTCTTGAATCCGAGAACATCCTCGGAAATAGGATTCGCAGCGGTGGAATTCAGTTTTGGCAGGACCAACCGCCCCAGCAGAGCCACTACATGAAAAAGCAGCAGCCGGGGTTTCTCGACCATAGTAACACGAGTTCTGGAAATTTGGTTCAAAACAGTGGCGGGGTAACTGCTTCGGGGACTAGCAGTGGGGGAACAACGTGCCAAGATTGCGGAAACCAGGCCAAGAAAGATTGTACTAATAGAAGGTGTAGGACTTGTTGCAAAAGTCGAGGTTTCGATTGCCCTACCCATGTCAAGAGCACATGGGTCCCCGCCGCACGCCGGAGAGAGCGCCAGCTCATGACTGCGGCCACTGCTGCTGTTGCTGGCTCCAGTGGCTCCACCTCCGGGACTAAAAAACCTAGGCTCATTGCGTCACAAACAACAACAACTTCTCACACTTCCACCTCTAACACCACCCCTCCTAGAAGCTTTGACACAAGCTCTAGTCATCAAGGTTTGCACTTTCCTTTCTCAATAACCTCTTCTTGATTCTTTTTTTAATTTTTCATTTTGGTTCCCCAAAAGCTCTCCTCCATAGTCAATCCTGTTCTTGTTCGAGCCTCCGTCAAGTACTAAATGTAGACTCTAACACAGTGTTAGATGCTAAATTTGGAGATTTTCTTTCTTGATAAGCTTGCATGTCACACACAATCACAAACTCATGCATTGAAGCTTCTTTCGGATTCATGTTTCGACCAGGGGTTTGGAGGTTTTAAACTGTGTTGTATGGTTGAATTGTGCGCAGATGCGGGTTTCAAGGAGACTTTACCTGGGCAAGTACGTGCACCAGCTGTTTTCAAGTGTGTAAGAGTGACGGCGGTGGAGGATGGGCAAGATGAGTATGCGTATCAGGCCGTGGTGAAGATTGGTGGTCACGTGTTCAAAGGATTTCTCTATGATCAAGGGTTGGAGAATAGGGATGTGTATCCTAACCTATCTGAGTTGCATTTGGGTGGTGGAAATGGCGGAAGTGGGAGCGGAGGGAGTGGTGGGGTGGGTAGAAATGGGGTTTCTTCTTCTTCTCCAATGATGGATCCTTCTGATGTTTATGCAGCTTCTGGTGGAGGGTTACTTGGGGGTTCTTCTGCTTTTGGTAATCCAATGAATTGAACTAAAGTCTTTCCGAGTGCAAGATATTAGTACACGGGCTTGGAGAGGCTGACGTAATTGGGGTTCAAAATCTTTAATTTTCTTCTAGGCTTTGTATCTTTATTGCGTATGTCACTCTTTCTTTCTGCCATTTTTCAACTTGCCTTTAGTTCAATTCTTTCTCGCCCAATTTGGCCACTGTCATTGCATGAGATCATCATGGAATGACAAGCCTGCCTCACTATCTAACTGTTAAACAAATAGTTTCTTATGTACTAAATTAACTCAAAATGGAAACAAAAGGTGGATAAGACTTGTTTTACTTGGTTCACTATTTTAATTTTAGTTATACCATTATTAGTTGCAAGTTTGCAACAATTATCTCTACTTTTCTTTTGAAGCTAATGACTTTTGTTTTGCATTTTACTCCCCCTTTATTTTTCATTATGATAGATTTAAATCCGTGGAAGGTGAAATCTACAGTATTATCATACCCACAATAAAAAAGCTACAGTATAAAGCATACGATTAAGAAAAATTTATATATGTTAATGGCTTGTGATAATTGTTATTGATGTGCGTTCACTCCATTGCGTGCCAGATTTATTTTTCAGCATGATTTACTCTTTATTTTGGACTGCTTCCATTTTTCTGAATAGACATAATATACTATTAAATTTCCATGATATGTATATGCTATTATTAAATTGTCATTTTGTAACTGCTCAGATGGTTTTAAATATTGCAGAATAAATAAATGTTGATTTCACAAGTAGCCACTGCTTTAGACTTGGGCATTAGAAGTTGTTGTAACGTCACCATCATTGTATGTCTGTCCTTTTCATCCAAGTTTATTGTCATCTATGATGCGTAAGAAACCTGCAAAGTTTCTGCATTCATGAAGACTTGATGTACTCTTATTTCCTTTTGTTCTTCGTTTGGAATTTTTAGTTCAGGCAATACCAATTACCGCACCTTCATCTCTTAACCAGGAGCACTCAGTTTTGTATTGTCTCTAACCAAAGTTAAGGCCATTTAATTCTTCTGTTGCTCGATTTTGTTGCACGATGGTGCTAAACTTTAATTACCAATATGTGCACCTTATTTTTTTTCCTTTAAGTTGATGTCTCATTTATTTCATTTGCAATTTAAATCCATTTAAGATTTTAAATATCATACCCTTCCTATTTTAATAGTAATATTCTAGTAATGCTGATATCCTAGAAGTTGCCTGGTATGTTACTTCTTCTCAACAAGGTAAATTGATGTCGGGGTTGCATAATCAGCTTTTATATACTTTATTGCCTGGGAAACTGCAGATATATGTGTCACTTATTTTTTATTTTGGCTAGATTCTAAGTTACCGATTCCGACCATTGATAAACAAATGAATGATTGTCTCTATTCATTGCATATTTAGATTATCTTTCCTGCACATGCTTCCCCCTTTTAGCTGTCTGAACATATTTTTTATATATAGGACGATTATATCATGTGAATTGCAATATATTTTTATATGTATCTTACTTGTCTTATGTTTGCTATGCTATATAGTGTACTGCTGAAAAGTCCATCAAGCATAGAAATGTTTGTGACATTGTGTGATAGCTCATTAATAGACTAAAATGGAGTATGGAATGACATTTTTGTGCCAGTCCTTTTTCTTTGTGTTGTGAGATTTCTTGAATCACATAATGCTGACCTGTCCACCACTTCCTATCATGTCAATGAAAAAGTTTTCAAAGACTATACTTTTCACTGATATAGAATCAGTTACCCTGTCTTTAGTTAAGTACATTTAAGGGTTGTGTTGGAATTTTGAACAATTTGTTCGTGCCCTAGAGCAGGGATTTCTTATGTTGATAGCTTGTATGGTGCTGGTTTATTGTTTTTCCTTTCTGGGGTTTGGGAGTATATGAAAATTTGTGATCTTTAGCATACTATGATATGATTTCTTCTCCACTGTAAATGATTGGGTAACCATGGTTTTCTTTCTTTGCCTGGGGGTCCTCCCCCTTTATCATTGTTAGAAGCCATGATTTTGATACAGCTTCACATGGTTGGTGTAAAAATGTTGGTACATTTAGGTACATGTCTGTGCTGGTGGGTACATTATTCTTGAATTTCTCACATTTATGTATGTAGTACACTTGAGTTTTATGGTCTGCCTTAGTCTTGTTCTGTTAACAATTTGGTTATTGCCCTTGGTTTGGTGCTGCTGTGATCCATTATCATGTCTTCATTTTGTCATGTTCTGAGCCTTTTTAATTATTTTTTTTTTAAACCTAACCACACGCTTATTCTGTATTTTGTTTTTGTGAACCTCTCTTCACAACACTCCCTGTTGTTACACGTATAGATATGCATTTTCATATTGGTTTTTCATGTTTTGCCCTATTTGTTCTTTGTTGGCTAAACATGTAGACAAGGTTTTCGCAGTGCCAAAACCTTGTGTTGCTGTTATGTCTTGTATTGTTATTTCCACAATGCTTATGTGCAATGAATTATTTCTCCAAATATCATTGGTTCTGCCAGACTCTAAAAGTTTCTTCTAGGAAAATGCTTGTTTATCTAAGTTTTATTTGTGTAAGGTGATTTCTGTTGCATATTCTTTTGTCTGTTTACCTTCTCTTGGATTTTTCAATATGTGAAAGTTCAAACGCTGTGTCAATGGTTCTTTATGATTATTGTGGCCGTTGTAGATTTCGTATTTTTAAGACTAAAAGATAACAGTGGAATGTTTTTGGTGAATAAATTAACAGACTTAGTTGGTGGATAGTTTTTATGTGTGCACATGTTTTAAGTGGTGCAGTTTTTAGTTGAGTGCTTGATTCCACCATCTCTGGACATACAATATTTGTTTTGTGAGCATAATCTGTTTCAACATCTTTTAAACTTATTTTCTTGCACTATGTTTTAATATATTATTGTTTTAATTAATGCTGATTAAGTTTAATTTTGAAATTTAATATGTATGAAGTATAACCTGCTTTACTTTTTGTGATCTAGTTAAAATTCCTATTGTTAAACATGTATCGGTAGTTTTGACCTTTAGAAAATTGAGAAGGGGACTACGAATTACGATAAAATATTTGTTACTTTCAATTATTTAGATAGCTGAACTCTGAATTTCTCGAACATACACTAATTATTGGTGCGAAATATATGTATATAGATTCAAGTATTGTGAGTATTTCGAGTTTTCTCTAGTTTATTCAAATTAAGATTGAAATAAAACTTCTGAAACATTAATGAAAGAAATTATAAAGCTTAATATTAAGTCATAATTTACATTTAAATTGTTTTTTTTATATAGTTAAAGTATAATTTTTTCTAATCTAATGGGAAATCTGGTCTTATATATATATATTTTTGGAGTACTGACAAAAATATTTATTTATTTTATCTTGTTTTATTGTCTATAAGTTTTTTATCTAAATATTTATTGGCCTTATAATAATTATTGCGAGCTATATTAATAATAATAACAATAATTCTTTTAGGCGAATAGTGCATAAAGTTTAAATTCACATATTAATTGATATAAAATAAAGAATTAACATTAAAATTTTCTAATCATGTTTTAATTAAAGAGGTGGTTTTAATTTTTTTTTTTGCACCATAATACGTAAAAAATATTCTCATTAGAAACCTAAAGCCTATTCTATGAAAAAGACATGTGAAAGGATTTAATAACATATTTCACATTCATATATGATAGTAATGATATATATATATATATATATATATATATATATATATATATATATATATATATATATATATAAAGTTACAGTTTTTATGTAAATAGTTAAAGAAAATGAAAATGAAGATATGAAAGGAAAGCAAAAGGGAGATAAATAATGTGAAGTTGCATTATCCATTACCACTGAAATCAAAGTCTGCAACGGTTTTGGAATGGTGAGAAGGTTTGCATGATGCATTGCATCATGAACAACATTTCTTTGATTTCCCAAGCAAAAGTTTGCAGTGTGGAGTGATGATTGTGGGCATTTGGTCAGTTTGAAAACATGGTTTGAAATCACATTGAAAAGTGGATGAATTCCAATGCAAAGTTTCCTTTAAATGGCCAAGTTCTATCATCCATGGGTGCATGAGCATGACCTCCATTTTTGGTATGAATGAAGGACAACAAAACCTAAACACTAGCTACTCCTGTCATACCAAGCTTCATGTGCCATTTCGTACCAAAATGAAACAACTAGAAAGAACAAGAGAAGAGGGTTATGATAATAATATGTAAAGTTCTTCAACAATGTTAATGGGAGACAAACTAGCTTTCACGTGAAATTATTTTTTTCGTTATTGAAAAAAATTTCCAAAAAAGTTATTGTACTGTGAACATCCAATAATTAGTTGTTAATGGAAGTGGTGGGGGTGGGAAAAAAATATGAACACACTAAACTAATTTTGTAGCGGAAAGTAGAATGATATAAGTGTGTTTTGTCGCATGATTGAAAATGATCAAAGTATTTGGGTTTCAAAAGCAATTTATAGAATATGCCAAACTTATTTGTTTTTGTTTTAAAACTTGATAAAGCAGAATCTTAGCCTGCACAATAATCTATCAAAATGTGTTGACCCAGTTATATTTACATTATAACAAAAAATATCTTCCCAATAATACTATTATTTTTCTTAGTTTTGTACTAATGTTTGCAGTTAAAATTATTTTGCCTTTTACAATTGTAAACTATAATAATAACCCCAAGTGGGGCAGTTTTTGTTTCAAACGTAACACAAAAAATAAAAAGCTTTAATTAGGGTTAGGGTTTGGTTAAAATTGTAAAAACTTTTATGTTGAAAGTGCATAATGAAGTGGTCTTTCTGTACTACTCTACACCTAGCTTACTAGTTTGTTTTCTTTTATCAATTTAAAAGCTTGTCAAGAAACTAATTATTATTATTATTATTATTATTTTAATTTCGGAATGTGATTGCTATTACTTATGTGGTTTCAATGTAAGTGTTTTATTGATAGAAAACGAATAAGAAATAAT